AGTCAAGGCGGAAAACGGATTGTTGGATTCTTCTATTATGGTCACTGCTGGGGCCAACCAGGTGAGGAATCTGTAGGCGTGTATGTGATCAGCTGATGCAGCAGTCCTGGTAGCAGCGTAGGCAGCGGTGCATGACCCTGTGAGCAGTGGCTACGGCGTGGACGATGGCACCAAGGAGCTCAGAGCAGCGCTGGTGGAGAAAGATAAGACGGAAAAGGACCAGCGCTGCTGTAATCCTCTATCATGGTCACTGCTGACGCTCCACCCTATACCTTCTAGCAACTCCACCCTCACATTCCCAGGCGTTTGTGAGCGTGGTGTTGACGCTCTGTGACCCCGACAATGCAGTGATGCTCTTCAAGCCTTTCTATTTCAATCCCTCCCCCTGGCCATGTATCCTGTCGTCACAACCTTTTGAGACGTCTCAAAACTCCCCCTAGCCATGTATCCTGTCGTCACAACCCTAATTTTCATCCAACCCCTACCCTTTCCAACCTGCAGGCCTTTGTGAACGTGGTGCTGACCCTGTGTGACCCGGACGACGCAGTGGTGCTCTTTAAGCCTTTCTACTTCAACCACCAGATGGCGTTTCAAATGACCGGTGTCACTGACATTGTTTACGGTCCATGTGACTCCGACACCCTGCACCCCAGCGCTGGTGAGTGAGAAGATTCTTGAGACTTAAGTCTTTCTACGGTCAGTCACATCACAGCCACTACTCTTCAAGCCCGTCTACTTCAGTCAACTACCACCAGATGACGTTTCAGATGACCAGCGTCACTGACATTGTGTATGGGCCATGTGACTCCGACACCCTGCATCCCAGCGCTGGTGAGAGCGATGATTCTCGAGACTTGAGTCGCCTCTTGAGAATGGACTCTTTGTGCAGTCACGGCCACTGCTCTTCAAGGCCTTCTGCTTCCGTCAACCACCAGATGGCGTTTCAGATGACCGGCGTCACTGACATTGTGTATGGCCCATGTGACTCCGACACCCTGCATTCCAGCGCTGGTGAGTGAGATGATTCTCGAGACTTTTGTCGCCTCTTGAGAATGGACTCTTTGTGCAGTCACGGCCACTGCTCTTCAAGGCCTTCTGCTTCCGTCAACCACCAGATGGCGTTTCAGATGACCGGCGTCACTGACATTGTGTATGGCCCATGTGACTCCGACACCCTGCATCCCAGCGCTGGTGAGTGAGATGATTCTCGAGACTTTTGTCGCCTCTTGAGAATTGACTCTTTGTGCAGTCACGGCCACTGCTCTTCAAGGCCTTGTGCTTCCGTCAACCACCAGATGGCATTTCAAATTACTGGCGTCACTGACATTGTGTATGGGCCCTGCGACTCCGACACCCTGCACCCCAGCGCTGGTGAGAGCGATGATTCTCGAGACTTGAGTCGCCTCTTGAGAATTGACTCTTTGTGCAGTCACGGCCACTGCTCTTCAAGGCCTTGTGCTTCCGTCAACCACCAGATGGCATTTCAAATGACTGGCGTCACTGACATTGTCTACGGGCCCTGCGACTCCGACACCCTGCATCCCAGCGCTGGTGAGTGATATGATTCGTGAATTACAAACCCTGTTGTCACTCTCTCTCACATTTTTATCCACCCACCACTTCCTCTCAAGATCTTACCTACCCACCGGTTCCCCACAAAATCTTTCCCTCCCACCGAATCCCCACGCCCATTTGCTTCCATGCTGATTGTATGCTTCTGCTCCCCTTCTCTCCTCTCTGCATTTCCCATGCTGCCACCTGGCATGCTCAGATTGGCTGGAGGAGGCGCTTTCTGGGAAGGAGGGCAGGAAGATTCCCAAGGTGGTGGTGATCACCAACCCCAACAACCCTACTGGGACCTATGTTCCTGAGGACTTATTGCGGGTATGAATCGTTCTTACCCTGCATTATCATGGGTGACTCTGCAAGATGACTCTTGGTGCAAGCAAGGTGGTGGCGATCACGAATCCCAACAACTGCACTGGGACCTACGTTCCCTAGGACTTATTGCGTGTATGAATCGTTTTTACCCCAGCATTATCTTGGTATTCTTTGGAATGCCCCCTGATGCAAGCAAGTTGGTGGTGATCACGAATCCGAAACTCCTCTTCCCTTCCCCCCTGCCCCCTCCCTCCTCCCCCTCTTCCCTTTCTCCTCGTCCTTCCTCTTCCTTCTCCTCTTCCTCCTCCTCCTCCCACTTTTATACTTCAAATGTCCCATCCTTCCCTACTCCCTGCCTACCCCTCCGTCCCTCCGTCCCTCCGTCCCTCCGTCCCTCCCTCCCTCCGTCCCTCCCTCCCTCCCTCCCTCCCTCCCTCCCTCCCTCCCTCCCTCCCTCACCCCTTCTTCCCGTGGCTCGTCTTTCCTCTTCCCGTCATCCACTTTGTTTGATTGTTCCGTGCATTAACCCTTCTCTTTCCCTATCCAGGTGACTTTTGAGTCGACTCAAAAGTCCCGTGGCTCGTCTTTCCTCTTCCCGTCATCCACTTTGTTTGATTGTTCCGTGCATTAACCCTTCTCTTTCCCTATCCAGGTGACTTTTGAGTCGACTCAAAAGTCCCGTGGCTCGTCTTTCCTCTTCCCGTCATCCACTTTGTTTGATTGTTCCGTGCATTAACCCTTCTCTTTCCCTATCCAGGTGACTTTTGAGTCGACTCAAAAGTCCCGTGGCTCGTCTTTCCTCTTCCCGTCATCCACTTTGTTTGATTGTTCCGTGCATTAACCCTTCTCTTTCCCTATCCAGGTGACTTTTGAGTCGACTCAAAAGTCCCGTGGCTCGTCTTTCCTCTTCCCGTCATCCACTTTGTTTGATTGTTCCGTGCATTAACCCTTCTCTTTCCCTATCCCCGCTGCAGAGAATCTCCGCTATATGTGAGAAGGCTGGCTCCTGGCTGGTGCTTGATAACACCTACGAGTATGTATTCTCCCTCCCCCAAATGATTACACATGCATTATATCTACCCCCTTCTTAAGTCGACTCAAAATAATGATCTCTTTGAGGTGTTACAAATAATGATCCCTTTGAGGTGCTATAAATCATATTCCCCTTGAGAGTTTTTTAGGCGTCTCTGAATGTCACATGGGATGTACCATACCTGCTGTGCGTTCCATGGCTACTGCTACAACAGACATCCCACTGCCCCTCGCCCCATGCTCGTGTGGGAAGTAACCGGCATGTGTGTGTCCCTGGGGGCGACAATTTATGTGCCTGGGGGGGCGACAATTTATATGCCCGAAACCCTTGGTCTTCTGCCTTGCTTGCTCTGTGCTTTTGTTTTCTACACACACCTTGGTACTTCATGAACGGTGGTAACTGTCATGTTTGTTTGAAGGGCAATTCTGATGACCCATGTTGCCCTGTTTTCTGTTGCTTCGCCTTGCCCTGTGCTCTCCAGGTACTTCATGTACGATGGTAACCGCCATGTGTGCCTGGAGGCCCCTCACATGCTCAACATCTTCTCCTTCTCCAAGGCCTATGGCATGATGGGATGGCGCGTCGGCTATGTGAGTAGATTAATTCGCACGTGCGTGTGAACGTTAGTCTCTTTCATTCATCTCTTCATACACCACCCAGACCCCCTACCCCAGCTCGTCCCCTCATCTTATTTTTGAGTCAACTCAAAAATAGGCTTCATACACCACCCAGCCCGCCTACCCCAGCTCTTCCCCTCATCTTGGCCCCTCTCTCATCACCAACGCCCAAGCCACCATCCCCATCTGTGCCTATCTCATCCAATTTCCCTCAGCCATGTGATTAGGCGAGCAGCAGTCTAAAAGAATTCTTTAGCAAAGGATTAACAGTACGATCTGTTGTTCCTGCTAAAAACAAGCCACCATCCTCAACTGTGCCAATCTCATCCAATTTCCTGCTACTTTTTTCCCCCCTCTCCGTGTGTCCCCCTTTCCCCCCCTCCCTCTACCCCTCCACCCAGATTGCCTACCCCAACTCTGCCCCACGGCTCGGCCCGTCTCTCATTAAAGCCCAGGACACCATTCCCATTTGCGCCAATCTCATTGGTCAGCAAGCAGCCCTCGCCGCCCTCCAATCCCCTTCTGCTGGGAAACCCTTCGTCGACCGCCTTATCCAAACCCTTTCGCCGAACCTGGAGCAGGCTCGGGACGCCCTAGCCGTGCTCACAGGTCCGGGAGTTGGTGGGCGGGTGTGGGGCGGGGAGGGGGCTATTTACCTTTGGGCGAAGCTTCCGGAAGGGTGTGAAGATGATGGGGCTGTGGTGAGGTGGCTGGTGAGTGAACATGGTGTGGTGGTTATTCCGGGGAGTGCGAGCGGTGCACCCGGACATATTAGGGTGTCTTTTGCAAACTTACCCGTGGAGAAATACAAGGTTGCAGCGGGGAGGTTGAAGAAGGGGCTCCAAGAGCTGGTTGAGAAGAAGATGAAGTTTCCACTACATCAATAAATGGAACGCCAGCTAAGTGTACGATCTCTATACTGCCTATGATGTTATACTATATTCAGTACTTGAACTTGTGTATTTAGCACGTTAGTGATACATCAAAGGTGAGATGGACCTAACTGGATATCATCAGGTAGCAGACCCAAATCAAATCAGCAGCTAGGATTAGCAAAAGTAAGGCATCCCTACTAAGGCATTGCCCAGCAACCAGTGGTATCGAGTTTCTGGAAGTTAGCAAGCAAGCATAATATCCAAAAGTTAGATACCATGTATGGTATAGTCAATCAATATTAAGTTTTGAGGGCCACCAGACCACTGTTATCATTGCTGCCATCTTCATCACCATCACCCTCCGCAATACTTACACAAAAACCACCACCACCACACCCACTCCTCCTCCTACCACGTCCACTGCTTCCGCTGCTGCCTGTTGAGTCGCCTAATATTCTTCAGGCACCTCAAACCTCACTTCACTTCTATAACCATTGCTGCTGGCTCTACTGCTGCCATCAATATTTCCCTGATTCACATCCCATCTGTCACTCCCAATACCTGCTGCTGCTGCTTCTGCTGCTGCTGCTGCTGCTACTGAGGATGCTGAATCCGGCCTGCTAGAGCAGCATCCCCTTGATGCCGCGTAACATTCACTGTAGACGACACTGTAGATGCCACACCAGCCACCGTCGACCTTATCTTTTTTAAAGGAGCTGCAATAGCCGCGGGTTTCAGGTTCGGCAACTCCAGCTTCGGCCGAGGCGCCCCAGACACGCCGAAGCTGACTGCCTTGCCCCTGACGCTCTCCAAGCCACTGAAACTTGACATGCCTCGTACCGAGCCTCCTTCCGAGCCTACGGAGCCAGACCCATCAGCAGCATTGAAGTCAATGTTATCAAAGCTGGGAGTTGATGACCCCTTGAACCCGCCTTCCCTCCCGCTCCCTCCTCGCATACTCTTAATCAGAGACTTCAGCTTCGCAGCACCACTAGAGCCACCAATAAGCTCCTTTTCTCTTGACGAGCTCTCTCCGACCTTCCCTCCCGAACCTCCCAAACCTTCCGAATTTCCCGATCCGCCCCCACCACCCCCCATGGCCATCTGCTGCAGCTGCTTCGACTGGATCTTAGCCAGATTCTCATTCCACCGCCAGATATCCCCGTCAATCCCTTTGGACCACTCCGGCAGCTCCCTTGTCTCAATGAAATGCGCGATGACACGCAGGATGCGTGGGTCGCGGAAATATGCCCCGTGGTTGAGGTCGAACCGGCCCGTCAGCTCTCCCATCCGCTCCTCGATCATGACGCACAGCTGCTGCAACTGCCGCTCAAACTCGCGCTCGCTCAGCCGCGGGTTGCGGCCGATCTTGTTCATTTGGGACTTGAGCCGCTGGAAGGTTTGTGATTGTTCTGCCATGACAGCTAACTCCTGATCATCCCACAGAAACTCGTATACCAGCTTCTCCTTGCCGCTGTCCTCTGGTGCTTCTGCAGAGGGTGTAGCTGCTGCCGCCGCCGCTGCTGCTGCTGCTGCTGCTGCAAGCACCGTCGTGCACCTTCCCAGAAGCATCTTCTGTTGCGGATCGGGCTGCTGAAAAGTTCCCAGGAACGGACGATGCGTGGGGCGAGAAGGCAGGAGGCAGTAGAGGCGGCTTTATAAAAGCAACAGCACCACCGCCACCAGCACCATGACCACCACCGGCGCCGCCACCAGCAGCAGTGCTACTCGTGCCTGGAGGCGAGTTCAAGCCAGCCAGAAATTCAGCAGCTCGTTCCAGGCTCTGCTGTTCCTCCTCTGGCCTGTCCAAGCTGACATTCCTCACCAGCTTCTGCTGCTTCTGCTGCTTCTGCGGGCTTTTTTCCCCCCTCCCCTCCCACTCTCCCTCAGGCGCATCAAACCACTCTTCCTCTCCCCCACTCCCCCGCCTCTGCTCCACCCGTTCTGCAACCCCTCTCATAACCACACCCCCCTCCGCCTCTCTCCCCTCTCCTCCCCTCCCAGTACCTACCCCTGCTCGGGCTTGCTCAAACTCCCCTGTTCCAGTATCCCCTCGCTGCTCCCTCTGATAGCCCCCTGCTGCTGCTCCTACCCCCTCCCTCTCATGCACCCCTACAGCTGCTCCTACCTGTGGTTCTCTCTCAGGTGACCAGAAACTCACCCCCCTTTCATTTGCTTCTATTGCTGCCTCTGCCACTGCAGCCAGCGTTGTCAGCCTCCCGCCCCTGACCCCCTTCCTGCTCCTTGGTCTCCCGAACGCGCCCTGAGTCTGCTGCATGCCGCGGGGAGACGTTAAGGAATCAACAGGAGAACCAGCAGAAGCAGCTGCTGCCGATGCTGCTGCTCCTGTTGGTGTAGCTGCACGTGGGGAGCGCAGGTGTGAGGGCTGGTGGGGGGAGTGTAGCACGGGCTCGAGCCACTCGGGTTGCTCCACTGTGTCATCCTCATAGCCGGGCATCAACTCTCCCTTGAGTGACTTGGTCTTCGCCTCTGCCAGCAGTTTCTGGGATGGGGCAGGGAGGTTGCGCAGTTTCAGAGGAAATGAAGTATGGAAACGAGGAAAGAGAGCAGAGATTGCTGGAATATTATAATCTGAACATGGGTATGCGAAGAGAAGTGCTTTATTGTCAACACCCCCTTCACTGGGACCAACCTAGAACACTATGCTCAATTGTGCACACTCAAGATTCGAACCCAGGACCTTTGACTCTGAACCATACCTGAACGTTCCAGTGGTCGACTTGCTGGGTAGCCAGGTCCAGATCCAAGTGCTCATCCACATAAATATACGCGTAGTTCAGATCCCCCGGGGACAGCCCGAAGCTGACCGTCACAATCATCTTCTGAAGTGTTCCCGTGACAATGGGCGCGATGATGTGTGAGCACACGGACATGATGGCAGCCGGGAGGAAGAAGAGAGTGTCCCACACGAGGATGATGGCGCAGTGGAAGAAAAACGCCCACCAGTCCACCTGGCGTGCGTAGCGGGTTGGGGGCTTGGGGAAGGGCGCCCAGGGGGTCTGCTTCAGGAGTTTTGTCAGGTGGGGGAAGACGTAAGCGCGCGTGATTGGCTCCATGGATAGCGCTAGACTGGCCTGTTGGGTTGAGGGGGAAAAAAACACGCACACGCACATGCGCGCACCGACATACACACGTACGCACACACAGACACACATGTGACATGCACACTCACTCACACGCACACGCATGCGCACGCACACGCACGCACGCGCGCGCGCACACACACACAGAGGAAAGGGGATTATGAATGGAAGGGACAAGGAGGTGGGGTGGGGTAGGGAGGGATGGGGCCGGGTGGCGGGGTGATGGAGGGAAGGGGGAGGGGTGGGGAGATCTTGGAAGAGGAATGGTAAAATTGGCAGAGAGAAAGGAGGGAAGGATTGATGGTGTGTTGTAGGGAGGGCTGGAGATTTGAAGCAAAGAGAAATGGTGGGGAAGGAAGGGAAAGGGAAGCTGGTGGAGGAGGGGAGGGTGGATTGATTGTCGTGCGAGGATGAGGGTTGGCTGAAGTGCAAGGAGGAGTGTGGATTGCGGTGTGAGGAGGAGTGAGGGTGGATATAGTATGAGTGAGTATGAGGGGCCTCACCTCATCGAGCTTGCCGGCATGAATGACGAGAGCAGACATTGCCGGCGACCAGTCAAAGGATGGCTTGTGGTAGAGATTGCCGCTGTAGAACACTGTGGTGCGCAGAACCTGCAACCAAAAAAAAGGGGGGGGAAAAAAAAAACAAACAAAAAAAAAAGCAACTATTAAAGAGTTAAACCAGTGTAGCTGTACACATGTACACTTATTTCATTGTAACTATGTCATTGCATACTTACAACCAGACTTCACCTAATACCCTCCTCACTCACCGAGACTTGGCACACTTCACATTGATGAGGACTAACAGAATACCAGTGGCGATGAAGATTGCACTTAAATTTACCGCGTTACAATGTCACATGGAATTTGAGCCGGCTACAAATTCAATTCGTGTACTCACATCCATAACTTGCTTCACATTGATGAGAAGCATGATTCCAGTGGCAATGATGAAAGGAGGGGCACTCTGGCCATAGAAGCTGGAATTTAAGGGGTTAGGACAAATGAAAGGAGAGGAGGGGAGATAAGGGAGGATGAGCAATGTAAACACACAAAAACACATACACAAGAAACAGATTGTTTAAAAGGAAGAAGAAAAGGAAAGAAGGAAAAGAAAAAAGAGCTAGTGGATCAGATGCTTATATTCATACAACAGCAACTACTCACTCTTGGGGGCGGCCGGCAATGAGCAGCACGATGATTTGCCAGATGGACGTGTAGACGAGAATGAAGACAACAGCAACACCACCCAGAGCCCCATACCATCCTAGCCAGCACAGACAACAGCACCCCTCCCAGCCACTCAAAACCACCGCAAGCAGCGCTGCACCGCACTAAACCACTCACTCTTGCGGCCGGCCGGCGATCAGCAGCACGATGATTTGCCAGATGGACGTGTAGACGAGAATGAAGACATACAGCAGCACCACATTGAGCACCGTCGACACGAGCAGCCAGAGAAAGCCGTTGGTCTGCCACTTTTTTATGTAGAAGGGCGTGCCGAGGAACACGAGGGCGCCGAGGGCGTTGGTGATGGGCGAGGTGGCGTGGCGGAACGCCAGGAAGCGCCGCTGCCGCACTGCTGGGAGGCGCAGCAGCGAGTCCAGCCACTGCTGGTACGCCCACGGGTAGCTCTCCTTCACTCCTGTTGTTCTCTGCCCATTGAAGCTGTGGGCGGAAGAAGGGTTTTGAGGCGCAAAGAGGGGGGGACCGGGGGGAAGGGTGATGCCACTGCTGGTACGGCCATGGGTAGCTCTCCTTCACCCCTGTTGTTCTCTGCCCGTTGAAGCTGTATGGGTTAGTGGGGGAAGAATTGGGGCGGGGGGAGAGGAGCGGGAAGGGATAGGGAATGAGTGGTGATTGACTCACCTTCTTCACGCTGCTCGCCCTCTGCCCGTGAAAAACTAAGAGGGAAGGGACCGGAGGCAAGAAAGAGGGGGTGTTCGCATGATTACTCACACCTCTTTGTGTTACTTCACACACACCACACACACACACACACACACACACACCACACACACGCGTGCACACACACTCACTCACTCTCCCTCCTTCCCTTCCCTTGCCCCATCAATCCAACCCACCCACCCACTCGCTAGCCCTCATGAACTCCTCCCTCGCCTGCACACCAAACCTACCTCATCCCCTCGGAACACAACTCACCCTCGGAACACAACTCACCCTCGGAACACAACTCACCCTCGGAACACAACTCACCCTCGGAACACAACTCACCCTCGGAACACAACTCACCCTCGGAACACAACTCACCCTCGGAACTCACCTTCAGAACACAACTCACCCTCGCAACTCACCCTCAGAACACAACTCACCCTCGCAACTCACCCTCGGAACACAACTCACCCTCGCAACTCACCCTCGGAACACGACGAGGAAGGGGAAGAAGCGCCACCACGACCCGCGCATGTCGATGCGCCGCCACCTCTTGATCAGCTCGTAGCTCCGCCTGTGCGCCGCCCAAAACTGCCGCGCCACCACCGGGTGCCACTCGTTCTTCGACCGCCGCCCCAACTTCGCCATGTACTGTTGGGGGTGGGGGGAGGGGGGAGGGGGGAGAATGCGGGGGGAGGAGGTGGGGGAGAGGGGGAGGGGTTAAAGTTGGGAGGATGGCCAGGCTTCACCATGATATGGATGAAGTTTAAGGAGCAGGTGGGGGGAGAAGGGGGGAAGAGAGCAAGGGGGAATGCGGGAAAGGAAGGCAAGTGTGTGTTACGGAGGAAGTAAAGACTCGTTTTTTTGGTTCGGATTGGTTGAAGTTGAACCAAGTGAGTCTGTGTATGCAAGGTATGCACTGAAGCTTTCGTTTCACCGACCAGTTCGATCGTCTTGAGCATCACATTGCCGCCGTGAGAATGCGCCACCAGGTGGATCCGAGCTGCCGGGTCGTTCTGAGCGATTTGGTCGATCAGATTGTGCAGCTGAGGGAGCGGGTGGGGCAGGGAAGGAAACATATTGTACAAAATCCCGAACATAAGGAACAAAAAAAAAAACCCCTTTCCTCTCCCTCCAGAAAAAAGAAAACAACAATCCGGCAACTGCGCAGATGAAAAAGGAAAAGCAAGTGGCAGGCCGCCAACGGAAGTGTCTCGTAGGAGGAGGTTGTTTTCTGAAAAGTTCCAAAAACAATATCTTAGGAAAGTTTTGTAAGGGAAAGATTCTGTCCGCCAACACATTAGGGAAAGACTCCAGTTACCCCTTGAAGAACAGAGACCCAAAGCAAGCATTTTCCTGTTGGTCTCCTTCCCAACCTGCCCGCAAACCACACCTCTCTCGTCTAACTTAAAACTTTTCCCCCTTTTTTTTCCCGCAACTCCTACCCAGAGAATTCTTCGCTATGCCTGAACCTTTCCGCGTGCGATATTACGCGCAAAAAGATGGGCGCGGGACTTGCGGGAACGGAGCGACTCTAGGGAAGAAAGAAAAAAAGTACGAATTTTCAGCAACAGATGCGGTCAAATTAGGGTTGCGATTACTCTACTGAGGCAATGAGTGGGGTGTAAGATTGACAGTTATTCCTCACATTTACACACGGCTCGAATTAGGTCATTATATTTTGCCCGGTAATTCACGCACGCTTGTCCCACGCGTTACCACACCCGATGCGGCGGTCGTTTCTCCAACACCACCTTACCGCAATCTTCGGCCATAGTCACGGAGAAAGCTTTGGATCTTCGGACTCTCTGGTCACTCTTTGACGATCTCGACTTTCTCGTGACTCTCTGCCGACTCTGCTTGCCGATTCTCCGCGACACGATATTCGGAGATCTGTCGCGGCGACCCCTCCAACACATCTCACCTCCTTTCCCCTCCTCCGGCGGTTCGCCTTCCTTCTCGTTCCCCCCACTCACCTTCATAGCGGCAGTGACGCGGCCCAGGTGCGTGTTGGTGCCGTCCCAGTGGAACGGGTACGGGATTCCCGGGAGCGCGGAGCACGGCAAGTCGCGCCAGATGGCATCCTCGCCGATGGGTCCCAGCGCAAATAGCCGGCTGAGCTTCCGACAAAAGTTTTGCTCGCCGGGCGCCGGCGGTTGGTACCACGTCGGCGCGCCGTCCGCCGGCGGCGCGTCGAACGTCCCGTGGATCACGATCACGTAGTGGTTCTCGCTCTTCGCGTCGAAGTCGGCGGTTCGCACGCGGATCGCCGCTTCGATATCCTTGCTGTCCTCACCGCCGTCTCCTCCTCGTCCGCTCCGGCTACCACTACTTCCCGAAAGCGATTTCGGAAGCTTAGGCCAGGACGTGCCTCGGTCTCCTTTTTCGTCGCCGTCGTGATCAGCGGCCCCGCCAGTGGCCTTTCTGTACGAGCCGCAAGGTATGCACGAAATGTGCGCGCTTGGAGCTCCTTGCCACAGACCCTTCCTTTCCAGTTGGTCGTCTGTTCCCGTGGCATCTGTCGGTTTGTTTATTAACGCTCGCCAAAGGCCCCGCCGCCGGCGACGGTTGGTCGAGAGATCAGCCGAGATGCCGTCGATGGCGGCTCCGCTTCCGCCTGTCGTTTCGTCGAACGGCGACGTGGTTAAGTCGTCATTTTCGGCGTGCGACTCGCCTGCGACGTCTCCAGCGACGTCGCGCATTGGTTCGGCGCCGTAAGCAGCTGTTTGTCTCGCAGCGCCGTTTCTTGACTCAACCACTATCGACACGCGCTCGTCCTCCATTTTCCTAAAAACGGTCTGATTGATCATTCCAGAAGCTTCCTCCGTTAGAGCCTTCTTTTCCCAAATGATGTCACCATTCTAACAAATTCAGTCTGTAAATGACGCGTTAGAAGAAAATAGCTTGGGGAAAAAGCCAGCCACTCCGATTATGAACGTCACTTTGGACCTATGAACGGCAGTATAGAACGGCGATTATGAGCGCAATATTCCGTGGTTGCTGAAGTTCTAGACTGGCAGTGAACCTCACAGGAAGACTCTCGGGAGCGTGGAGTGGAGAAGCTTTTTTTGTGTGGTGTGGAGTGGACTGGTGCAACGCTGGTACACCTGATGCTCACCTCCTGCACGCGAAATTGCCTTACTCCAGGTGGAAACCTTGCACCCGTGGGTTTTGTGCCGTGACGTTGCACCCACGTTACAAGCACGTCGACCAATAAGAGCCACAGAAACGGATTGAAGTTTGACTGACGAGACAAAAGTCAAACAGTCAGCGTTGAGTTACAATTGTTTTTTATAAGCCCTTTTTGCCCGATGCGAATTGACGAAATCTTCAGGCGAAACGAGAATCGCTTATAATCCCAGAGGGTAAGGCACAGTCTAGGAGGGTCTTGGTTGCTTGTTTCTCTAGAACACTGTAGGCGAGCCAACGTGGGTACAGTGCATAACTGTAAGCCTCTACTGTATTGTCCTCGCCAAAGAACGCAGAAATTGTACGGTCAGACTGAAAAAAAACATAAGTTAGGCTTGTGTTGTTTTCACTTATGGCCTATGGCCTTGCCAGCCAGCCATCCCCACTCAGGTTTGCCTCACGTGGTTTCGAAATGGTTCGACTGTTTGCAAAACGATCTAGTGCTATATTCTCGCTGGCATTGCCCGCACAGAAATCTCTCACTGCAGTTCAGGTAACTTACGACGGAAAGTATCTTCGACCTAGATGCGATGAACATAGCAACCAGTTGACTTGCTGGCAAGTTTTCCTCCTCGGCTTGGCTGGTGAGGGGAATGTGACCAGCCAAGTATTCCCCCTCCGTCTTCAATCCCGTTTCTCCACTACATTACTGTACCTGCAATGATGTGGCGGTAACCGAATTTGTTCAAATCGATTCTTGAAATATGGCTGGTTTATCTAGGGTAAAGCGGAAAACTTTGGTTTCCCTGCAAGCTCAATCCCACTTTCTCGGGGATTCGAATTTCGAGCCTGACTAAAGTTCAGGAGCCTGAAACAACCTCGCCTGCCATCAGGCGGCGGCGGCACACACAGTTTGCGTTGACATTTGCTGTTTGAAATTTGCGTTCCCACCAGGACAGTACACTTGATGCTCGTTTGAGTCTCCCAAGGTCGCCTTGTGAAGAGGGCGCTTAAGTGATTCTTGCTTATCCGTTTACATTTGACTTCAGTCTCTTCAGTTTGACTTCGGTCTCTTTGTTACTATTGATTGAGAATCACTGCATCTTGCGCGAGGTGCTTGTAACTTGGGTACAACTGTCTGGTATGAAAAAACCGGGTGCAGGCTTTCTGAAATGTACATACCAAATTCACGCGCAGTAGTTGGGCATCATGTGTACACCCTCGTGAGATTGTCTCCTGGAAAGGCAGGGCAGTGCCACTGCAGTCCGAAAGACCCCATCAAAAGGCCCCTCATCAAGACAATCCACCCCATACAATTTCGGATGCTACACAATTTCTCGTGAAATAGCACGATCATAGCCAAATCTAATATTCATAACACACAAACGGCATATACGTACCGAATAGAACAGTTCTGAGCTATCGCGACTTGAATTTTCCTCTTTAATGTTGTCGACGAACTACACCGTCCAGATCTGGTTCCCATAGCGAAAAAAAAAATGCAGCAAGAGTTTTGGCTGGCTGGATTAGGAGCAGTTCTCGGAAAAACATAGTGGCTTGTTGTTACAATCTGAAGTGAGACTTAGTGAAAGGATCGTTCAGGGTTGATCGCGGGTTGTGTCGCAGCGGAAGTATTGAACTCAGGTATGTTAGAGTGAATGTAAATGACTGAGATTTGTAATAGCATGCATACATTGGGTTTATATAGGAATACAAAGGAATGCGAAACGACCTAGACTAGCCATGTACTCTAAGGGATACATTCCCTTATTGCAGCGAAATTCAAACCGTGCGGCGCGGGAATCGGTTTCAAACCTGTTCCCGCTCTTTTCATTTCAAATGTTTCTTCCCGCATCGCCCTTGGTCAGACGGTTGCTGTGTCGCTTCGATTCTTCTGACTCCTCGACTTCGTACTCGGTAGAGTCGGCTCCTGCAGCGTACAGGAATGCCTTCTCATAAAACTTCGTATCGTAACACTCCCCTTCATTCCTGGACGCATAGGGTGCTGACTCGCTTGACCACTCCGGTGAGGTCGGAGCAGTGTTTGAACTGCTGACGTGGCAGACGCTTGGTGAGGAAGTCGGCTGCCATCTCAGTTGTTAGGCAGTATGCGAGGTCAACCTTGCCTTGGTCGATTTCGTCTTTGACGAAGAAGTATCTCAATGCGATGTGCTTCGTGCGGTTCACGAACCCTGGCTTATTCGCGATCTTGATGGCGCTCTGGTTGTCGCAGTGAAGGCGAAAGGTGGGCGAAGTTGGATTTTTTGCCTCCTGTAGCAACTCCTGCATGTATAGGCCTTCGCGAACTGCTGCTGTCGCGGCGATGTATTCTGCTTCGGCCGATGACAGGGCAACAAGTTCCTGCTTCTGCGAGTTCCAGGAGATTGGGCTGATAGGCTCCAGGCGGAAAACAAAGCCGGTTCGGGACCGTCGATTTGCAGGGTCAGCGGCGTGATCTGCGTCCACGTAGCCATTGAGGTTGAAGGAGGTTGTTGCCAGCGTGGAGTAGGAGAGCCCGATGTCAGGTGTGGAGATGAAGTACTGCAGGGCGCGTTCCAGGTCCATGTGATTCTCGACTACGCGCTTGCGATAGTACTGTGCCATGTACGAAAGGTCGGGTCGGCATGTGACAGAAGCGAACAGCAGACAACCCAGTTGCTGCTGGTATAGTTGAAGTCCTGCGGAGGACAGGGATTTGTTGCCCGGTTTGTAGTTGGAGCTGGGGCTGCGATAGGGAGTTGAGAGTGGTGCGGGTGAGATGTTGAAGCGTTCCCCCAGCTGCTCTGCGTATTTACAGGCTGACAGATGGATTGCTTCTGGCGCGTAGGTGATGTTCAGGCCCAAAAACTGAGTGACGTTATGGTTGATGGTGATGTCTACGCGCTTCGCCAGGTTCTCCTCGAACTGGTTAAGAAGCTTGCTGCAGGTGCCAGTGTACAGCAGGTCGTCGACGTAGACGGTGAGGAGGATGTAGTCCCCGCTAAAGTGAAGGCGGTACATCCCCGGGTCGTGCGGCAGCTGCCTGAAACCGATCTCGAGCAGGATTTGACGTAGGTGCTGCTGCCAAAGTCGAGGCGCCTTTTTTATCCCGTAGAGGGATTTCTTTAGCTGGCACACCCTGGGGTCTCCTTCTCCGTAAGTGTGTGGTTGCTCCACGAAGATGGTTGCATCCACCAACGCGTATAGGAACGCATTCTTTACGTCGATCTGTCGCAGTGGCAGATGCTTAGCGGCGGCTATGGCGAGTAGTATCCTGACCGATGTGTAGGAGCGAATGCCGAGCTGTTCTGTTCGTGCCATGTTGCGTAGCAAAACGCTATACGCCGTAAGGGACTCACTGTAGTATTGAGCCCGGGCGTCTTCGGTGTCTTCCCAAGTCCTTGCCGTCGAATGCGGCAGTAGTTTTAAAATTTGAAACACTGAGAAAGCGTGCTTGCGCAGAGTTGATTGTTTCGTCGCTTGGACGAGGGGCAGTTGTTGCAGATTTGTCTGAGTCGAGGGAGAAGCCATGCGCGGCGGTATCGCGGCTTTTCGCAGCCGGTTGTCCAGGTTGAGCTGGTTGGGAAGTGGTTCCCGCATCGCCTTTGCGCAGTTCTTGGAGTTCTTTCTCCATGGTTGACAGTCGAGCGAATAACTGCTATAGGGCGGCAGTGCCGATCGTGGTTGTCGCCTCATTTGTCGCAGCCGGGTTGGTTTGTCCTTCGGCCGTTAGATTCGTTTGGCCTCCGGATCCTCCGGCCATCTTGGTCTTGGAGCGTGTGCCGCTCGCCAGATTTAGGTTCGGCGAATTTTACGGAAGTGGCGTCGCGAAGAATCCCTGAGTAGCTCTCATACCATGTTACAATCTGAAGTGAGACTTGTCAGAATGTTATTATTGTCTAGCCTGTAGTGGGGTGCTCTATAGCGAGTACAACCCAGTTAGGGTTTGCTATATGTACCCCAACTGCTGCTAGTGAAACCCCTCTCCTTTCAATCATTCTTGCCTAGTTCTTCTGAAATGGTATTCAGAGCAGGTCGACCCCCTTGGGTCGATCCTGTGGGTGGGCCCGCCACCTAACTGCTTCCGCTGCTATTCTGCTTCTCGCACGCCTCGGGCGCGCGCCGTCTTCTTCCTGCCGTGCGCTCAGGGCGTACGGCGGTTTTCATCCCGCCGTGCGCTCAGGGTTTTTCATCCCGCCGTGCGCTCAGGGCGTACGGCGGTTTTCTGCCCGCCGTGCGCCCCGAGGCGCGCGGCGGTTTCCTGCCCGTCGTGGCGCCCCCGGGGACCTGCGCGCTGCCCCCCGTCGTCCTCCTCCCGTCGCCTCGTCGCGGCGCCCTGGGGGCCCGCGCGTCCCCCCCCTCCCGTCGCCTCGTCGCGGCACCTTGGGGGCCCGCGCGCCGCCCCCCCCCCGTCGCCTCGTCGCGGCGCCTAGGGGGCCCGCGCGCGGCCCCTCCCGTCGCCCGTCGAGCCGCCCTCGGGGGCCCGTGCGCGGCCCCCCTCCCGTCACCCGCCGTGGCGCCCTCGGGGGGCCCGCGCCCTGCTTCTTCGTGGCGCCCAAGAGCCACCCCGCTGCCTCCCTTTCCCTCCGTGCCCCGCCCCTGCTGTTTCCCGCGCTCCTGCCTGCGTTAGGGTTTGGGGGTGGCGGGCATGGGGGTGACCGGTGTGGGTAACCTGCGGCTCCTCCTCCTCCTCCTCCGTCTCCCACTGCTGCAGCTGCCGCTGAGGGGGGTGGGTGTGTGGGAGCCGAGGGTTTAGGGTTTAAGGGGGGTGCCGTGGAAGTGGAGCTAGGGTGTCAGCAGGGGGTGTGTGAGAGGGGCGTGGGACGGTCGGGGGAGGTTGCGTGGAGGTAGCCGTCGTGACGCCAGCAGCGCCAGTAGTCCGGATGCCCTCGCGCGTTTCGGTAGCCCAGCGAGCCTGCTTCGCCAGTCGCCTGTGGGTCCGTTGCTCCTGTGTGTGCTCGTCGTAGCCGCGGAGCCAGATACTCCCGTAGTCCGGTGCCCTCGTGCGCTCGGTAGCCACTGTGCGCGCCGCTCCTGTTGCCCGTGTGTCTGCAGCTTCAGTCGGCGCCTTTCATCTTCTCGCCCTCACAGTTTCTCCTCCTCCTCACTTGCCCTCTATGATCACCTCTAGCTTTGCTTATAATTGTGAACTATTGCTATGCCTGCTCATTGTACTGATTACACCCCACTTTGGCTATGGGGGTGTGTCAGAATGTTATTATTGTCTAGCCTGTAGTGGGGTGCTCTATAGCGAGTACAACCCAGTTAGGGTTTGCTATATGTACCCCAACTGCTGCTAGTGAAACCCCTCTCCTTTCAATCATTCTTGCCTAGTCTTGTTGACAAGACTTAGTGAAAGGATCGTTCAGGGTTGATCGCGGGTTGTGTCGCAGCGGAAGTATTGAACTCAGGTCAGAGTGAATGTAAATGACTGAGATTGATAATAGCATGCATACATTGGGTTTATATAGGAATACAAAGGAATGCGAAACGACCTAGACTAGCCATGTACTCTAAGGGGTATATTCCCTTATTGCAGCGAAATTCAAACCGTGCGGCGCGGGAATCGGTTTCAAACCTGTTCCCGCTCTTTTCATTTCAAATGTTTCTTCCCGCATCGCCCTTGGTCAGACGGTTGCTGTGTCGCTTCGATTCTTCTGACTCCTCGACTTCGTACTCGGTAGAGTCGGCTCCTGCAGCGTACAGGAATGCCTTCTCATAAAACTTCGTATCGTAACATATTTTATTGAGGTAAAACTGTATATCATTCTGGTGGTGCCTATGCACCTTGAGTTATGCAAGTGGTCTTCTCAGTTCAACCTTCATATACCAGTAAGTGCACTGTGAATGATGGGCCTTGATGAGCATATTGTCAAAATGTAAATTGTTGTGTAGGCTGTAGTGGGGTACTGAACATAGAGTACAACCCTTTTAGGGTTTCACTTATGTACTCCCTATGCCTGCTAGTGCAATCTCTCTTCCTTCTGTTATTATTCCTACTCGTTCTATTCTAACACATATCACTGGGATGGGATTGCGTAGTCCTTGGTCAATGAATGTTGCCTCAATTTGACACGGCTACAGAGGGAATGGCAAAGTCATATGTGCCATTCCAATGCCCCCCCTACAACCTCGTGCTTTCACAGAAAATCCAGTTGATCAGTCTGCCTCCCCAGAAGAAGACCAATCATTGCCCTGCCCCAGGAATAGAAATCTCAGGTAGCATCCTCTACAACAGTCACTGCTGCATTGCACAAGCAAACATTGAACACTCACAGCTTAACATCACCCGCAGCCTAACCCCGAAACTTTGTCCAAACTTCGCTCACTTACAACAACCTAGTAGCCTTAAATCCAACCCCAGTGTGTGTGAGCAGTAGTCTAGCATGCAACAAATTACTTCTCAAACATATACCAAACGCTACCCGATCCCACTGAACCTGTCACCACCACACCACACCTCTAACCCAGGCAGAACGAGGTGGTTCTGTCATTGGTGGAAGTGGTGCTTCTGCTGCTCCTGCTGCTGCAATCACTGCTGCTGCCGCTGCTGCAACACCGGCTTGCTGAGCTGACTCTGCCGGCACTACTGGACATAGCTGTGAACTGATAAGTAGTGGGAAATACCACAGAGAAAAGCTGCTGCAGAAACATGAATAAATAGGCTCTGAGCTACTGATGCTGCTGGCAAGCAGCCGCTAGGGGGAGGGTGTGGGAGCGAGTGTGCGAGTAATGTGTGAGAGGCTAAGGAGCAGGCAAGCGATCTTGCTTGGCCTGTGTGTGACGATCCAATGAAAGCTGGTGCTCAGTATAGTCTGCTAAATAGTGCGTGCATTGAGGAACCGAAGCTAGTGTGTGGGAAGGAACTGCGTGCGGCTTGTGTGCGCGGAGGAGTAGAGGCAATGGGTGAGGAGGAACAGAGGCGATTGGTGAGGAGGAGAGAGGCGACTGGTGAGGAGGAGAGAGGCGATTGGTGAGGAGGGGAGAGGCTAGGGTGTGAGGAGGAGCGGGGCTAGGGAGTGAGGAGGAGGTTGGCTAGTGAGTGAAGAGGAGGGAGGCTGGTGAAATGAGGAGGAATGGAGGCTTGTGTGTGAGGGAGAACGTAGTCTAGGGTGTGTGGAGGAGGGAGGCTAGTGTTTGAGGAGCAACAGAGGCTAGTGAATGAGGCTACTGAGTGAGGAGGAAGTGGAAGGTGCTGTTGTCTCGAATGGCTGGTGGCAGCTGCAGCGACCGCAGGTCAATCTCGTGGGTGCTCTTTGATATGTCCTCCACAGAGAATGGGATGCTGGGGTGGGTAGGGAGAAAGGAGGGGGGGGGAGGGGGGAAGACAAGGGGGTTACAGGGGAGACGTGTGGGAGAATAGGAAGGCTAATCTTGTGTGTGCTCTTTGATATGTCCTCCTCAGAGAATGGAATGCTAGACTGGGCGGGGTTGAAAATGCTGGATGGAACCTGAAATCCTTCTCCCCCTGGAACCATCACGACCTCTTTGAACCCACCTGGGACCATTCCCCAACCCTCCTCGCACCCACCTGGAATCCTTCTCCCTTCCTCGCACCCACCTGGAGTCATCACCCCCTCACTTCCCACCCACCTGGAGTCATCATCCAGAAGGAACGAGTTGCTGACTGAAGCACTGTTCTCGTCACTCATGCGCCGCCGCATCTCCGAAATAACCTCGGAGGACACGGTGTGAGTGCCGTACTTGTCATCCCAGTACATGGTGCTGATGCGGTACAGCTGCTGGATGCTCAGCGCCGGGCAGAGGTCTGATGTGATTTCCTGCATGCTCTTCTTGGGCTTCTGGTGAATCACCTGGTGGGCGCCACATGGGGAGATGGGGAGATGGGGAGATGGGGAGATGGGGAGATGGGGAGATGGGGGGAGAATGTGGAAGAGTTCATGTATGATCGCCTGCATGCTCTTCTTGGGCTTCTGGTAAATCACCTGGTAGCGCACCACACATGGGCGCATGGGGGGAGGGGAGAAGGGGGGAGGGGGCGAGGGGGAGATGGGGAGAGAGGGAGAGTGGTGGAGAGGATATGTGGATGGAAAGGTGGGAGAAGGAATATACTTTGGCACGAAGTTATTGACTTATAAAGCAGATGTCCCTTTTGGGCTTCTGATGTATCACTGAGTCAAAGGGACGGGGGGATGGGAGAGAGCAAGGGAGGGGGGCGGGAGGGGGAGAAGGAGGAAAGGGACATACCTACCATTTACTCTTGAGAATTCTCAAAAGTAAAATCCACATGGGAGGGGAGGGGGAGGGGGAGAAGGGTGAGAAGGGACATACCTACCATTTACTCTTGAGAATTCTCAAAAGTAAAATCCACATGGGAGGGGAGCGGGAGGGGGAGAAGGGTGAAAAGGGACATTTTACTTTTGAGAATTCTCAAAAGTAAAATCTACCATTTACCACTTGTTAGGGGAAAGAAAGTTTGCGCAAGGGAACTTACCAGGAAGCCAACAGCTTGGCGGATATACTTGAGCTCTTCCCACGCATTTCCGGTGTACTCATGGGTCGCCTCGTGGAGCCAATGGTCCAACTCGCCCAGCCCAGCCTTCACGTACTCGCCGTTGCTGAAGGAGCAGCACTCCCGACGCAGCAGCAGACTGCAGGTTTGTGTGTGGTGAGATGGGGTGAGGGGAGGGAAAGGGGCGGGAAAGAAGGGGATGAGCAACAGCACATGTGTGGGACATGGAAGGAGCGAGCAAATGGCTATCTCCTTAAGCTATCTTCTGAGGAAATGGCTCCTTCATAGATGTTAAGCTATTCCTGTGCTGCCACTCAAGCCATTCCATGGGTCCTCAATATGTGCCCTCCTTCCCATCCTCACCTGTTCAAGAGTTGAACGCTGATGAAGGAGAAGATCTGAGTGACGGCGTGCACACGAGGAAAGAGGACTGAGCTGCTTAACAACCCCTATGCAAGCCTCCCAACCCCTTTCAACCGAACCACAGCCCCCTGCAACCCTCTTTCCCCACCCACCGACCTGTTGAATAGCTGGACGTTGATGGAGAAGATTTGACTGACCAGCTTGCACACGAGGAAGGAAGATGGAGTTGCCTAACAACCCCACTGGAAGCCCCCCAACCCCTCTCAACCGAAACACACCCCCCTACCTGTTGAAGAGTTGCACGTTGATGAAGGAGAAGATCTGAGTGACCAACTTCCGCACGAGGAAGGACGGCACGTGACTCGCTTTGAGCGTCGTGAGCAACGTGGTGAGCGTGGCGATGATGCTGCCCCAGTGCGAGCTCAGTGCGTGCGTGGCTGTGGCCACTGGTGCCCCCCGGTGCGACGAGTGCCGCCCGTACGCCGCCCGGGAAATGCGCGGCGCCTGTTGGGGTGAATGAGTGGGATGGGATGTCGGGGGCGGGGCAGTGGGGAAGTTTCAGAGAGAGAAATGTGTTAGAATATCTCCTCTCTTGTAACCTGCATATATGCTATAGGATAGGCTAGAGATAAGCACCCAAACTTAGTTTGGGTGTACAAGCAGGGGTTACCCAATTTGTAGGTTGGAAACCCAACCTTGGTCCAATTATTGGACCCCAAGGGTTGGGATGGGTAGAATTATTGGTCCCCTCCAATAATGTTGGCCCAACTCCAACTTGGCCAACATTATTGGACCCCACCAATAATCTCCCAACCCAACTCCTTGGTTGGGGTCCAATAATGTTCACCTAGGCTAGTTTCCAACTCATCTCCTATGTAAACCCCCCATCCTTTCAATCAATCCATCAACTTCTCTTCTACCTTTTCTTCTCACAAAATGTTGGAAGAAAAGAGGGAGAAAGAGGGCAGTATGGATGGAGGCATGGGGTGGGTGTGAGGGGATGGGCAGCAGCATGGTCGAGTTTTGAGTCGACTCAGAGAGAGAAATGTCGAAAGAAAAGAGGGAGGAAGAGGGCGGTATGGATGGAGGCATGGGGTGAGAGTGAGCGGATGGGCAGCAGCAGCATGGTAAGCGTGGTAATGATGCTGCTGCCCCAGTGTGAGCTCGGCGCATTGCGCACCACGCACCTTTTGAGGCGCCTCAAAAAACGCATGCCCAACGGACACACTCACACAAGCCCAAATACACACCCCGCCACCCCCTCACCTGGATGCACTGGGCCAGGGTGGGTGAAATCTCCTTCTTGAGGTTGTCTCGGATCATCCCGTAAATTTTCTCCACGTAGGCCGTCAGCTGCTGCTTGAACAGCAGCGCCGGGTACTTGGCCTCCACCTGAGGAATGTGCTCCAGGCCCCCGCTCGCCCCCACCACCCCCGTGGGCGTCGTGGGCGACCCTCGGAAACTCTTTTGGGGAAGAGACATGGGGAAGGGCAAGGGGAAGGGGAAGGGAGAGAGGAAGAGGAAGGGAATGAGCCGGGCAGGGCACTTGGGCTCCACCTGGGGAATGTGCTCCAGGCCCCCGCTCGCCCCCACCGCTCCTGTCAGTGTTGTGGGGGAACCTCGGAAACTCTGAAAGAGAGACATGGGGAAGGGGAGGGGGAAGGGAAGGGGAGAATGTGGGTATGAGCGGGTACTTGGCCTCCACCTGAGGAATGTGCTCCAGTCCCCCACTCGCCCCCACCACTCCCGTGGGCGTTGTGGGTAACCCTCCTCGGAAGCCCTGTGGCGGAGACACGGTGAAGGGGTGCTGCACCCCGCCTCGCCTCCTCTGTGCCTACGACCCCGGCACCTTCCCAAACCCCAAACCGTACCTGTAGCTTTCCTCTGCTACCCAAGCACCCATACCTGGGTCATGCGTCCAAATAGAGTGGTCTGCTGCACCCCGCCTCGCCTCCTCTGTGCCTGCGACCCCGGCGCCCCGCTTGCCTTGAGCGTGCGCTGCAGCAGGAACAGCAGGCAGCTCGTGTTCGCCAGCTAGTAGGGCCAACCTCTCGTTGCTCTGCTGCTTCTCTATCGCCCCACTTCTAAGCCATGCCAACCCTCACACCCACTGCCCCTGAGCCTTCCCAAACCCCCACACCATACCTGGAGTTCTCTTGAGCTACCCTAACATCCCATACCTGGGTCATGCGGCCGAACAGGGTGGTCTGCTGCACCCCGCCTCGCCTCCTCTGTGCCTGCGACCCCGGCGCCCCGCTCGCCTTGAGCGTGCGCTGCAGCAGGAACAGCAGGCAGCTCGTGTTGGCCAGCCAGTACGCCAGCTTCTCGTTGCTGTGCTGGTTCTCGATGGCCCCGCCAATGGTCTGGATGATGCGGTCAAACACGCTCGTGCGCTCCGCCTCAAACGACCGCCAGTGCAGCAGCGCCTTGTACGTCACACACGCCACCACCGGCCGGCTGCTGTCAAACCCCACCTCGCTCGCTATCACCTTCAGCAGCGCCTCCTGGTCTTGCTGTCGGGATGGGGAGGGGAACAGGGAGGGGGAGGGGGAGAACGGGGTTACAGGGAAATCAGCAGTAGCTGCTGTCGAACCCACCTCGCTCACTATCACCTTCAGCAGCGCCTCCTGGTCTTGCTGTCGGGATGGGGAGGGGAACAGGGAGGGGGAGGGGGAGAACAGGGTTACAGGAAGATCAGCAGTAGCTGCTGTCGAACCCACCTCGCTCACTATCACCTTCAGCAGTGCCTCCTGGTCTTGCTGTCGGGATGGGGAGGGGAACAGGGAGGGGGAGGGGGAGAACAGGGTTACAGGAAGATCAGCAGTAGCTGCTGTCGAACCCACCTCGCTCACTATCACCTTCAGCAGCGCCTCCTGGTCTTGCTGTCGGGATGGGGAGGGGATCAGGGAGGGGGAGGGGGAGAACGGGGTTACAGGGAGGTCAGCAGTAGCTGCTGTCGAACCCCACCTCGCTCACTATCACCTTCAGCAGCGCTGGTCTTGCTGTTGGGTTGGGGATGGGGAGCGGGAGGAAAGGATACCATATTCTGCAGTTGTTCGAATGATTCAGCTGCTTGCTCTCCACTTCACGAGGCATAGCAGACGTGCTGGGAGGAGAATATGGTGGACGCCACCATGTGAGGTACTTGCTCTCCTCATGCTAAATCTGTTTTTAGCGTGAGAATTAAACAAAAAAAAAAAAAAAAAAAAAAATGCCACCACCTGAGGTACTTCCCCTCCTCATGCTAAACCATACATTATGATTCTTCTGCACCCTGATAATGTGCTGTGCCTCTTGTCCACTCACCGTCTGCCGGTCATTAAGATGACTTTTGAGGCTTCACCACTTTGCTCTCCACCTCACTGGGTGTGGCAGGGGTGCCCTGAGGGGACTCTGGTGGATGGAACATCTAAGGGCTTCCATGCTGAACCCTAAGTTACGACCCTCGTGGCCTCATAAACTATGGTTCTCGTGCACTTACCGTCTGCCGGTCGTTCAGATGCTTCAGCCGCTTGCTCTCCACCTCACTGGGCGTGGCAGGGGTGCCCTGAGGGGACTCCAGCTGATGCAGCATCTGATGCCCTTCCTCATTTTTTTACACCCACAAAATTCGCCCCTCGTGTACTCACAGTTTGCCGGTCATTCAGATGCTTCAGCCGCTTGCTCTCCACCTCACTGGGCGTGGCAGGGGTGCCCTGAGGGGACTCTGGTGGGTGCAGCATCTGAGAGCGCGGGGTGGTGGGTGATGGCAGGCCGCCCTCCAGCTGCTGACGTGTGTAAAGCGAGGCAGGCAGGGGGCCACGAGGCAGCCCGGGCTTGGCTGGCATGGCTGCTGACAGGGCCTGCTGACGCAGCACCTGGTTCTCCTGCTCCGCGTTCTTCACCTGCTCTTCCAGTCTGGAAGGGAAAGCGGGGGAGAGAAGGGAGGGGGGAGGTGAGAAGAATGAGAGGGCTGGCACTTGATTCTCCTGCTCCGCGTTCTTCACCTGCTCCTCCAATCTGGAATAATAAGGGCAGCAGAAGGGACGGGGCGAGTGAGAAACTTGAGAGGGCTGACACACACCTGGCTGTCCTGCTCCTCCAGTTCCGAAAGGCAGAAGAGGAAGAAGGGGGGTGCAAGAAGGTTGAGAGAGAAAGTAAAGCGCCTTAAACACAGACAGACAGAGCCTGTTGTCTCCGTAGCACTTGATTCTCGTGCTCCTCGTTCTTCACCTACTCTTCCAATCTGGGGAAGGGGTTGGGGGAGAGAGTAAGGGAGAGGAGATGAAAGGGGAGCAGCAAAGCAAGGCGGATCATAAGGTCTGATTGGTTGCTGCCAACACTCACACTCACCGCACACACACACACACACAGTCATCACACCCAACACCCACTCACCGCGCACAACACCCACACATCGCACACAACACCCACTCACCTCGCACAACCACTCACCGTGCGCACACCCACTCACCGTGCGCACACCCACTCACCGTGCAAAACACTCACTCACCGCGCACCCACACCACTCAGCACACACAACACCCATTCACTGCGCACAACACCCACTCACTGCACACAACACCCACTCACCACACACAACACCCACTCACCGCGCGCACAGCTCCTGCACCTTCCGCAGCTCCTCCTGCGTCTCCTCCAGCAGGCGCTCCCTCTTCCCCATCTCCTCCCTCACCTCCGCCTCCACCTGCGCCAGCCGCTCGTCACTCTCCGCCAGCAGCGCTTTCAGCCTCACATTCTCCAGCGCCAGCTCCCTGCTGCTCGCCGCTGCAAACCCCCCTCCATCTGACTGTACCGCATTCAAAGCCGCGCTTCCGAGGTTGAATGACCCAGAGGAGGCGGGGGTTGAGGTGGTGTTGGTGGTGGTGGCGGCAGGGAGGGAGGGTTTTCTTGGGGTGATGAAAGGGGAGCTTGGGGTGGAGGAGGAGCGGTGGGGAGGGGAGGACCCGGCAACTGCTGCTGCTGCGACCGCGGCCGCAGTGGGTGCGGCAGAGGCAGAGGCGGAAAGAGAAACTCTTGCGGCAGAACCAGGAGTAGCAGCAGCAGCAGCAGCAGCAAAACATGCTAGCAGAGTCGAGGGACTGGGATGCGATTTGTGCTGTCTGTGCTGCTGTTGCCAGTTCGAGAGAGAGCCTCTCGGTCTCTGCCTTGGCTGCTTGGATTTCCGCTTTGGCTGCTAGGGTTTCTGCGTGTGCCTCGTCGACCTTCTTCATTGCTCCCTCCAGCTCCTGCTGTAGCTTCTGGATCTCTGCTGTCTTTGCTTCTTCCACGTCCAGCTGAAGGGAGGGGAGGGGGTTGGCAACGAGATTAAGTGATGATGAGTGGTGCAGAGCGGTGAGGAGCAAGCAAGGCAAGGATTGCAAGGGTTCTCTCCTCCCTCCAGATCCTGCTGCAGCTTCTGGATCTCTGCTGTCTTCGCCTCTTCCACGTCCAGCTGAAGGGAGGGGAGGGGGTTGGCAACGAGATTAAGTGATGATGAGTGGTGCAGAGCGGTGAGGAGCAAGCAAGGCAAGGATTGCAAGGGTTCTCTCCTCCCTCCAGATCCCGCTGCAGCTTCTGGATCTCTGCTGTCTTCGCCTCTTCCACGTCCAGCTGATTGTGGGAACGGGTGGGGTGGGGGGTGGTTTGAGGACGAAAGTGAGTGATGGAGAGCGGTGAAGATTGGTGAGGCGCAAGGCAAACCTCGTAGGGGTCCTCTCCTCCCTCCAGCTCCTGCTGCAGCTTCTGAATCTCTGCTGTCTTTGCCTCCTCAACATCCAGCTGATGGGTGGACAATGGAGGGGGACGGGAAATCAAAGGGGTTGGGAACGAGGTTGAATGGTGGAGAGCGGTGAGGCAGAGAAAAGGGACAAGGCGGACCTCGCAAGCGACGTCTCCTCGCTCCGGTTCCTGCTGCAGCTTCTGAATCTTTGCTGCCTTTGCAACCGCCACTCGAGCTTCTCACATTGCAGAACCAGCTCTAGCAACAGTTGATCATAGCACCCATGGCATGCACACCCCAACCCTGCCCTCAGCATACACCAGCCAGTGGCAGCACTCACCCCAGCAACTCTCACCCCAGCAGCACCCACCCCAGCAGCACTTACCCTACCAGCACCCACCCTAGCAGCACTTACCCTACCAGCACCCACCCTAGCAGCACTTACCCTACCAGCACCCACCCCTGCTACCCCTACCAGGAGCACTCACCCGCATTCGCTTCTCCAGCTGCAACCGCCATGTGAGCTCCTCGCTCGCACTGCTTCTCCAGCTCTACCCCAACCGCACCTAACCCTACTCTACCACCATCCACTCACGCGCATTCGTTTCTCCAGCTGCAGCCGCCATGTGAGCTCCTCGCACTGCTTCTCCAGCTTCGTCTTTGCCTCTTGCAGTGCCCCTGTTTGCTTGGCGTCCTGCGGGCAAGGGGCATGGGGCGTGGGGCATAAGGTGTGGAGTATGAGGCATGGTCTGGTATGTTACAGTAAAGATATTGTGCTCCTCCTCGCACTGTTTCTCCAGCTTCGTCTTTGCCTCTTGCAGCGCCCCCGTTTGCTTGGCGTCCTGCGGGAGTGGCGTGTGGGGTATGGGGCATGGTGCGTGGGCACGGGATGAGGTGAGGGGCGCGGGGCGCGGAGCATGAGGTGTGGTGCATGGGGAAAAGGGTGTGGGGTGTGGCGCATAGGTTGTGGGGCATCCGCTATGGAGCATAGGGCAGGGGGTAGGAGTCATGGGGCATCTGGCATGTTGCATGGGGCATGTGGCATGTGGCATGAGGCATGTGGCATGTTGCATGGGGCACGGAACGGGAACATGGGGGATGAGGCCTGGCAAAGAATTTGTAGCGCACAACGTTATGGCAGTGAGGTATGGCATGGTATGGTATGACATGCATCATTAATTAACAATTCATCCATACAGCCAGACTCACGTGCTTGAGCTTCTTGAGCTCGAGGCGAGCAGCCCTGCCCCTCCATGCTGACTGCAGGACCAGAGCGCTCTTTTTCTTCCTCCCATACTCCTGCTGCTGCACGTGCCCTCTCCACTTGCTCTGTATGCCACAAACAAGAGAAACATAGTACAGCAGGAAAGCAAAACATTCAGGAGAGATTTAGCAGCAGCCGCAGCAGCAATAGGAGCTGAAGGGGCAGAAGACAGAGCAGGAGCAGGAGCAAGAGCAGGAGAAGGAGCAGGAGCAGGAGCAAAACCTGTAGAATCCCCACCCAACTCCTTTAACCCTCCATTCAAATCCCACCTGGTCTCCCATCTCTGCCTTGCCTCCTTACGGGGCGCCATGCCCCTCCCCCCGACTGCAGCACCACTGCTGCCTGCCACACTCGACTCTCCCCGAAACACTCACACCCACCTCCCAAACAAACTCCACCACTCAGGACCTCTCACAATCCCAAATCCGATTCCCTTACCCTCCATCCCAGCCCCACCTGAATCTTGACAGCAGCCCTGTTCTCCCGTCTCTGCCTTGCCTCCTTGCGAGCAGCCATGCCTCTCGCTCCTGCCTGCAGCACCACTGCTGCCTGCCGTGCCCGCCGGTACTTCCTCTGAGCCACGAACCGCCGCACGTGCTTCTGCACGCGCACTGCTGCCGCGTTTCTCCTGATGCTCTCGTATTGCAAGCGGGCCTTGTGACCTGATGGGTTGGGGGGAAGGGAGGAGTTATGGTGAGGGTTAGGGCGATGGGGGAAATGGAAGGGAGAGCAGGGTTTGCTGCCTCCCTGCCTGCCTCCCTGCCTGTCTCCATTCTTCCAGCCTGCCAGTCTGCCTGCATGCCTGCCATGTGCTCCGGTACTTGCTCTGAGCCACGAACCGCTGCATGTGCTTCTGCACACGCAGTGCAGCCGCGTTCCTCCTGATGCTCTCGTATTGCAGCCAGGCCTTGTGACCTGATAGGAGGGGGGCAGGGACGAGACTGGGCAGGGGTTAAGCGGATGATGGGGAAAAGGGAAATAAGAGAAAGGTTTGTTGCCATCCTTTCTCCCTCCCTCCTTTGACTGCAGCACCACCGCTGCCTGCCATGCCCGCCGGTACTTGCTTTGAGCCACAAACCGCTGCACGTGCTTCTGCATGCGCACTGCTGCCACATCCCTTTGAACGATTTACCTAGTGCCCCTACAGCCTCCCATGCCTGCCCCTATCTCACCTCGCCTCAGCGCCTGCACTCGTAGCACCCCAGCGCGCAGGCGTTGGAACATGTGTCGCTGCATCCACGCCTTGAACGCCCTCTGAATGACCTTGGCTGGCCCCTTCACCCTCACATGCCCCACACCCTTCCATGTCTGTCTGCCCCTATCTCACCTCGCCTTAGTGCCTGCACTCGCAGCACCCCCGCCCGTAAACGTTGGAACAGGCGCCTCTGCATCCACGCCTTGAACGCCCTCTGAATGACCTTGGGACGTCCCCCCACCTGTCCCCTACACAGATTCTTCTATTGCCCCCACAGCCTTCCCACCCCTTCCTCACCTCGCCACAGTGCCTGCACTCGCAGCACCCCCGCCCGTAAACGTTGGAACACGCGCCTCTGCATCCACGCCTTGAACGCCCTCTGAATGACCTTGGCGGCCTCCCCCAGCTTCTCCGCCCTCATCGCATCCAGATCCGCCATCTGCCCTGCCCTCAGAAACACCTGCGTCTTGCCCACCTGAATGTTGCGTCCAGGGGTGCGGGGGAGAGCGAGGAAGCAGGGAGGGGATGGGAGGAGATGGGAGGAGATGGGAGGAGATGGGAGGAGATGGGCGAGTGTGTGTGGGAGAATTGCGCGATTTAATTATCACTTTTAAAGTCGGGGAGGCAGAGGGAGGAGCGGGTAAGGGAAAGTGGTCGTTGGCCCACCTGGTAGTTGGAGAAGCCAAGCTTGTCCAAAAGAGTAGTGATTGCCGTCTTGTCATCCTGACTGGTGTGACAGATATGCACATGCACATGCACATCCACATGCACATGCACAACCACATGCATATGCACATGCACAACCACATACACATCCACATGCACATCCACATCCATATGCACAACCACATGCACATGCACAAGCACATGCAAGGGCCACCCATGCAAAATGCAAGTTGGTGAATAAAAGGTTACTAGCACTTGCGATCGCAAGAGGAACAGAGAGCTAGAGCTTGCATGAGATCACAAATGAGAGCTGCCAATTTGCTATCAACTGCCACCACAGGCACACTTACTCACTCACTCACTCACTCACTCTCTCACTCACCCACCTGCCATCACACGCCTCAGGGTCCAGGAAGGAGAAGCGGTCAAGGAACTCGTCAAAGGTGCGACGTGTGGGATACCCTGCACAGCTGATGCGAATGGCCTCCAGCACACCCTGTGTGGGATGGGGTTTGGGGAAAGATAGAGAAACAGGATAAGGGAACAGGGAAGCGCAATCAGAAGCGGTCAAGGAACTCGTCCAAGGTGCGACGTGTGGGATACCCCGCACAGCTGATGCGAATGGCCTCCAGCACACCCTGCGTGGGACAAGGTTATGGGCCAGGAGGGGCAAAATCATCATCACTACAAACTAAGGAGAGGGGCACTGGCCTGTTGACATTCTCAAATAGCAATTCTTATTACTGGTGATGCAAAGGAGGGAGAACATCACTCACTCTCTGCACATCGAGACTGTTTGGCTACTGAGGCGCCTCAAAATTCGTTGGCTTTGCAGAATTCTCAAGAAGCAGCTCACACCACATTGATTTAGGAATCACTTTTGAGAATTCTCAGAAGTAATTTCAATACAGCTCACACCACACTGATTTTAGAGAGCTTTCAGCTCTTTTTGAAATCGCTCAAACTTTTACTTATCTTATGTTTAACAGCTCTCAAAAACATCTTACAAGCAGCATTCCCTCACCCCGCATCTGAGCTGGTGAATCACGTTGACGTTCTCAAACAGCTGCGGCTGGTACTTGCCGTTGGGCTTCACACAACGGATGTAGTTCGGTTGGGTCTGGTTCAGAGTGGCCATGAGCTCTGCCAGTTGTTGCTGGGGGTTGGAAGGGAGAAGGAACAGAGCACAAAGGCACAGGAGTGGGAACAAGAGTGATGGGGGGGGGGCACAGGTGTTAGGGGGCTGTAGAGATGCAGTCCGGTTGAGTCAGGTTCAGAGTGGCCAGGAGCTCTGCTAGTTGTTGCTGCAGGAAGGGGGGGAACAGGGCGCAAGCACACAAAGCTATAGGTGTCAGAACGAGTTCTGAGGTGCTTCAAAGATGGGTTGAGTCAGAGTTTAGGGTAACGGAGCAGAGAGATGTGAACTTGGTCTTGGCCTTGTCACCCGTGGGAATGTGCTTACGGCAGGTGGAGAGCCAGAAAAGCAGGCAAGGACGTAAGATGGGGAGCCAGCTGAACCCTCACGCAAGGATGCCCAGCCCCGGCGTACCTTGAAGCTGGAGCCCAGCGAGGTGAACTTGGTCTTGGCCTTGTCACCCGCGGGGACGGGGAAGTGGCAAGAAGAAAAGGTTTTTTTTTTTTTTCTTTTCTTTTCTTTTTTTTTTCCAAAGTAAGGAAGGGGAAGCACCAGACGTATCTTGAAGCTGGAGCCCAGCGAGGTGAACTTGGTCTTGGCCTTGTCGCCCGCGGGGATGGCGGTAAGGGAGAGCCAGAGTAGCAGGCAAGCAAGACGGAGAGTGGGCTATAGCTCTCTAGTGGGAACACCTGGACATACCTTGAAGCTGGAGCCCAGCGAGGTGAACTTGGTCTTGGCCTTGTCGCCCGCGGGGACGGGGAAGAGGCCAGCAACGAATGGGTCCTTGGACTCGGACAGCACCGTCTGGTGCTCCATCACCACGTAGTCCTTGTTCTTTTCAAGAAACAGGTCCGTTTGATACGTGACCTGGAGGAGAATGATTGGGAGCAGCACGGCATGAAGAGGAAACACTAAACTGAATGGCCACTGTCCAACCACGAAGGGGTCCTTGGACTCTGACAGCACCGCTTGGTGCTCCATCACCACGTAGTCCTTGTTCTTCTCTCGAGAAAGAGGTCCGTTTGGTAGGTCACCTGGATAATCAAGAACAAAAAGTGGGGAAGCAGAGAGGGGGGGTGAGTGGCAGCACCGTCTGACGCTCCATCACCACATAGTCCTTGTTCTCCAGAAAGAGGTCCGTCTGATACGAGACCTGAAAAGACGGAAAACAAAAGGTGGGTGAGTAGGCAGAGAGGATAGGTGAGTGAGGGACGGCACCGTCTGATGCTCCATGACCAATTAGTCCGTGTTCTTCTTCAGAAACTGGTCCGTCTGGTAGGTCACCTGGTGAATCAGCAGATGAAAGATATTGAGGATACGGACGGAAGCGGTGAGTGAGAGCCTGCACGCTCCATCACCACATAGTACTTGTTCTTCTCAAATAGTGAGACGGTACTGGCTGGGTGTGGGAGGTCACCTGGCAGGAAGTGGAAGCGCCAAGACCAGAAAGGCACGGGTTGCATGGCATGGGCTGATCTGCCCCACCTGGCCCCCCACCTGGCCCCTCACCTGGCCCCCCACCTGGCCCCCCCACCTGGCCCCCCACCTGGCCCCCCACCTGGGCCCCCACCTATGGCAACTGCATCACCTGCCCCAACTGCCACAAACACCCACCTTGCCGTCATAATGGTCGATGGTGAAGTCGGTCTGAGTGAGTTTGGGCTTCTCAAAGATGGAAGGTTCAGAGCTTGGAGCAGCAAGGGAAACAAAGGTCCCCCCGCCCCACCTCGCCCCACCTCCCACAAATACCCACCTTGCCAGCATAGTGGTCGATGGTGAAGTCGGTCTGCGACAGCTTGGGCTTCTCAAAGATGGAAGGTTTAGAGCTTGGAGCAGCAAGGGAAACAAAGATCCCCCCGCCCCACCTCGCCCCACCTCCCACAAATACCCACCTTGCCAGCATAGTGGTCGATGGTGAAGTCGGTCTGCGACAGCTTGGGCTTCTCAAAGCGCGGATGTGTCCCCACCGTCTGGTACAGCTTCGTGGCAAACGTCTCGTGGTTCGACTTGGGGAACATGCTGCTCACACACGGGGGGGAGGGGCAGCGGGCAGGGGGTTTTCGGTGCCTAGGTAAGCGGGGGGTTCCCCACCGTCTGGTACAGCTTCGTGGCAAACGTCTTGTGGCTCGACTTGGGGAACATGCTGCTCACACACGGGGGGGAGGGGCAGCGGGCAGGGGGTTTTGGGTGCATAGGTAAGCGGGGGGTTCCCCACCGTCTGGTACAGCTTCGTGGCAAACGTCTCGTGGTTCGACTTGGGGAACATTCTGCTCACACATGGGGGCGACATGTTGGTTGAGGGGATTCACAGGAGCAAGACACAAGGAAGAGCTACAAAGAAGGGGTCACCACAAATTTCTGTGAGCAGGCAACCACGCACACGCACCATCAAGCACGTACCATTGCTCGTCAAGAAGTGAGATGATCCCCATTGGCTTCTGCACACACACGCAACAAACACAGAAGAAACGGGAGGTCAACGGGCAGACAGATGATGGCAGCACGTCACAAATTCAATATAGCCATACATACCACCAACATTTTCACAGTCCCCACCTTTTCAATGCGCGACCGGGTTGTCCACAAAGTGCTTCAAGTACCACAGAACCAACAAAACCGCGAGCGCGTATGCACACAGATAGACAAAACCGTGGACACCCAGTCACATCTCCCAACCTTTTCTATGAGCTCCAGCACGTCCTGGTTGTCCACAAACTAAATGTAGCTCCAGAACAGCCTCACCTGCCCACACCTTTCTACACCGCAACAAACCACACAGTCCCCCCGCTCACACCTTCTCTATGAGCTCCAGCACGTCCTGGTTGTCCACAAACTCGACGTAGCTCCAGTTGACGGACCAACCAGGCCATGCCATGCAAATGCTTACCGATTCTTTGCGGCTCTGATGCTCTGATGCCCAATTAACTCACACTACCCTTTCAAATCACATCACACCTTCTCTATGAGCTCCAGCACGTCCTGGTTGTCCACAAACTCAATGTAGCTCCAGTTGATCTCCTCCTTCTCGTACTCCTCTTGCTCCGCCTTGAATACGTGCTGGTGGGATAGAGTGATGGGGAGAGAGGGCGGGAGAGGTGTGGGGAAGGATTGGGACAGAGGGGATGCGAGAGATGGGAGAGGTCTTCCTCATAATACTTCTCCACTTTGGACACGAGCTGGTGGTTGAAAAAGGATGGGAGGAAATTGGAGGGATGGATCATGCAAGGGACTGGAAATATGGGAGGGACACGAGGGAGGGGGGAGATGTGATAGGTCCAACTGACACTCCTCCTCCTGCTCCGCGTTGAACAGAGGTACAGAGTTGGGTTCCCTCTCAAATGCATACCAGGGGATATGCTTCCCTCACAAGTGAATCGAAGCACACAGATTGCGATGCACACAGATTGCGAAGCACACAGATTGCGATGCACACAGATTGCGAAGCACACAGATTGCGATGCACACAGATCGCGGTGCACAGTGCACAATGCAAGCTCACGTGGTTGAAGTGCTGCTGGAGCTTCTCGTTGGCGAGGTTGATGCAGAACTGCTCAAAGCTGAACGCGGGCGAGAGGAAGGAAGAGACAAGAGACACCAAGAGAAGAGAGCGTGGAAGAGACGATAAAGGACCAAAGGAAGGAGAGAGAGAACAAAAGAACACAACTAAACTGAGAATAATGAGCCAGGGAGCATAGCTCCCTGGCTTAAGTACTAGGCAGGGCAGGCAGATCTCCTTCCCGTTGTCACAGGTGGAAGGCACACAACTAAACAAAGATGCACCCACATGTTGCCCCCAGAGCAGCTGTTTATACAACTGGACCCTCAATCTTCTACTCCCCTGACGCAATCACCTGCCCCAACCCAACCGATTCTTGTCTTCATCCAAGCCCGCTCCCACAAAAGGTGTATTTTGAGACGACTCAAAATACACCTGTCTTCATTCCAAGCCCGCTCCCACAAAAGTCCACTCCCGCACTCCATGCGAGACTTGCTACGCCCTGACTGACCTAATGCATATAGATATCGACCTTGAAGGTCTCAAAGCCATAGATATCGAGCTCTGAGGCATCTAGAAATCCAGCCTCTTGCTTTCCAATCTCTCTCCCACTCAACACCACCCCACACTCCATGTGAAATTTGCCATGTACCCCAACTGACCTGTTGCACTGGAAGGTCTCGAAGCCATAAATATCAAGCACGCCGATGATGGTCTTGGCGTTGGGGTCCTGCCCTATGGACTTGTTTACCTTGTCCACCAGCCTGAGGAGATGAGGGAGGGAGAGGGGGCGGAAGAGATGGGTAGGGTGGGGGTACACGAAAGGAAAAAGCAATCTTTGCAACGTCCTGAAGGTTGCAAAGGCCGATGATGGTCTTGGCGTTGGGATCCTATCCACCAGCCGTCGGTGTTGGACTTGTTCACCTTCTCCACCAGTTTGGAGGGAGAGGGGGCAAGGGGGGACAAACGAAAGGAGAAGACGACATTTGAAACGTCTAGAAAGCTGAGCATTGGGCGACTTTTGAGGCGCCTCAAAAATAAACGAAAGGAGAAGACGACATCTGAAACGTCTACAAAGCTGAGCATTGGGTTCCTGCCCTATGGACTTGCTGTTTACTCAGCTCACAGTTCATCACTGAATGTGGTTTTCTCACTCAGCTCACCAGTCGAAGAGGCGCGCATAGATAGTCTTGGCGAGGGTGTCTCGGCTGATGACTGCTGCTGCCGAGTCGATGAGACGCCTTATGACGGGCCAAAAACAATCCACCACTGCATGCCATTCAAGCAGCTCACCAGTCGAAGAGGCGCGCATAGATGGTCTTGGCGAGGGTGTCTCGGCTGATGACTGCTGCTGCCGAGTCGATGAGACGCCTTATGACGGGCCAAAAACAATCCACCACTGCATGCCATTCAAGCAGCTCACCAGTCAAAGAGGCGCGCATAGATGGTCTTGGCGAGGGTGTCTCGGCTGATGACTGCTGCTGCCGAGTCGATGAGACGCCTTATGACGGGCCAAAATCAATCCACCACTGCATGCCATTCAAGCAGCTCACCAGTCAAAGAGGCGCGCATAGATGGTCTTGGCGAGGGTGTCTCGGCTGATCACCGCTGCGGTTGGGTCCAGCTCCTTCTTGATGTTGCCGTCCCGCGTCACCAGCGTGCGCGAGATGAGCGACTCCCTTAGCTGCTTCTTGTCCACCCTGTCATGTCAACAGCAGGATACGAGGGTGGAAGAAGCATGAGCGGCCACTTTGGTTCGGCTCACGAAGGTCAAGCTCCTTCTTGATGTTGCCATCCCGCGTCTCAAAAGAGACTTGTTGCCAGAGACCTTGGACGAGTGCTTGCTTGCTTTCCCTTGCTTACCTGGGTTGTGATGATCCAAACTAATCCATTCCCTCCCACCTGCCTGCTTCTTACCTGAGCCGGGAAGCAGCGGCTTCCAAGTGGTACTTGGAATTGTCATCCGACACCTTGAAAGTCGGGCTGCTTGTCTCTGACACAGACCTGAGCATTGGCGTGAGTGGGAAGGATGAAAGCCCCATCCCATCACCTGAGCAGGGAGGCAGCGGCCTCCAGGTGGTACTTGGACTTGTCGCCCGACACCTTGGATGAGTCGGGCTGCTTGTCTCTGACACCAGAATACAGACCTGAGCAGTGGCGTGAGTGGGAAGGATACTAGCCCCACCCCCCGTCCAACCACACCCCTGCCCCATTCTCACCTGAGCAGGGAGGCAGCGGCCTCCAGGTGGTACTTGGACTTGTCTCCTGACACCTTGGACGAGTCGGGCTGCTTGCCAGGTGCAAACGTGATGTTGCCCAGATGCAGGATTGCCGCCACCACCTGGAATATCGAGTCCTGCGTGAAGATGGATGGGAGAGAGTACGAGCAAGACTAGTGAGGAACCGAATCCGATGCACCTCAACAGTAGGCTGCTTGCCCGGAGCAAACGGGATGTTGCCCAGATGCAGGATTGCCGCCACCACCTGGAATATCGAGTCCTGCGTGAAGATGGATGGGAGAGAGTACGAGCAAGACTAGTGAGGAACCGAATCTGATGCACCTCAACAGTAGGCTGCTTGCCCGGAGCAAACGCGATGTTGCCCAGATGCAGGATAGCTGCCACCACCTGGAATATCGAGTCCTGTTGTGGTGAATTGGGGTGGGGGAGAAGGAAAGAGGCAGGGCAAGAAAGCGAGATGGAGAGCGGTTAGAGAGGGAATGCAATGTTTCCCAGACGCAGAAAGACCTCCACCACCTGGAATATTGAATCCTGCCGGGAGAGGGTGGGTGGGGAGAGAAGGGCAGGGGGGAGGGGGTAGGAGCAAAAAATAACAGAAGCCTACACCACGCCCATATGCCAATTGAAGTGTAGACTGCATGTGATGCGGGAAATAACAGAAACCATCCCATTTTAGCTGCTGCTGTAGTCCTACCTGCTCCTCAGGGCTCGCCTCGTCTTGATGTACTCATCCGCGATTGTCTCCTTGCCAGGCAGCTCAACTCCCCACCCGTTCCCTCAGTCACATTGTTGCCTTCAGCCCCACCTTCTCCCTCAGCCACAGGCCCACACCCCTACCTGTTCCTCAGGACTCAGCCCAACCACGTCCATGGCTCGCCTCGTCTTGATGTACTCATCCGCGTTCGTCTCCTTGCCAGGCAGCTCGAAGCAGTTGCTCTGGTTGAGGTAGTGGAACGTCTCTGCTGGCGCCAGCTTCAGCCTCTCCACCTCCTGTGGGCACACATGACATGGGGTTATAGGATATGGAGCATGGAGATATGGGGGGATGGGGTGGGAAAGGCACACGGGCATGGGGGTGAGTAAACGAAGCAGTTGCTCTGGCTGAGGTAGTGGAACGTCTCTGCTGGCGCCAGCTTCAGCCTCTCCACCTCCTGTGGGCACACATGACATGGGGTTATAGGATATGGAGCATGGAGATATGGGGGGATGGGGTGGGAAAGGAACACGGGCATGGGGGTGAGTAAACGAAGCAGTTGCTCTGGCTGAGGTAGTGGAACGTCTCTGCTGGCGCCAGCTTCAGCCTCTCCACCTCCTGTGGGCACACATGACATGGGGTTATAGGATATGGAGCATGGAGATATGGGGGGATGGGGTGGGAAAGGCACACGGGCATGGGGGTGAGTAAACGAAGCAGTTGCTCTGGCTGAGGTAGTGGAACGTCTCTGCTGGCGCCAGCTTCAGCCTCTCCACCTCCTGTGGGGGCATGAGGGTACATATACACATGGGGACACGGGGGCACATACGCACATGAGGGCATCGGTGAGATGGGAAAAAAGTGGCAGATGGGTGAGTAAGGCAGGTCGAAGCAGTTTCTCTGGTTGAGGTCGTGGAACGTCTCTGCTGGCGCCAGCTTCAGCCTCTCCACCTCCTGTGGGCACACATGACATGGGGTTATAGGATATGGAGCATGGGGATATGGGGGGATGGGGTGGGAAAGGCACACGGGCATGGGGGTGAGTAAACGAAGCAGTTGCTCTGGCTGAGGTAGTGGAGCGTCTCTGCTGGCGCCAGCTTCAGCCTCTCCACCTCCTGTGGGGGCATGAGGGTACATATACACATGGGGACACGGGGGCACATACGCACATGAGGGCATCGGTGAGATGGGAAAAAAGTGGCAGATGGGTGAGTAAGGCAGGTCGAAGCAGTTTCTCTGGTTGAGGTCGTGGAACGTCTCTGCTGGCGCCAGCTTCAGCCTCTCCACCTCCTGTGGGCACACATGACATGGGGTTATAGGATATGGAGCATGGGGATATGGGGGGATGGGGTGGGAAAGGCACACGGGCATGGGGGTGAGTAAACGAAGCAGTTGCTCTGGCTGAGGTAGTGGAACGTCTCTGCTGGCGCCAGCTTCAGCCTCTCCACCTCCTGTGGGGGCATGAGGGTACATATACACATGGGGACACGGGGGCACATACGCACATGAGGGCATCGGTGAGATGGGAAAAAAGTGGCAGATGGGTGAGTAAGGCAGGTCGAAGCAGTTTCTCTGGTTGAGGTCGTGGAACGTCTCTGCTGGCGCCAGCTTCAGCCTCTCCACCTCCTGTGGGCACACATGACATGGGGTTATAGGATATGGAGCATGGGGATATGGGGGGATGGGTTGGGAAAGGCACACGGGCATGGGGGTGAGTAAACGAAGCAGTTGCTCTGGCTGAGGTAGTGGAACGTCTCTGCTGGCGCCAGCTTCAGCCTCTCCACCTCCTGTGGGGGCATGAGGGTACATATACACATGGGGACACGGGGGCACATACGCACATGAGAGCATCGGTGAGATGGGAAAAAAGGGGCAGATGGGTGAGTAAGGCAGCTCGAAGCAGTTGCTCTGGTTGAAGCAGTGGAACGACTCTGCTGGCGCCAGCTTCAGCCTCTCCATGGGGCCACATACGCACATGGGGACATGGGCGCATGGGTGAGACAGGAAGATGCACACATGGGCATGGGCTGGGCACAGCAGGTCGAAGCAGCTGTTCCACAACGTACCTCAGGGGACGCTCCCGAGCAGAGTTGGTAGAAGCAGTGGTAGACTGGTAGTTGCGCTCAGGGTCTGAGATCTGCACCACACGGGACCTCTCCAGCAGGTACGTACCTGCATCGCGCACACGGTTGCCCCTGAGATGCGTCCAGATCCATCGAATTAGATCTCCACAACGTACCTCAGGGGAAGCACCCGAGCAGAGCTGATAGAAGCAGTGGTAGTTGCGCTCAGGGTCTGAGATCTGCACCACCCGGGACCTCTCCAGCAGGTACGTGCGCACAGCTGCTCCCGAGATGCGTCCAGATTCATCAAACTGGATCTCGACAAACTTGCCAAAACGGCTGGAGCAAAATTGTTGTGCGTGTGAAACGATTGCGGATAGGAAGGGAGCAAGTAGTGAGGGTGAGATGGCAGGAGAAGTGGGGGAAGTGAGGGGATGGGGACAGTGGGAGAGGCACACAGGGACGGAAGTGGGGGGAAAGGGGAAGACTAGTTAGAAGGCTGCTTATGAGTGAGGAACAGGCATGCACGTGGATGGAAAAAGTTTGGATTCAAGCAGGGGATATTACGATGGACGGGGTGGGAAATAGGAAGGGTTTCAGAAAGTGGGTTAAGAATGTGAATGAAAATGGCTGTTGGAATCGTGGGATGGGCTGCGAGAAGAACATGTGTTGAAAGACATGCGTTAGGCCAAGTGAGGTGGCAAATAAAGAACAATCCAGGACCTGGAGCTGTTTTAAGTTTTCCCAAGCGCTTCAAGCAGCAGATGCATGAATTTCTCTGCGATATTGGAAATAGCATTGAATTCTAGGAAACCCCATCCCTCACCTGGAGTTGTTGTTTCTGACAGTCTTCGCATTCCCAAACGCTTCAAGCAGCGGATTTGACTGCACAGAGCAGGGTAGCATCAGAAAGAACCACTCTTGAGGACTCAATTCAGAATCCAGAAACAGAAACAAGCACCCAGATCACAAGTAACGGCTTCAGCAGAAGTATGGTGAAACACGTACCTCCAGCACTTGAGCCTCCACGGATCGGCCCTCTGTGGCCCGCCCTCCCATGTATGCCAGACTCTGCATGAGCAGCTTCGTGGTCTCCGTCTTGCCGGCACCGCTCTCCCTCTTTCCCTCATACATACCCAGAGTTTAGAGTACCTCCCAGCACGTACCTCCAGCACTTGAGCCTCCACGGATCGGCCCTCTGTGGCCCGTCCTCCCATGTACGCCAGGTATTGCATGAGCAGCTTCGTGGTCTCTGTCTTGCCCGCACCGCTCTCCCCGCTCACAAGGATCGACTGGCTCAGCTTGTAGTCCACCATCGCCCTGCCAGTGGCGACATGGGGTTACCAGGTAACATGGTGGTGGAAAGGGAGCAGGGGACAGGGAGCAGGAGGGAGGTTGGGTGAAGGGTGACAAAGGCCCACTGGCTCAGCTTATAGTCCACAGGCATGAGCACGGGCCGGGCCGGGCCCGGCCCTGGTCGGGCCACGCCGGGCCCTGCAAAAAACCGGGCCGGGCCTGGCCCGGCCCGACCCGGGCCGAATCAGGGAGATTGTGGCCCGAGCCCGGGCATATGGTACTCGGGCCAGGGTGGCCTGACCCGGGCCGTGCAGGACCCGGCCCGGCCCGGGTGGTCATTTGATGCAGTAGCTCATGCTTTAGGGCCTGCTTTGAAGTCCCATAGCCCTAAGGGCCCGACCCGGGCCGCGCTTCGAGGCGGGCCGGGCGGGCCGAAACCCAAAATCTGAGGCCCGGCCCGGGGCAATTCCGGGCCGGCCCGACCCGGGTCGGGCCCAGCCAGGATTTTTGCTCATCCCTAAGTCCACCATCGCCCTGCCAATAGCCACAAGGGGTTACCAGGTAACACGACGGGAGCAGCGTGGTAGGGTGGGGGGAAGAAAAGGTGGAAGCGGGGAGGTAGGGTGGCAGGTTGACAAGGCATATATGGTGTGCCTGAACGCACGCAAGAACGCTCTCCACACACCCACGGAAGCACACACACGCACGGAAGCATACACACGCACGGAAGCACACACACGCACGGAAGCACACACACGCACAGAAGCACACACACGCATGGACCTGAAGGAGGTTTCAGCGATGGCAAACACGTGGGGACTCAGCTCTCCGAGGCGGGACCCGCGGTACTGCTCTATCATGTGCACATCGTACAGGTGGGGCAGGCCCCACCTCCAAGAACCGCACTCCACACATGCACGGACCCACACTACCACACTCCACACCTGCACGAACCTGAAGGAGGTTTCTGCGATGGCGAACACGTGGGGGCTCAGCTCGCCCAGGCGGGAGCCCCGGTACTGCTCCATCATGTGCACATCGTACAGGTGGGGCAGCCTCTGGAAGGGATTCACTGCGATGAGGATGCTGCCCGTGTATGTCTGCTCACGCACCACCACCAAGAAAAGCCAGGCATGCATTGTGCAGAGTAACAGGGGCAGGAAATGCGCGGGAGCAGAAGAGGTCGGATGGGAGGTAAGTATCGAGTTGCGGCGATGAGGATACTGATACTGCCTTCGTACGTCCACCCGTGCACCATCACCAACACAGCCAGGCAGCAGATTGCCCCGAATATTGGGTTGCAAGAACTGCAGGAAAGTATGCAACTTACGAATATGACAGCAACTTTCGTACATCTCATAGAGGGAACATCGCATGGCCACGTTGTGTAAGTCGCACAAGGCTCGTGAAGGTTCGCGAGCTTCGCTTACGCTGCATAACGCCAATTGCGGGGGGACGCGGTGGTAACTCACGTAGATTTCGTCGAGCGAGTATCGCACGGCGAGGTTGTGCAGCACGCCGGGCTCGTGGAGGTACGCAAGCTTCGTCATGTCGTCCACACCGCCGCTCGGCGCGTCTGGATCCTTCGGGTGGATGTGCTTCAGCCGGTACACCGTCTGCACGGATGACAAGCAATTTGGGTGATGTATGACAATTAGTTTGGGTGATGGATGAAAGTCAGTTTGGCGCGTGCTACGACTTGAGCAGCACGCTGGGCTCGTGGAGGTACGCGAGCTTCGTCATGTCGTCCACACCGCCGCTCGGCGCGTCTGGATCCTTCGGATGGATGTGCTTCAGCCGGTACATCGTCTGCACGGAGGTACGGACGCACGGACGAGCAGTATGGATCATTACGGTCTACGAGGGGTCATTGCTGGCATGCTAATCGACTCGGAGTGAGACGGGTGGATGCTTCAACCGGTACAGTTTCTGCACGGACGAACAGTGTGGATCAGTACGGGCTGCCAGGTGACACTGTTAGCATGCTAAGCGTTTTGGACTGAAACCGGTGGATGTGCTTCAGCCAGTAAACCGACTGCACGGATATTTCGGATGCTGGTTCAAGATCAATTCGACACGCGTGATACGAATCGGGTGAGACGGTTAGCATGCTACGAACCAGCATGACACGAACGAGCGTGACATGAAGAGCGTTATACGAAGAGCGTGATACAATACGCGAAGGACGAGGCAGACAGAATCCATAACAGAAACATTACTTCGTGGAAATCCACCTCGCGCGAATCGCATTGCTTCGAAACCTCGAGAATTTTCTACGTGGGACGGCTGAGACGCGTCTGTCTGTCTGTACGAACCTCCTTATCCCCGACTTTGACCGTTACTTTCTTCTTCTCCACCTTCACCACCTCCCCCTCCACCCATGCTTGGTCCGGGTCCTCCACCCACACGAACGACCCCACGACGACTTTCGCGTCTGCCGTCTGCAGAAACAGCAAGCGAAGAAACCGAAAACGGATGATTTGCGAGTGGATTCGTAAGCTTCTGAGCATGTAAGGGACAGAAATGCGATGCAGTTTGCTAAGTTTCCTACCATGATGTCCTCCTGTTGCTGAGACTTGGCCGCTAGTGGGATCGCACGGAACCGATCAGCATGGCCAGTATGCGAGAGATGTAGCCTCCTAGGAGATGTGACCCGAATTCAGCAGGCACCGCTGAAGATGAAAATACCTGTGACTACCCGATCAACTCTCTAGGCTGAGCTTAACCTAGATTCCTCCTCGCAACACTTGTGAATCTGAGAGTTTGTTGGAGCGGATGAGCCAGAATGTGCCTGTATCAAAACATTGAAAGTGACGATGATGGTTCCATTCATTACTGTGACTTGGAAAATGTATCGTATCGTAAACCTCCTTTTATCGTAAACACTAGACAAGAAAACCTAACAACCGCTCTACGCCGAAATGGCGTCTGGACAAGCATCATTATGGGTATATCTCGGAGCAAAGAGGCCCTTCTTGATGCTGATTGGATTGGTTGTGGGATGATGGGTGTAAGGCAGCGCAAACCGTCGATTTTGACGACGCTGAGAGCTTGCCACGGTGGCACTGTCAGAATCGCTACAGCATAGTGCCTAATCCACTTTGTGAGTAAAAACGTTGTGGCGATCAACTTTCCAGTTTGGCATATAATCGAGGTAGGAAATGTATTTGCAAACAGTTTGTGCGACACCCGTTTTCATGTGGGAAATGAAGCAAGAAGCCACGACAATCAGGTCTGGATATTCCAACGCTTCGACAGAGTCAATGAGAAAGAACTTATGTTGTGATTGTCTTTATCTTGATTGTGTGGTTACCTTTCTTGTTAGATGCAACTCTGCCAAAGTCTTTTACATTATGTGTGCTCTTTGGACGAAGTTTGTCGCTTATCAGCAATGCAGACATCGTACAAAAAAAGTGGAAGTTAGTAGCAACGAAATTAAGCTTACAAAAAAAACTGCACTTAAAGCCCGCATGCAAAATAGTGACCCCCCCCTTCTAGTTGGGTCCACTAGAAAGCTCATGAAAATTTTTAGAAAGTTTGGTGTTTTTTTTTTTTAACAGGGCAAGTCCCCAAGTAGTAACAAGACCGGTTTGAAGTTGTTTCCAACTTCTGATACGATCAGTCGCAACATGCACAGAATTGTCGCAAGCTTGCTATGACATTTCCACTTCTCCCACCCATCCAAATCCGCATCGAGCACAACACATCACAAATTTCACAACGGAACCTGCCACCACACACGCAGCATACAGACAATGTTGAGCTAACTAACAACACAGAGTGATGCAAGTAGCAAACAGAAGAACGAAAAGGTGACTCGAGAGGAGAGAGAGGGGCCGACGGGAATTAGAACGGTAAGGGAGGGGGTATAGCGAGGGCGATTTACCGTACAATGGGGGAGATCGCGGGCGACGGAAAATGGAGTAGATCGCGTAGGCGACTGCAAATGGGGGATCGCTATGAGATCACGTGGGAGATAGCGAGCGCGACGGGGAGAGGGGGGAGAAACAACGAGCACCACGGGGTGAAGGGGGGAAATAGCGACGGCGCGGAACGTGATGGGAGATAGCGACGGCGCGAGACGTGCTTGCTAGCTTAACTTATGTCGCGAGACGTGATCGGAGGGGAGGCCATGAGCGCGAAGGCGATGCGAAGACAGGTGCACGTGAGCGCGATGGTGACGGGAGGGCGGAACGTGAGCGCGATGCCGATGGGAGGGGAGGACGTGAGCGATAGGAGATGAAGTGGGGAAGGAGAAAGGCGACGAGAGGGAGAGCGATAAGGCGATGGGAGGGAGAGCGGACAGGCGACGGGAGAGAGAGCGCGAAGGTAGGGAGGGCGGACAGGCAACGGGAGGGAGAGCGCGAAGGAGACGGGAGGGAGGGTGCCGACGGGAGGGAGAGCGCGAAGGCGAGGGGAGGGGGAGCGGACAGGCGACGGGAGAGAGAGCGCGAAGGCGAAGGGAGGGAGGGCGGACAGGCAACGAGAGGGAGAGCGCGAAGGAGACGGGAGGGAGGGCGGACAGGCAACGGGAGGGAGAGCGCGAAGGAGACGGGAGGGAGGGCGCGAAGCCGACGGGAGGGAGAGCACGAAGGCGACGGGAGAGAGAGCACGAAGGCGAGGGGAGGAGGAGCGCACAAGCGACGGGAGAGAGAGCACGAAGGCGACGGTAGGGACGGGGGTTCAGGCATCGGGAGGGAGAGCGCGAAGGAGACGGGAGTGTCAAACATACATGCTGCATATTGTCTAGGCTGTAGTGGGGTAGCCCATATGGGGTACAACCCAATTAGGGTTTACTACTTGTACTCCTGCATGCTGTTAGTTCACCCATTCCTGCTGTCAGATTCTAACATGGTTTCAGAGCACTAAGGTCCGTAGGACCGTTTTTTTCGGGCCCACCTACCGTTGCGGTTACCGCGCTACCCCACGTACCTGCCTGCCTTGCCTTGCCTTGTGACGTGTTGCAATACGCGAGCCGTCCAGCAGCCCTCGCGCTGCCTCCTGCTGCCCTAGGCCAGCGCGCTGCCCCTAGAGGCCCGTAAGGCCCGCGCGCCGCCCCTACACGCCCTTCAGGCCTGCGCAGCCCGCACCGAGCCGCGCGCAGCCCGCTGCTACCGCGAGCTGCCCGCACCGAGCCCGCACAGCCCGCACAGAGCCGCGCGCAGCCCCCTGCAGCCGCGCGCAGCCCGCACAGAGCCGCGCGCAGCCCGCTGCAGCCGCGCGCAGCCCGCACCGAGCCGCGCGCAGCCCGCTGCAGCCGCGCGCAGCCCGCACCGAGCCGCGCGCAGCCCGCTGCGGCAGCGCGCAGCCCGCACAGAGCCGCGCGCAGCCCGCTGCAGCCGCGCGCAGCCCGCACCGAGCCGCGCGCAGCCCGCTGCAGCCGCGCGCAGCCCGCACCGAGCCGCGCGCAGCCCGCGCCAAGCCCACGCAGCCCGCGTCGAGCCGCGCGCGGCCTGCTACGGCCTCGCGAGGCCCGCGCGCGGCCCGCAGCAGCCCGCGCGCGGCCCGCAGCAGCCCGCGCCGAGCCGCACGCGGCTCGCCACTGCCTAACGCAGCCGCGCGCGGCCTGCAGCAGCCCAGCGCGCTGTCAGCGCAGCCCGCGCCGAGCCGCGCGCGTCCCTCTGCCTCGGCCCCGACCTGCCGCTGATACGGCCCCGCCCTGCAGCTGCCACGGCCCCGACCTGCCGCTGAAGCGGCCCCGCCCTGCAGCTGCTTCGGCCCTACTCTGCACCGGGTGTTGCGGCCCCGACGTCGCCGCTGTCGTGCGCCTACTCGGCCGCCGCCCGTTGAGCGCCGGCCCTGCTCGCCCGGCGAGCGCCTGCTCTTCCAGCCTTTGGTGAGCGCCTGCCTGCCTGCCTGCCTGCCTGCCGGCCTGCCTGCCTGCCTGCCTGCCTGCCCGCCTGCCTGCCTGCCTGCCTGCCTGCCCGCCTGCCTGCCTGCCTGCCTGCCTGCCTACCTGCCTGCCTGCCTACCGGCCTGCCTGCCTGCCTGCCTGCCGGCCTGCCTGTCTGTCTGCCTGCCTGCCTGCCTGCCGGCCTGTCTGTCTGTCTGCCTGCCGGCCTGCCTGCCTGTCGGCCTGCCGCGCCTGCCCTGCCCGCGCTACTGCTGCTGCTACTGCTACTGGCCGGTGGCCAGATGCAGCTCCAGCGACGTTCACGTGAGTCTCTCACGCCCCAGCAGCTTAGTGAGTGGTATACTAGCTGGGGTTGTCGCGGTAGCAGTCGTAGCTGTCCCCCTGGAGCTGGTCAGTTGGGAGCGTCTAGCAGTGGCCAGCTGCAGCTGCAGCGGCGTCCTCGCGAGACACTTACGTCCCGGCAGCTCCACGAGTGGTACGCTCAGTGTAGCAGGTCTACGCGTACAGTTCGCTGCCAGTACGTCATTCGCACAGGTGATCGGGTTGGTCAGCCTTGCGGGACGCTTGGTCACACACAGTCCCGCTGCTTCGCCCGTCTGAGTGACGCCTGGCGTACAGTGTTTGGCGACGAGGCTGAGCTCCCCGACTGGCTGGAGCTGCTTGGACGGAGGGTAGATATCTTTGCTCCTGACTATGATGCTATTCTCACTGCCATGTATGCATTGCCTACTAGTGTTGACCGTGCCTGTTACCTGTGCGTCCCGCCTGACCCTGGTATAGCACCTGCTGCTCCCGAACTGGTGAGACTGCTGCCCTAGGTGCTCGTGCGTCTCCTCCTCTGGGTGCTGGTGAGGCTGCTGCTCTAGGTGCCGGTACGTCTCCTGCTCCAGGTGCTGGTGAGTCTGCTCTCTCTGGTTCTGCGCCTGCTGCGGCCTTGTACACCTTCACGCTTGACTCAGGTGCTTCCCGCTCCTTCTTTCGCGACTGTACCACACTCACGCCGCTTAGTCGGCCGGTTCCAGTCTCCCTGGCGGACCCCTCCGGGGGTCCAGTCCTTGCCCACTACTCCACGGTTCTGCCGTGTCCGGCCGCCCCGTCTGGCTTGCTGTCAGGTCTTTACCTCCCCTCGTTCTCTATGAACTTGGTGAGTGGAGCTGACCTCCAGGATAGGGGGGTGCACCAGTTCACTCCTGCGAGTCAGCGAGTGACTCACTGTACGTGTGCTCGGACCGGCCGACACCTGGCCACGTTTTCCCGTGCGCCTGGCTCGAGTCTGTACACCCTGACCACTAAGTCCCCTCAGGTCGCTGCGTCTGCGTCTGCGTCAGGTCAGTCGACGGCCCCCTGCGAGTGTCGCGCTTTGTCGCACCAGACCCTCCTGTGGCACCACCGCCTTGGTCACCCCTCGGTGCAGCGCCTTCGTGGCATGCACTCTCGCTTCCTGGTTTCTGGTCTGCCCAGGTCTTTGCCTGCCCTGCCTCCCTCGCTTGCGCCGCCCTGCATTCCTTGCGTCGAGGGGCGGCAGCGCGCCGCTCCTCACTCCTCCTCGTTCCCTCCCACAGAGGCTCCCCTGCAGACTCTCCACCTGGACGTGTGGGGCCCAGCCCGCGTCCGTGGACAGGGCCACGAGCGGTACTTCCTGCTGGTTGTTGACGACTACACGCGCTACACCACGGTCTTTCCCCTGCGCAGCAAGGGGGAGGTCCCTGCTGTTTTGATCCCTTGGATCCGCGCTGCCCGTCTCCAGCTCCGCGAGCGGTTCGGGACGGAGTTTCCCGTCCTGCGTCTGCACTCTGACAGAGGTGGTGAGTTCTCCTCAGACCTCTTAGCAGCTTTCTGTGCGAAGCACGGCATCACCCAGTCGTTCACGCTTCCGGCCTCTCCACAGCAGAATGGGGTTGCTGAGCGCCGCATTGGCTTAGTCATGGAGGTCGCTCGTACCTCCATGATCCATGCGGCTGCCCCCCATTTTCTGTGGCCGTTTGCGGTCCGGTACGCCGCGCATCAGCTCAACCTCTGGCCCCGTGTCTCCTTGCCGGAGACCTCGCCCACGCTGCTGTGGACGGGGAAGGTTGGCGATGCGTCACGTTTCCGGGTCTGGGGTGCTCGTGCCTTTGTCTGCGATACCACCGCGGACAAGCTCTCCGCCCGTGCTGTTCCCTGTGTCTTCCTTGGCTTTGTCCCTGACACGCCTGGTTGGCAGTTTTACCATCCCACCTCGCGCCGTGTCTTTGCGTCTCAGGACGTCACGTTCGATGAGTCGGTTCCCTTTTACCGTCTCTTCCCCTACCGCGCTGCCCCTCTCCCTCCCCCGCCGCTCTTCCTCGCTCCAGGTGCTCCCCAGGTAGACCCCCTCCCCGCTCCCGGTCCTGCTCCTTCAGGTGTGTCTCAGGTAGACCCTCCTCCCTTCCCTGCGCCGGTCGAGGTCACTGGTGACTCAGGTCCTACTGGGGGTGGTCCTGCTCGGGGTGCTACTTCTGGGGGTGCTGAGCCTGGGGGTGCGGAGCTTGAGAGTGTGGAGCCTGGAGGTGCTGAGCCTGCGTGTGAGGGGTCTGGAGGTGCTGGAGCTGGTGGTTCTGGGGCTGCTGAGGGTGCGGGCGCTGGAGGTTCTGGAGCTGCTGGAGGTTCTGGTGCTGGTGGCGCTGGAGCTGGTGGTTCTGGGGCTGCTGAGGGTGCGAGCGCTGGAGGTTCTGGAGCTGCTGGAGGTCCTGGTGCTGGTGGCGCTGGAGCTGCTGAGGGTGCTGGCGCTGAGGGTTCAGAGTCTGCTGTTGCGCGGTCTCCTTGGAGTAGCCGCCTTCGTCCCCGTGTGCCTCTCACCTCGCAGCAGCTGCACGACTGGTACGGTCGCCGTCAGGGTCGCGCTGCTGGAGCCCGGGGCTCTGCTGCTGGAGGTACTTCTGCTGACGTCCCTGGAGCTAGGAGTGGTGCTGGTACTTTGTCTACTGGAGGTGCTGGAGTCGCTGGTCCTGGAGGTGCTCGTACTGGAGGTACTGGAGCTGCTGGGGCTGGGGGTGCTGCGTCTGGGGGTGCTGCTGCTGGAGACACCGAGGCTGGAGACCCTGGGACTGGAGGTGCTGGTTCTGGGGGTGCTGCTGCTGGCGGCACTGCGGTTGGAGACCCTGTGCCTGGAGGTGTCGGTTCTGGGGCTGGAGCTTCTGGAGCTGCTGGAGGTGCTGGAGCTGCTGGAGGTACTGGAGCTGCTGGAGCTGCCGGTACTGGTGCAGCTGCGCCGACACGACTGTTCTTCGCTCCGCCGTCTCCGTCGTCTCTGCCGCCGCCTGACTCTGTTCTTCGTCAGGTTCTTACTCTCCCGTCGTCTACTGGTCTTCCGTTACAGCTTGGCTCACCGCTGCCTGCTCCTTCTCCTTACACTGAGCAGACAGGTAGTCTTGCTGAGCGTCGTGAGCCTGCGTCGCGTCCTGTCTCGCCTGTTGGTCCTAGTCGTACCGGTCGTCGTGTTCCTCGTCCGCGTCAGCCGGCTGTCCCCGGCACACGCCTTGTAGCCCTGCGTCGGTCCCCTACTCCGGAGCGTACTCCTCTTCCGTCTCCCCCTGCGTCCTCTTTGCCTGACGTTCCGGACCCTAAGTCTGACCGGTTTCGTGCTGAGCACCCTACTGTCACGCGTCTGCTAGCCACTGTTGTCACTGACCCGTCGTTTGAGTCTGCTGCTGCGTCTGCCCTGGTCGCTGAGCTTGTTGACTTTGCTGCTGCCTGTCGTCTATACTACGCTGCTAGTCTTGTTGCTGAGTCTGAGTCTGTCTGTCCTCCGTCCGTCGGGGGTGAGTATGCTCTTGGCACGGACGTCCTTGAGGACAGGCACGAGGACCTTGAGTGTCTTGCAGCCGCTGCGCCTCATCTCGTGGCCATGCTACTTGCCCCTGAGGGAGACCCGGATGCTATAGACATCCCCACACCGCGCTCTTACGCTGAGGCGATCGCGGGTCCCTACTCCTCTCAGTGGCAGGCAGCCATGGACGCAGAGATGGCATCTTGGAAGTCCACAGGCACTTACGTCGATGACGTTCCCCCTCCCGGGGCGAACATCGTCGATGGCATGTGGATTTTCAGGGTGAAGCGGCCGCCAGGTTCTCCGCCTGTCTTCAAGGCGCGTTACGTTGCTCGAGGCTTCAGTCAGCAAGAGAAAGTTGACTTCTTCCAGACCTTCTCCCCTACCCCGAAGATGACTACTCTTCGGGTGCTGCTGCACGTTGCCGCTCAGCGTGACTACGAGCTTCACTCCCTTGACTTCAGCACAACTTTCCTACAGGGCAGCCTGCACGAGGAGATCTAGCTGCGCCGCCCACCTGGCTTCACTGGGACGTTCCCTCCTGGTACCCAGTGGAGCCTCCGCCGGCCAGTCTACGGTCTCCACCAGGCGCCTCGTGAGTGGCACGACACACTGAGGACTACACTTGCGGCTCTTGGGTTTGCTCCTTCGACTGCTGACCCGTCACTGTTCCTGCGCACAGACACGTCGCTGCCGCCGTTCTACATCCTCGTGTACGTCGACGACTTGGTCTTTGCTACTGCTGACACTGAGGCCCTCGCCCTGGTGAAGTCCGAGCTGCAGAAGAGACACACGTGCACAGACCTGGGTGAGATGCGCAGCTACCTTGGCTTGCAGATCACCCGGGACCGAGCACGCCGCACCATCACACTGACTCAGTCACACATGGTGCAGCAGGTCCTTCAGCGCTTCGGCTTCACCTGGTCCTCAGCACAGGCCACTCCTCTGGCTATAGGTCACTCGCTCTCAGCTCTGCCTTCGGATGAGTCCGTAGAGCCGAGTGGTCCTTACCCAGAGCTAGTGGGCTGCCTCATGTACCTGATGACTTGCACTCGTCCTGACCTTGCGTACCCTCTTGGCCTTCTGGCTCGCTACGTGGCTCCTGGTCGGCACCAAAAGGTGCACTGGGATGCTGCGAAGAGGGTACTGCGCTACTTGTGCAGTACATCGGGCATGGGGCTTGTGCTTGGAGGACGGCGAGAGGTGGTCCTCACTAGGCACTCAGACGCTTCTTGGGTTGACGACCAGGCTACGCAGCGGTCGTCACAGGGTTACACTTTCAGCCTTGGCTCTGGTTCTGTTTCTTGGCGTTCTACTCGCTCGTCTTCTGTTCTCAGCTCCTGTTGTGAGGCTGAGATCTACGCCACCGCCATGGCTGCTCAGGAGTTACGCTGGCTCACCTACCTGCTGACCGACCTGGGAGAGCGGCCTCGTTCTCCTCCAGTGCTGTACGTCGACAACAAGGCTGCCATTGCCTTGTGTGAGGAGCACAGACTGGAGCACAGAACGAAGCACATCGCTCTGCGGTACTTTCTGGCTCGAGAGCTGCAGCAGCGTGGTCAGCTTCGTCTTGCACACGTGGCCACTAGGGCCAACACTGCTGATATATTCACCAAGGCACTTCCGTCTGGTGATCATCAGCGCTTTTGTACTTTGTTAGGCCTTGTGCCTACGTTTTCACACTTGCTGTAGTCTTTTGTGTGTACTGTGCTCTATATTTATACCTGCATGCTTGCTCTTGCTAGGTATTGATCACTGTACTGCTCTTGTTGCTTATATATATCTCTGCATGTGGACTGGCCTTGCGGCCCTTTGCTTGTGCTCAGAATGTGTGGTGACGTTGAGATCCACCCTGAGCTTGTTTTGCGTCTCTTGACTGGTCGTGTGACCTCTTGTTCTCCCCCACTTTGCCTATGGGGGTGTGTCAAACATACATGCTGCATATTGTCTAGGCTGTAGTGGGGTAGCCCATATGGGGTACAACCCAATTAGGGTTTACTACTTGTACTCTTGCATGCTGCTAGTTCACCCATTCCTGATGTCAGATTCTAACAGGGAGGGAGGGCGGACAGGCAACAGAGCGCGAAGGAGAGAGAGCGGACAGCCGACGGGAGAGAGAGCGGACAGGCGACGGGAGGGGGAAGGGATATCGCGAGGGCGACGGAAGGAAAAGGGGGACATCGAAGGCAACGTGAGGGAAGGGAGATAGTGAGGGCGACGGGAAGGAAGAGGGGACATCGAAGGCGAGGGGCGGGAGAACGGGAAGGCGACGGGATCGGAGGGAAATCGCGAGGGCGAGGGGACAAGAGGGGTGAACGGGGGAATAACGGACCGAGAGGGGAGATCGTGACGACGACGGGAGGGCCGTCACGCGTGTGTTTGCGAGGGCGACGGAAAGGCGACGGGATGGACTAGAGAGCGAGGCGATGGGCAAATTGATTGAGACGGGAAACTGGCACTGTGCTACCAGGCCATGTAAACCTACATTTCACACTCTTGCTAAGTCGACGATTGACGCACTCGTCGGTAATTACGTGGCTATGACACGAACGCATGTGCTTTCAGCTATACTACTTACTATGATATGCGGAAACTAGTGATGAATGGAGTGACAGGAATCTAGTGATGCACCCATCACCGGCTTGAAAATGAGGTTGGGCCTGCGATGGGAAACCATCGCCTGGGGTTTGTCGTGCGGATGCGGCACGCAAAAATGCGACGGCTGATATGAGAAAGAAAGTTCATTTTGGCGGGAACCATTACGTTCCATTGTGGCGAGAGCCAATAACATGAGTTCACTCTGCCCATACAAATCGTTTGAAACAGTGTTTTTTATACTGGTTTCATCCTCACTTGCAACTCATTCAAGTTGGGACCGGGGTCACTATTTTGCATGCGGGCTTTAACGACTTGCCAAAGTTTCAAGATTATCGAAATTGATTTTGCCAATGTTACCTGATCCAGTTCAATCCTTTGTCGCCAAGCTTCCTTGAAACAGTTGCTGCAGAGTTTTGCGGCGAGTTTTGCAATCCTTCGCCACCCAGATTTGCGAAAACGCAAAAACCGGTCTGTCGCCAACACAAGATCAGGATCTCCCATGTAGGTTATGGGCTTTAACAAGACGTCACTCGGGAGGGGAACAGCCCCTAGGTTTCGTCCTCTTCACGCCAACCCTCAGGCTTTTGATTTGTTTCCCTCCCACCCAATCCTCCTCTCTGAGTCTCGAGGCTTTCTCTCACTCTCACTACTCCTCGTGTGTGAATACTCGCACGTCAGCTACCTTCTAAGGGATCATTTGGTCAGTAATCAGTCATAATATTAAGAAAGCGAATTCTCTATGGACTAATGCACTGGCGCCTAAAGCGCCGGCCCATGGCTCTCTTGCATTTGGCAATATAGCCTAGGGCACTCACCCTGAGGCGCTCTTGCCTATGCCATTGACCCTGGGTAGGTCGCCCGTAGGCGCGCTGGCCGCTCTGCATTGCTCTGTGCGCTTTACACCCTCCCTCCTTCAGAGGGCGTTCAAGGCGTGTATGCTGCTATCACTCGCTCTCTCTCTCACAATGCCCACGCACATATCCCCCCCCCTCTCCCCCGATCCCTCCGCCGCTCCCCTCTTCTCCTGATCCCGTTTTCCTCCCAACAACGGACACCCACAGGTGGGCAAGTCGCAGGTGTTCCTGAGAGCAGGCCAGATGGCGGATCTGGATGCGATGAGGGCGAATCTTGAGGCGCCTTAAAAGACTCCTCCCTGCATCCCCTCCTCTCTCCCCCGCTCACCTCTTTCCCCCTTCCCCATGCAACAACCAGGTGGGCAAGACGCAGGTGTTTCTAACAGCACGCCAGGTGGCGGACCTGGATGCGGTGAGGGCGGAGAAGCTGGGGGAGGCGGATAGTGAGAGTCTTCCAATTGTGTCCAGACGCATCCCCCCTCTCTCCCCCTCTCGCTCCCCCCTTCTCCCCGGAAAACCCCTCTCTCCCTATTCCCTGCCCACCCATGCATCACCCAGGTGGGCAAGACCCAGGTGTTTCTGAGGGCGGGGCAGATGGCAGACCTAGATGCCATGAGGGCGGAGAAGCTGGGGGCGCCCCCCCATCAGCTGGACGTGGAGGAGGCGAAGACAGCAGAGATCCAGAAGCTGCAGCAGGAGCTGGAGGGAGCAATGAAGAAGGTCGACGAGGCACACGCAGAAACCCTGGCAGCAAGGGCGGAGACACAAGCAGCAAAGGCGGAAATTCAAGTAGCAAAGGCAGAGACACGAGTAGCCAAGGCAGAGACACGAGAAGCCAAGGCAGAGACACAGGCAGCAAAGGCAGAAACACAAGCAGCCAAGGCAGAGACACAAGCAGCAAAGGCGGAAATTCAAGTAGCCAAGGCAGAAACACAAACAGCCAAGGCAGAGACCGGGAGGCTGTCTCTTAAAATGGCAGCAGTGGAGGCGGAGGTGAGGGAGGAGATTGGGAAGAGGGAGCGGCTGCTGGAGGAGACGCAGGAGGAGCTGCGCAAGGTGCAGGAGCTGTGTGCGCGGTGAGTGGGTGTTGAGTGCGGTGAGTGGGTGTGCGTGTGTGTAGTGAGTGGGTGTTGTGTGCGGCGAGTGGGTGTGCGGCGAGCGGGGGTTGTGCACGGTGAATGGGTGTTGTGTGCGGTGACTTGGGTGTTGCACGCGGCGATTGGTAAACCTTTCTCGCGACCCCCCCACCTGTCTCCACCCCCTCCCCCCTAAGAACGCGGAGCAGGAGCACCAAGTGCTGCTGAGGCAGCAGACCTTGTCTGCGTCTCAAAAAACAGATGCTGCCGCTTAGGCAGCAGGCCTTATCTGCGTTTGAGACGATTCACTGTCTCTCCCAATCTTATCACTCACCCGCCTTCACTTCCTCCTCCCCTCTTCACCATCCACCACCACTTCCAGATTGGAGGAGCAGGTGAAGAACGCGGAGCAGGAGAACCAGGTGCTGTGGCATCAATTAATCAGCCCTTAATATACATCCACCTTGCTTTGCTGCTTCCCTTTCATTCCCCCTCTCCCTCCCTCCCCCACTTCTCCAGGTTGGAAGAGCAGGTGAAGAGCGCAGAGCAGGAGAACCAGCCAGGTGCTGCTGAAGAAGCAGGCCCTGCCTGCGTTTGAGACGAATGCCTCCCATCCTTGTCGCTCACCCTCCGTCACTTCCCCTCCTCTTCACCATCCCACCACTTCCAGATTGGAGGAGCAGGTGAAGAACGCGGAGCAGGAGAATCAAGTGCCAGCCCTCTCATTCTTCTCACCTCCCCCCTCCCTTCTCTCCCCCGCTTTCCCTTCCAGACTGGAAGAGCAGGTGAAGAACGCGGAGCAGGAGAACCAGGTGCTGCGTCAGCAGGCTCTGTCAGCAGCCATGCCAGCACCTGAAGCACCTGAAGCACCTGAAGCGCCTGAAGCACCTGAAGAACCAGAAGCACCTGAAGCACCGGAAGCACCTGAAGCACGGCAGACTGTGAGTGCGAATCAGCAACACATTGTGGAATACAGAGCTATCAAGGGTCTGGGGAAGTCTGTCAGATGCTGCACCCACCGGAGTCCCCTCAGGGCACCCCTGCCACGCCCAGTGAGGTGGAGAGCGAGCAGCTGAAGCATCTGAACGACCGGCAGACTGTGAGTGTGCTCTGCATGAGGGAGAGGGAGGTAGTGGTTGACAGATAAAAGCTGTGTGTGAGTGTGCGTGCATGAGGGAGAGGGAATGTTGGGTGATGTGACTGTATGAGAAAGTGCTTCAGATGCTCCATCCGCCACAGTCCCCTCAGGGCAACCCCGCCACGCCTGGTGCGGTGGAGAGAAAGCAGGTTTTATGGTTTTTTTTTTTTTTTTTTTTTTTTTTTTTTTTTCTTGCATGACTGCTTGCTCAGTAGGCATGGGCTCACAAACGCCCAGGAGGCTCTCTAGAACGTGTTTGACAGTTTCATCCAGACCATCCCACCCACTTCTCCACCTCTCCTCCCCGGCTCTCAGATGCTGCACCCACCCCCAGCGTCCCCTCAGGGCACCCCTGCCACGCCCAGTGATGAGGAGAGCGAGCGGCTGAAGCATCTGAATGATGTTGAGACGGTGAGTGTGCCGCACATTGTGACGGTCCTTGAGTGTGCTGCACATTGTGACGGTCACGGTCGATGAGTGAGTGTGCCGCACACTGTGTGCATGTGGGCGAGGGAATCAGGGGGCATTGTACGCGGGAGCTCTCAGGTGCTAAGCTGCACCCGCCAGAGTCCCCTCAGGGCACCCCAGCCACGCCCAGTGAGGTGAAGGGGCATCTGAAGCATTTGAACAACTGCAGGGTAATGGACCTTTCGTCCTCTTGACCCTCTCACCTCATCCTCTCGCCCCTTTCACCCTGCTGCTCTGGACAGAAAGACCAAGAGCCTCTTCGCTGCCCTAATCAGCACCCACCAGAGTCCCCTCAGGGCACCCCAGCCACGCCCAGTGAGGTGGAGAGCATGCGGCTGAGGCATCTGAACGGCCGGCACCGACTGACGGTGAGTGCGCATGCCGGAGAGGAGAGGGAATTCATGGCTGATAATAACTGAAGGTGATGGTAACTGAAGGTGATGGTAACTGAAGGTGATGGTGACTTATTTTTTGCTCCTCTCCTCTTTCCAAAAACCCAACAGCAAGAGCAGGAGGCTCTTCTACAGGTGATAGTGAGCGAGGTGGGGTTTGACAGCAGCCGGCCGGTGGTGGCGTGTGTGACGTACAAGGCGCTGCTGCACTGGCGGTCGTTTGAGGCGGAGCGCACGAGCGTGTTTGACCGCATCATCCAGACCATCGGCTGCACCATCGAGAACCAGCAGAGCAACCAGAGGCTGGGTTATCGGCAGGCAAACACAACTTCTGAGGGGTTTCAAAAGCTGGCGTACTGGCTGGCGAACACGAGTGCTGTTCCTGCTGCACCGCTCGCTCAAGGCGAGCGGGGGGGAGGGGCCGCAGGCACAGACAACCCAGTTTGACCGCATGTCCCAGGTATGTGGTGTTTGTATGAGGGACAAATATTGTAATGATGATAATATCGAAAGCAACAAATGTTGTAATATCACTGATACAATAAAAAATACTATAATGTGAATACAAAGAGAGAATAGTACCACTGTTCTGCTGCATGATTCTTGTCGGGGCGAGCAGAGAATTGGAGCACGGGTCACTGGTCATGAAGAAGAGCTGCAGCGTGAAGGATCGCTTTAGCAAAGAACGATAGTCACTTGTTGAAAAATAGTAACCCTGTAAAAAATTAGAGTAGGAACCGAAAGCACAGCTCTGTTCAAAACTCTGACTTAGGCAAACATGTTTCGGCTTCGCACGGGGATTGTACCTGCTAGGCCTTCATCAGCAGAGAATAGGAGCACTTTCTCATAACCTGCCTTTCCGCTTCTCTGCCTCCGTGTTGACTTTTGAGTCGACTCAGTTGACTTTTGAGTTGACTCAAAAGTCAATTCTGCTGCATGATTCTTGTCGGGGCGAGCAGAGAACAGTAGCACCTTCTCGCAACCCGCCTTTCCGCTTCTCTGCCTCCCTGGTCCGCGTTTCTTTCCCACCCCGCTAACAGAGCGTTCAGGGTTGCCCCGCGACGCCGACAGGAGTGGTGGGGGCGAGCGGGGGGTTGGAGCACATTCCCCAGGTGGAGGCTAAGCACCCGGCGCTGCTGTTCAAGCAGCAGGTTGCGGCGTATGTGGAAAAGACCTACGGGTTGATTCGAGACAATGTCAAGAAGGAGATCTCACCCACTCTTGCGCAGTGCATTTGTGTACGATGGATGGGGTTGTTGTAGTGTGGATGACATGAGTGAGTTGGCTCATCTGGCGGGGCGTGTGGAGAAGATTAATCGCATGATTTGGCATGATTTGGCATGATTCGGCATGATTCGGCATGATTCGGCATGATCCGGCATGATCCGGCATGATTCGGCATGATTCGGCATGATTCGGCATGATTCGGCATGATTCAGCATCCTCTCCTCTCCACACTCACCGCGCTGCTGCTCCACCCCATCTGTGTGACTTTTGAGGCGCCTCAAAAGTCACATGCTGAACTCGCACTGGGGCAGCATCCTCTCCTTTCCACACCACACTCACTGCGCTGCTTCCCCACCCTTGGGCGCCCCATGCCTCGACCTCCCCCCATCGGTCCTCTCATTTCACTCTCTCACGCTCAAACCTCAAACGTTCCCACACCCCTCCACGCCCCACCCCCCATCCCACGCTCCATCCCACACCCCACAACCAATCACGTGCCACGCATCTCCCAACCTGCGTACTGGGGCAGCATCATCACCACACTCACCACACTGCTGCCCCATCGAAGTGACTTTTGAGTCGACTCAAAAGCCACACTGCTGCCCCATCCCCTTATTCATGCCCATCCCTTATCATTGCCACGCTCACCACGTTGCTGCCCCATCCCCTTATTCATGCCCGTCCCTTACCCTCCTCCCCCCCTCTCCTTTCCCTCTCTCTCTCTCTCATTCACATGTACGCGCCCCCCACCCGCATCACACACACGCAAAACACCCCAACCCTCCGCTCCGCCCACCATCAGGCCCCGCGCATCTCCCTCTGAAACTTCCCCACTGCCCCGCACCCGACATCTCACTCATTCACCCCATCAGGCTCCGCGCATCTCCCTCTGAAACTTCCCCACTGCCCCGCACCCGACATCTCACTCATTCACCCCATCAGGCCCCGCGCATCTCCCTCTGAAACTTCCCCATTGCCCCGCACCCGACATCCCACTCATTCACCCCATCAGGCGCCGCGCATCTCCCGGGCGGCGTACGGGCGGCACTCGTCTCACAGGGGGGCGCCAGCGGCCACAGCCACGCACGCCCTGAGCTCGCACTGGGGCAGCATCATCGCCACGCTCACCACACTGCTCACCATACTCAAAGCGAATCACGTGCCGTCCTTCCTCGTGCGCAAGCTGGTTACTCAGATCTTCTCCTTCATCAACGTGCAGCTGTTCAACAGGTGGGTGAGAGTAGGAGGGATTGTTGCTCGGTTGAGAAGAGCTGGGGGGCTTTCGGCGGGTTTGTTAGGCCACTCAGTCCTCTTTCCTCGTGCGCAAGCTGGTCACTCAGATCTTCTCCTTCATCAACGTGCAGCTCTTCAACAGGTGGGTGGGTGGGTGGGTGGGTAGGGGTTGGTGTTGGGTGGGTGGGTGGGTGGGTTGGGGGGGGGGGTGTTGGGTGGATGGGTGGGCTGGGGGGGGGTGTTGGGTGGATGGGTGGGCTGGGGGGGGGTGTTGGGTGGATGGGTGGGCTGGGGGGGGGTGTTGGGTGGATGGGTGGGCTGGGGGGGGGTGTTGGGTGGATGGGTGGGCTGGGGGGGGGTGTTGGGTGGATGGGTGGGCTGGGGGGGGGTGTTGGGTGGATGGGTGGGCTGGGGGGGGGTGTTGGGTGGATGGGTGGGCTGGGGGGGGGTGTTGGGTGGATGGGTGGGCTGGGGGGGGGTGTTGGGTGTGGCACATTTTGAGGCGCCTCAGAGCCTATCTCCTATTTCCATACCCATGTGCTTGTGCTGCTGCTCCTCCCCTTCGCTCCCACCCTTTCCCTCCCCTTACATCACTGACACACCTGCAGTCTCCTGCTGCGTCGCGAGCGCTGCTCCTCCAGCAACGACGAGTATATGAAGGCAGGTCTGGCCGATTTGGACCACTGGCTAACGCACACTCTTGTCAACTCTCCATCCTCTTTCCCCTCCCATCCCCACTAACAGTCTTCTCCTGCGTCGCGAGTGCTGCTCCTGCAGCAACGGCGAGTACGTGAAGGCAGGCCTGGACGAATTGGATCACTGGCTGCAGGAGGCCACTCACGAGTACACGGGCAACGCGTGGGAGGAGCTTAGGCATATCCGCCAAGCCGTGGGCTTTCTGGTAAGTTCCCTTCCCACTATAAGATGGGTTCTGAGGTGATTGTTGAGTTGAGCTGACCAGAATATCATCCCAGGCTTGGCAAGTTGGACCTGAGGCTGATCTCTGAGTCGGCTCAAGACTTTTCTGGTCGAGGTGGACCACAGAGACCACGGGATGCACGAAGCAACCCAAGAGTAGACTGGAAACGCATGGTCAATGTGTTTTCTCCTCTTGGTTCTTCTCCCTCTCCCACACCGCCCAATCGCCGCATCGCGTTTTGAGTCGACTTAAAACTCGTCTCCCACACCGCCCAATCGCCCAATCGCCCAATCGCCCTGACCTGGAGTTACGCCAGAAGGCCCCTCTCCCTCTCCCACACAACAGACTTCAGCTTTTCACTGTAATATTCAAACTCCTGTACCTTTTCCTACCACATTTGAGAATTCTCAAAAGTGACTTCAGCTTTTCACTGTAACATTCAAACTCCTGTACCTTTTTCTACCATATTTGAGAATTCTCAAAAGTGACTTCAGCTTTTCACTGTAACATTCAAACTCCTGTTCCTTTTCCTACCACATTTGAGAATTCTCAAAAGTGACTTCAGCTATTCACTGTAACATTCAAACTCCTGTACCTTTTCCTACCCTTCCATCCCACTCTGCCATTCTCTCACGTCAGAGGACCAGCACTGGGGATGCCCGATTGATCGTAGGAAAAGGTTAGAGGCTCGTTAGTTTTGGGGTTATAGGCGCACTGACCCGCTACTTAACAAACCCTTTCATGGCAGTGTTTTAGTGGCTGAGATTATGACATGGTATCAAAGTGAAGGTCCTCGGGTTTGAATCCTCATGTATGCACATGTTGGCGCTGCCGTTGTGCCGTGTTCTAGGGCATCCCTGTGAAGGGGGGGTGTTAGAAAAACAGCCCTGGGGATGCCCGATTGATTCTAGACAAAAGGTTACAGGCTCGTTGGCTTTTGAGTCGACTCAAAAGTCATCCCTGTGAAGGGGGGGGTGTCAGAAAAACAGCCCTGGGGATGCCCCATTGATTCTAGACAAAAGGTTACAGGCTCGTTGGTTTTGGAGATTATGGCCGGCGGCATGACCTGCAACTTAGCAAACCCAATATCTCAGTGGTCTAATGGCTGGAATTCTGACATCCCATCCCTCAATCCGCTGGGCTTCTTGAGGTGATTGACCCCAAGCCCAAGAAGAGCATCCAGCAGCACAGCAGCCCAAGAAGAGCATCCAGCAGCACAGCAGCCCAAGAAGAGCATCCAGCAGCACAGCAGCCCAAGAAGAGCATCCAGCAGCACAGCAGCCCAAGAAGAGCATCCAGCAGCACAGCAGCCCAAGAAGAGCATCGAGCATCCAGCAGCACAGCAGCCCAAGAAGAGCATCCAGGAAATCACCACGGACCTGTTCCTTGCGCTGAGCATCCTGCACCATTTACTGGGACGACAAGTACGGCACTCATACCGTGTCCTCCTCCTTTCAAGCTCTTTCCCTCTCTCCCCTGTTCCCCCTCCCTTTCTCTCTCCCTTCCCCCCCTCCCCACGCCCCCCTCCCCCCTCCCTCTTCCCCTCTCCCCCCTTCCCCCTGCCCGCTCTCCCTCTCCCCCGCTCCCCTCTCCCCCACTCCCTTCTCCCCTCCTCCCCCACTCCCTTCTCCCCTCCTCCCCCGTCCCCCCATGCCAGGTGATTTACCAAATGCCCAAGAAGAGTATGCAGGAGACCACATGTGAACTATTATACCTTTTCCCACCCTTCCATCCCGCTCTCCTTTCCATCCGCTCTTTACGTGCCACCAGGTGATACGCCAGAAGCCCAAGAAGAGCATGCAGGAGATCACATCAGACCTCTGCCCAGCGCTGAGCGCCCAGCAGCTGTACCGCATCAGCACCATGTACTGGGACGACAAGTACGGCACTCACACCGTGTCCTCTGAGGTCATTTCGGAGATGCGGCGGCGCATGAGCGACGAGAACAGCGCGTCTGTCAGCAACTCGTTCTTGCTGGATGATGATAGCAGGTGGGTGCGAAGAGGTGGGGACGATTCCATGTGGGTGCAAAGCGGTGGTGATGATTTGATGTGCGTGTGCACTCCGAGGGTTGAGACGAAGGGGAATGCTTTGAGGCGTGTCAAAGAAAACTCATGCCACCATCTCAGCCTTGTTGGACGACGATTTGACGCGTTTTGAACGCAGTGTTCCATAAGCAATGTTTATCTCAAGCAGGCTGTATGTGTATCGGCAACACAATTCGTCATTGTCATGCTTGATTGTACACGAGCACTTGGGATATCTGATGTTGCTTCTTCCAGGCTGTTGATTCCCGCTTTGAGTGGGATTTTGCGGGAAAGCTGGATTTTGCTGTGCGATTTTTTAGAATTCTCAAAAATCGCACATGAGTTTCTGCTTCTTCCAAGGTGACTGTTGAGTCCACTTAAAAGTCAACATAATTGTCGCTCCGCTTCTTTCACTCCCAATCTCTCACACCCTATGTTTCTCCCTACTTCCCTCCAGCATCCCATTCTCCGTGGAGGACATATCAAAGAGCACCCACGAGATTAACCACCTTCCCCCCACGTCTCCCTTTTAACCCCGCTGCCTTCTCTCTCCCTCCTCCCCCTTCTCCCTACTTCCCTCCAGCATCCCGTTCTCCGTGAAGGACATATCAAAGAGCACCCACAAAATTGGCCCTGCCTTCCCTCCCATATGTCTTTTTTGTTGCCCCGCCCCTATTCCCTGCTCCAACTACCTACTCATTTCAGCATCCCATTCTCAGTGGAGGACATATCAAAGAGCACCCACGAGATTGACTTGCGGTCGCTGCAGCTGCCACCAGCCATTCGAGACAACAGCACCTTCCACTTCCTCCTCACTCACTAGCCTCCCTCCTCCTCACTCACTAGCCTCCCTCCTCACTCACTAGCCTGTCTTCCTCCTCACCCACTAGCCTCTCTAGGCGCCTCAAAATCCCAAGGATCGTTGCTCATGACTTGTGAGACCCTCAAAAGTCGAGACAACAGCACCTTCCAATTCCTGCTCACACCCTGGCTCCCCCATCACACAATAGCCTCCAATCAGCCTCACACAGAAGCCTTCCGCAGTTCCTTCTCACTCACGAGCCTCGTTTTGTCGGACTAGCGCACTTGCTTTAGTTGCCTCGTCACACACTAGTCAAGCTTGATCGCTTGTCTTCCTTAGCCGCTCACGACTGGTAATCACACACTCTCTCTCACATCCTCCTACTACCAGCCCCTCACCAGCAGCACCAGCTGCTCTGATCCTATTCATCAGAAGTTGCAGCAGCCAATCTTGCGAATAGAGAGACAACTTTTGAAGGGCCTCAAATGTCCTACTGGCTCCTGACTAGCAGCAGCACCAGATGCTCCGAGCCTATTCATCGGATGTTGCAGCAGCCATTTTTTGTCTGTGGCTAAAGCCTTTCTTATCAGTTGCTGCAAGTAGTGCCAGCAGATTAGCTCGGCAGGTGTTGTACCAGTCGCAGCAGCTGTGGGAGTAGTGGCATGGGAGGCACCATCACCACTGCTGGCAAAATTTTATCATTCTACCTGGCTTCGAAGTGTGGTGATAGGTGCAGTGAGTTTGGATAGGGCTTGGCATATGTTTTAAAAGTGAATTGCCGCATGGTACCGTAATACCCTGCTTAAAACACCCTAGGTGTACTGATAGTGACGTGGAAGTGAAAGCGAAATGGGAAGTGAGAATATTGAAATGATATTGACTAAACGAGTGAGCACGTATGCACGCATCATGCTTGTAAGGGGTGTTCCAAACGGATCGCTGGTCTCGTGATAAGCTATCTCGCTTTTCTGACACCAAGCCAGATCGTGATGGTCACGGATTTCACGCAACGGTTTGAAATCATTATTTCACCTGCCCTTCATTTCTGGTCCCGAACCGACTCATCCGCAGGCACTTCATGCAATTTTGGCAAAAGATTCCTTCTTGCCAAACCTGTCGCCAGGCGCGGTTGTTTCCCGCGCTGCTTTTCCTTGAGCTGCGCTGCGATTGTCAAACCACAGACCGACTTGTGCTGGGCTCTGGCGAAAACAAACACCACGCCCGATCACATGCGATATTGTTGAGTCGCCTTGAGGCGCCGCGTCCCATTTGTCCCGCCAGAAACGGAACGAGACGTCAGAACTGCAATGCTTCACGAAAATACAAACCGAAGCAACTTAGAGATCGCCATCATCGCGCATGCGTCGTCGCCCAACCCTCATCCCGCATTCATCGTCGTGCACTGGTTCAGAGCGCAAATAGTATCGTTGCGCGTGAAATGAAACGAGGCGAAGCATCAAGCCCTGGATTTTCGGCCATGCTGCCCGTTTTCGAAACGCCCATCAGTCAGAGACGCACATCACTCAACTCTGCCTCAACCATACCTGCAAAATTCCTTCTCCCTCTCCTTTCCATCCATCCAGCCATCCTTCCGTGCTCCTGTCCCCCCACCTTTACACAACCAAGCCAGGTCGTGCCGCGTCGTGACTCGTGATTCCGAGCCGCCTTCCTGCAGCTCAGCACACTTGTTCGCTCCCTCGCTCTCAGCCGTTGCCTCTGGCTCCTATCCCAACCCTCTGCCTCTTTATAATCCTCAATTCCCTCATTTCTAGTCAAGCAATTCTGCTCCACCTAGCACCAGTCTCTCTCATTAGGCATTCATCGATCGGTGTTTGAAATTTATCCACTACTCTCCTCGGGACGCCAGGTTCGCAATGGCTCCCAACGCGTGTAACGCCAGTCCCACACTCGGCCCCATGTCTGTAATTTCCCCAGCGGAGCTCAAGCAGGCTCCCGCCACCACCCTACCAACCGTGCCCGAGCCCGCCGATGCTCCCGTCGCTCCGGCCGCCCCTGCCCCCGTCGCTTCCACCCCCGCTGAAGCAGCGGCGCCCGAGCCCGCCGCTGCTCCCGCGGAGCCCCAGCAGCACCCGTCCGCGGAGGAAATGGCGCAAGGGATTGTCTTGGAGAACAATGACCCCACCTTCTTGGGAATGCCGCTGCAGCAGATTAAGATGATTTACCACCACGCCGTAACTCAGTCCACCCGGCTCGCGCTGCCGCTTCTGGCGGCGGTCGTGGTCCAGCTCACGCGCAACGTGGATTTCCAGGCGCTCTGGGAGCAGCTGCTCACGCTCGACGCGTCCTACCTCGTCGCCGCGTTCTCCGCCGCGCTCTTCGCCGTCACCGTCTACGTGCTGACGCGCCCGCGCCGCGTGTTCCTCGTCGACTTCGCGTGCTACCGCCCGCCCGACCACCTCGTCATTACCAAGGACGTGGCCGTCGATCGCGTCAAGAAGCTCGGCTACTTCGACGAGAAATCCGTCGATTTCCAGACCAAGGTCTTTTTCCGGTCGGGTCTCGGCGACAGGACTTACATTCCCCCGTCGATGCACACGTGGCCGCCTTCCCCGTCGATCGCGAACGCGCGATTGGAGGCTGAGATGGTGATCTTTGGCGCGATGGACGAGCTCTTCGCGAAGACCGGCGTGAAGCCCCAGGATATCTCCATTCTGATCGTCAACTGCACGGTTTTCTGCCCGACGCCGTCGCTCTCGGCCATGGTGGTTAACCACTACAAGATGCGCGAGGACATCCAGTCGTACAATCTGGGCGGCATGGGGTGCAGCGCGAGCATCATAGCCGTTAAAATGGCTCAAGATCTGATGCAGGGCCAGCCAAACAAGCTCGCGGTGATTGTGTCTACGGAGAATATCACCCTGAATGCGTACCTCGGCAACCGTCGCTCGATGCAGGTTACCAACGTTCTGTTTCGCATGGGCGGCGCCGCGGCGCTGATTTCGAACAAGCCGCGCGACGCGTGGAGGGCCAAGTATGAGCTTAAGACCGTCGTGCGAACCCACATGGGAGCAGACGACAAGTGCTACAAGTGCATTCACCAACAGGAGGATGAGAAGAAGATCGTCGGCGTGATGCTGTCCCGCGAGCTTATGGGCACTGCCGCGAAGGCTCTTAAGGCGAACGTGCGCGCGCTCGGCCCGCTCGTGCTGCCGCTCTCGGAGAAGCTGCTCTTCGCCGCGGCGTACATCGCGCGGCGCGTGTTTAAGATGGATATTAAGGAGTACACGCCCGACTTCAAGCTCGCGTTCGAGCATTTCTGCATCCACCCCGGAGGACGCGCGCTCCTCGACGAGGTCCAGAAGGGTCTCCGCCTCACGCAGCACAACATGGAACCGAACCGTATGACTCTGTACCGCTTCGGAAACCTGTCCTCCGCGTCGATCTGGTACGAGCTGTCGTACGTCGAGGCGCAGGATCGCGTGAAGCGCGGCGACCGCGTGTGGCAGCTGGCGTTCGGCAGCGGGTTCAAGTGCCAAAGCGCGGTTTGGAAGGCGCTGCGCACCGTGCCTGGCGCGAAGAACCCCGGCCCGTGGGCCGAGGCTGACGGCTACGTTCCCCCTCCCCCGGTCGAGGCTCTCGAGATGGATCCCGAGCCCCACCACTAAGCATAAGGTAAGTTACCCGTAAAATCTTTCCTTGCTGACTCAGTTTGGTTCCATGTCTTTCTTTCATTCTATTATTGTTTTGGTGTGTTTCTGACCTTGCCTTTGCATTCGTCCTCTTTCATCGATTTCTTTTTTCAGGTCCCTCACGCTTGGTCTGCTGCTAGGCCAACGGCGAGATCTACCAGTAACACACACATACTACACACATTACCACACACGACTACACGAGCGACCTAACTATTGAAGGCCCTGCGGAGATGGGGCGGTAGACGGAGCAGCTGATGTCGTGGACAAGCAGGGAGCTTGGGGAGATTCCAGGGCTTGTTCCTTAAATTAGCTGCTAGCCTTCCTGCTATTGTAGTTCAGCATGATGATACAGCCTTAGATTAGCTGCTAGCTCTTCAATTTTAGACCATTTGTCCATTTCTTTTATACATCCTAAATATTTCATAACTACATTGCTGCTTAGCTCTCACCACCACCTCCCGTCGACTTCCTGCCCCTGTTCTCCATTGCTCCTGTTACTCTTGCTCCCGTTCTTCCGTTGCCCCTCTGCCTTAGGCCGTAGCACGTGTTGCTTCCCCTGTGTGTTGCCTCCCTCCTATCCTAGGCACCTGTGTATGGCCTGTGCCTTCCCCTCCTGCACGTTCAGTCGGTAGAACTAGTCCGGCCGCCTACCCCTGTGCAATGCTTCTACCCCTTCGCAGTTCTCTGTGCTCTCAGACAACTTGTGTTTTGCACATTGTCCCCCCTGTGCATTTGGTAGGACTTGTCCTGTCCGGCCTACCCATTGCCTCCCCTGTGCAATGCCCACCTTGTGCAACTTTAAGCACTGCCTCCCTCTTGTGTGTTGTACCCTGTGCTCTCGGTCATAGAACCCAACGTTCTTGGGGACAGAGTATGTGAGGAATGTTCACAACAGCTTCAGTTGTACTACTTACTGCATCAGACGACAAACTACTGCCAGGACTCAGGCCATGCCATGCTTGCTCCAACTTATGAGCCATCTGGAGGATACAACTCCACAAACTGCTCCACCACAACGAGTGTGTAATATATTGGAGGATAAGGTAGAAACATGCGCACTGTACAATAACGCATCTAGCACTTGTGCTCTGAGCCGTCCGAGAGCACCTGCAGCCCCCCTGTCTCTACATTCCGCCAGAAGCAAGCCTTTTTGTTGCTACCTCGAATGCTTAGGGTCTGGGACCCTCCCACCACGACCAAATTAGGTGTAGAAAACGGCCCTACCACCACACCAGTGGCATCAGCACTATCACGAGCTTCTGAACCATTTGCAGCGGGTTCTGCTGTAGTGCTAGTGTTGTTAGTGGCACTCAGCCCGCTGTTATTTAGTGGGCTGGAGGTAGCAATGCTATCTGAGCTGATTCCATACTCAAGCAGGTTGCATGTCTGGGAGTTGGCGAGAGATTCCTGGGTGGATTTCGTGAGGCTGTTTCCGTCCTTGTGAAGGTGCTGCTGCTGGAAGCTGTGGGAGAGAGAGAGCTTGAACGAGGTGCTTCCATCTGAATGGGAGAACACATTAGGGATTTTAAAGGGAATGAGGGGTTGGGAGGGCGGGAAGGTTAAGCAATTTCTGCAGGATTTTGTGAGGTTGTTGCCATCTTTGTTAAGGTGCTGCTGCTGGAAGCCGTGGGAGAGAGAGAGAGCTTGAAAGAGGTACTTCCACCCGAATGGGAAACAACACTGGGGACGACAAGAAGAATGAGGAGGGGAGGAGGAAAGTAAAGCTTTAGAGGATCAAACGCCTTTTTGGGGCGTTGATCTCCCCATAAAAGCGCTGCTGCTGGAAGCCGTACGAGAGAGGCAAAATGAAGGTAGTTGTGGTACCTCTGTCTACTGCGAGGAGAGATTTGGAGCCGAAGAAGCTGCCACATGCCAACCTACCCTGCCCTGCACTTTCTTGGATTCAGACCTTGGCCGAGGCAGAGAACAGCCCAAGCACACCCTTGAAACAGACAGGCAGATCTGTGTCAACCTTGCACCACCTTGCACCACCTTGCACCTTAGAGCTTAAAAAACCACCACATGAAGTGTTCCCCCGTCTCACCTTGATCTGAAAACACTGCCTGGGTGATGGTCAGTGGGAAATGATGCGTCACCGTGTCCTTGGCAATCAGCATTCCGCTCAGCCTGCCCCTCCTTGTTGTCACATTCGCGACCACATTGTAGTCTGTCTTGAGAAATTTCAGCTGTCCGAGAGCCTCCGTGCGGCTCTGAAGCACATGGTAGGCTTTCACCAGGCTGGTTACCACCCCACGAGAAGTGAGGATTCGCCCACCAATGGTGTAACGCCGCATGGCAGTGGCCTCCAGGGTTCCGTCTATGCCAGTGAAGATGTTGGGCGGCGGCTCGTAGTACTGTAGCGCTGGAACCTAATCAAACAACATGTAAAAGAACAGAGGAAAAACTTGACTAGAGAAACATGTTACAAACGTAGGAAAGGAACAATGAGGAGGCTTTAGAAGTGAGTGAAACACAACATGCTAAATGGATTCGAAAAGTGAAGGCAGAGATGTGATGTGTTGACATTGAAATGAAAGAAAAGTTGTTGGCTGTCTCTGATTGAAACAAAGTCCTGTGCCTAGTATTAAGTTAGCAGATGACTTACATCAAAAGTGGTGATTCTTCCTGTGGTCTTCAGCAGGATTGGATCCAGCCACAGGCGAAACACCCCACTCGCAAGCCATACCCCTCCAGGCAGCACCCCTGAAACCGCTACAGTAACATTGTGCTTCCTCCCATCCGCAAGCTGTCCGACAAAGGGGGTCACGTCTAACGAGTATGGCTCCAATGCAAAGCACCCGATCCCCACCACAGGGGTCCAGAGGGACCGGCGGAGAGAGGAGGGGGAGAGCACGGGGAAGGGGAAGAAAGATCCTGCGAATCTCCCGTCTATGTAGACAACTATCTCGCGGTAAGGGCTTCCAGGGATGAAGTTAGCCTTGAGAGAGTCAGGAAGGCCACTGTGGTATCTGTAATGGAGAAAAAAGGGGCAAGAGCAAGAAGGGACAAGACGTGGAGAACAGCTTTTTTGCTTTCTCTCTAAATCAAAATACTCTTTCTAATTCAATGTTCTGCTTTGCAACGTCCACCATCCTGTCCCATCTCCCCATGGCATCACCTCCCCAAGTCTTAGCTCCTCCAGGCTTCCCAGTCACTTCTTTTTAATACTACCTTCCCAGTCTCGCCTAACCATATTTCACATAACCACGACCTTACCAGCCCCAGTCATACCTCGCTAAAGTCTCACCCCTCCTCCTCCACCCCCCCTCAGTATCACCTCCTGTCACCTCCCCCAGTCTCTCCTCCCCCAGCCTCATGTTCCCAATTTCACCTCCCTGAAGTCTCACCTCCCCCAGTCTCACCTCTCCAGCATGTTACTGAAGTACGCCCTGTCATCACCATGCGCTGTCAACGTCAGATCCAGCTCAGCACGGACCAAATTCTTTGGGAAATTCGACACCATGACCGAAGCTGACGCCAGGCCGAAGGACGAGCCGCCACCTGGCGACTGCTGATTGGTGCCCAGAATTCCCTTGGCGTCTCTCCCAGAGAGGATAAGGGGCCGGCCACGTGTCTTGGAGGAGGAGAGAGGGAGAAGGCTGTGGGGCACGCGTGGGGAGGTCAGTCCTCCATAGTAAGACACGTCGAGATCGACATAAAATATGCCGGTGTTCACTTCATCTAAGGCGTTTTCCATGGTGATGTAGAATCGACCTCTCTGCATGAAATGCAGAGATGAAACAGAGGAATAGAAAACAAAAAGAGAGGATTGGGAAACAAGCAAACGGATCCGGGAGGAGTTGAAAGATTCAGAGTGGTCGAGGTCTTGGAAGTGAAAGTGACTAAGCTATTCAGGCATATCAACTCTTGGTTATGCAATTGTAAAGGCTTCCAAAATCTGTATGAGAGACATGAGTTAAGAGAAACACGATGCAAGAACAACAGGAATGAGCAGAGTGCATGAAGAGATAATAGAACTTCAAAGAATCCTTCAGGCAACTCATGAAATTTCACAAATGAAGCCTTTCCAGAGCAAGGAGCACAAGATCCACTGCATCTGGACATACCCTTCGCAGGATTTTTGAAAACTTGGTGAGGTCCCTCTCGAGCGCAAAGCGCACGCCATTTGGCGAACCAGGCGTGGTTCTGAGAGGCGATGGCAGGGCGGTTGGGACGAGGGAAGGAGAGATAGGGAAACGTTGGTAAGTCCCAACGATTCAAACCGATGAATGCGGAAAGCAGGGGCGAGGAAGGGAGGGGACGAAAGTGTGGGGAGACCCATGTTGTTTTCCCAACTTGTGCGCGTCCGCAATGATTTTGATGCATGCATGCTGATGTATAAGATATAGGGCGTACAGAGATCTAGAGAGCTCGAATCCATTGAAGAAGATCGACAGAACTCTTCCTTGTTGTATCCCCTTCACTCGCACGCCAACGCTGAGAACTACCTGCTTCCAGGCCTGAACCAGCGATCAAGACGGGAAGGGAACATAAAAGGAGCATGAAGGAACCATGAAGTAGGAAACTTGAGGGGAACATGAAGCAGGAAGCATGGACAAGAAAGTTTCTGGAATAAACTGAAAGTCGTTTCGATGGCTTGACGACAGTGAGTACCAGCGGAGCTTGTAACACGTATCAGCTAGTACCATGCCAATCAGTATCAGTTGAGACCCATAACACACACTTACCAAGCCGCACCCGGCAGGAGGTGTGTAGGCGACTTGGATCGTGGGCTGGTTAGAGGTATTCGCGAACGCGGCGTCTCGCAGGAGAATGAGTCGACACGGTGCTACGATCTTGGGTTTCTTGATAGGAATTGTGACTTCGCTAACTGTCGTATACCCGCTATAACGCTTTTCCGCCAGAGCCCTTGCTCGGCGTCCTCGTGGTGCTGGTGGCTTTCGTAGCCTTGACCTTGCACCTGCTCCCTCAGCATCTTTTCCCGTTCCGTTGGCGGTTTTTGACGGTTTCGCTGCACTATTCTGCTCCGTGTCACGAGAATAAAGTCTACCGTGTCTATTAGAAAGTCTACACAAGGGAGTTTCACGTGTTCCTGACGAATCAGACCTAAGCAACGTCCCTGAGCAATCAAGGGATTTGTTTAAAATCCGTCGCCGTAAGTTTCTCGTAACATCATGTTTTTGCGGTACAACTGATAATTCTGAGGGCCAGATCGCCGCCGAACACCACGATACGCATTGGAAGCAAAGCGGAACTATCAGCAGAAGAAGGATGGTGAAGGAGAGTGAAAAAGAGCGCGAGGAGGAAGTTAATCTGGCGCTTGGCATTTGCACCCAAGAATCAACTTCTAAGAGGTCTGAAAGCTTGGCGCTTGCATACCAGAATTACAATCATGTCGACTTGTGATTGTCTAAACGACTCTCTTGAATCAAACCGGATAAATCACGCACGAGCCCTTCTGTAAATGTGAAGTTTCTACATATATTTAGCATTGGGGAATAGTTTCGCCAGATGGATAGTAGTGGATTCTAGTTCTGCTAAATGGACTATCAGTTCAGGACGGCGGCACCTACAAGCACTGAACCCAAATCACGAGCATCAAAACAGGCTTCGTTGATGCAACTGAGGCAAAAATACTCATTTCAGTCCCCTCTAGCGCCTGAACACCCAGATTTCCCCCACCAGAATCCCCAACTTTCTAGGCGACAATTTCGTTGCTTTAGGTTGGTCGCCATGGGGGGAACACTTTTGGCGGGAAAGTCAAATTTAATGTGGTGGTGGGCGGTGCGGCTAATAAGAGCGTTTCGGCCAAACCTGGTTGACAAGTCGATTCTCTTATATGGTTTTCCTCGGTAATAAACTTCACCGAAAAATATTCTTCAGAACCATACACCTTTGTTGTGGCACATTCTTCCAAATTGTGACAGACTGAGCTGGTTGGTAGTGATTTTGCGACGCCCAATTTGACGATGGTCAGCCACCAAATCATCCCCCCCCCCACCCCCCCCTACTAACCCCTCGCGTCCCTTCCTTACCTAATCTCATACCTGCTGTGCTTGCTCGGACTCCCGAGCCTAGTGCCGTGCCTTCTGACCCTCCCATGCCTCCCGTAGCTCCCCTCCCTAGTCTCCCTCGTCCTCCACGCCTCGCCCTTCTCCCCTCTTGCTTCTCTGTCCCCTCGACTCACCTCCCTACTGCTGAAGAGCACCTTTCCTCAGTCTCTTCCTTTCTCTTCCCTTACCCTAATTTCTCCATTAGTGGAGGTCCTCCCCCCTCTCAGCCGTTACTTCGTAGCGTGTCAAGATGGTAAGAATCGCACAGTATTTTGTATTTTAGAAGAAACCCGGACTTCGTCGCGCATCATAACCATGGGGTTTTAGTTGTTTTCGGTTTAGGCGCAAGCCAGCTCAATTTAGGGTTCCGTCCCTTTTCCTCAACCTTACCTAGAACCCCCTCATGTGGCTGTATGCCTTCCGTCTGATCCGTAGCGCCCATCTCATAGCCCCCGTTTTCCTTCGCGTTTCTTCTGTGTTTTTTTCTTCTCTCTTTTTTTTTTTTTTGTCGTTCCTCTTCCTCCGTCCCTTTCCTCGGCTGTCCCTTTGTTGTCGTCCCTCTCGTCGTCCTTTCCTTCCGCATCCACCAGGGTCGCGTCCGCACAAAGACGGTGAAGCGCTCGGCGCGACTGATCATCGAGAAGTACTACTCGCGCATGACGCTCGACTTCCAGACGAACAAGAAGATCTGTGATGAGGTGGCAGTCATCCCCACAAAGCGCCTCCGCAACAAGATCGCCGGCTTCGCGACGCACCTGATGAAGCGCATTCAGAAGGGCCCCGTGCGCGGCATTTCGCTGAAGCTGCAGGAGGAGGAGAGGGAGCGGCGCATGGACTTCGTCCCTGATGAGTCTGCCATCAAGACGGACGTCATTGAGGTGAGTGGGCACTCAGGCAGCCAAGCGCCAGCTCGAGCCCTCGAAAATACGAGTATGGCACCCAGGCAACCAAGCAGCCAGACAGCGCACCCAAGCAGCTGGACAGCCAGGCCGTCCGGCGGGCGCGCTGGCTGGCATGCAAGCAATCAGTCAGGCATGCAACCAGATGGGCGGGCAGGCTAGCAAACAGACAGGCCGGCGACTGATGTAGGTATCAGCAGCAGGGGGACAGCAACGTTCATTAGCAGCCGCGTGACTTCTACAGCAGCTGCTAAACGAGTAACGGTAGCAGAATGGGCCGTCCGTTTATAGATGCCGACGTTAATTGAAGCAGATCGACTGGTCGATGATAAGGTGTACGAAAGCAGGGTTAGGTGTCTCGGACTCGGTTTAACGGGTTTCGCGTTCATCCTCAAGGCTTAGAGAGCCACTGTAGCGAGTTTTTGGCGACACCATCCGTCTCTGAACTGATCAACCTAACGCAGGTTTTGAAGAGCTCTAAGAATTATGCGCGCTCGGCGTGGACTCTGGCGCATTAGGCTTATGCGGGCTTTGGAATTCCGCGTTTCCGAAGTAGCAGCTGAGGTACGCCGTCGTCGTTAAAGCCATTAGAGTACGTTCCGTCCCTCGTGTCAAGGCACACGGTGTTGAAGCCTTTTTGTCGGATCGTTTTTCGATAGTCCAGCCGACGTTGTCAGATACGAGCGTTCTTCCTTTTTAGATATAGATTGTCAAGGGGGTTTCAAATGGCCTAGATCAGTGGAGCTGCCGCAGATGCTGACTTCGGGTGTTGACGCTCTGTAAGAGTATTTCGCCAGCTTTGGGAATGAGTGGAGTGGCGGGTCAATGCAGCTCCATTTAGTGTTTTTTTTTTCATAGCAGCTGATCCATTCGTGAATGAGTACGGGTTTTCGTCGTCAGAACGTGACTCAGGAGCGATCAATAGTTTTCATACGCAGTTCTGGCCTACGGAGTATGGTAGCCAGGCGGATGCAGTATGGATGGCTCAGATCGTTTAGCTGATTGAATCCGAGGGCCTATATGAAAGGAATCCTCTGTTTTATATCAGTGCAGTTCTCAGGTCGTGAAAAGGAAGTTGTACTTCTTTCCAAAAATTGTGGAGAAGCTAGCTGAGAATTCTTGTACATGCGTTCCCCATCATGGTGCTCTCAGGTTGACCCTGTTACCCTGGACATGCTCAAGGCCATCAACATGGCTACCCTTCCTGGTGTCACTCTGGTTCAGCCTGTGAGTGCCACAAAGTCTCATACTGTTATCTCCCCTTCTCTGCAATCTTGCTTTAAACCGGAGGGCCAAGAAGGCCTGAATTGGTTCAACCTTCCTAACTTCGGTTGAGTTTGGCCCTGACACCCGAAATATTGGCCAATTGCATTGCTTGCCCCAGCCAACCTTCTTAAGGTTGAACATCTTGGCCCGCGGGTTTCAAGCAACCGTCAATCTACGTTCCTTCGCATTTGTATTGCCGTATCTAGACTGTTGCTGCAGTCTTTCTCAATGTCGTTTGTTCTTTGTGCTGACAATTCGACTTGCACTGCATCTGGTTCCCTTCTTTTTTGCAGCAAACTGGTGGTGGTGGCCCTGTTGGAGGCTATGGCGGAAGGTCGTAAATGCATATTCCAGGCCGACACATTGTCAAATACACATCAAAAGTAGGGTGCGCAGGTGGCCTTGATGTATCACGGGATCAGCAGCTAGTCAACGCCATGGAGATTTTGTACAGCAGGAACTGCTGATCAGTTGATTTTTGTTGAATGTTCCTGCTTGGCTAAAAGAGCTGTTGTTTCTGGATAAAATGAAGTTATGTACGAATAGGCGAACTGGTAGGCTTAAAAAAAATGTACTGATGAGTTCACGAGTAGTGTTCTACGAAGGCAATCTCATTATGGAGCTGTTCCCAAACGCACATGGTTTCTGCACTTAACGAGTACGTTGTAAGAAATCACAGCTAAAAAAGACCCCTCACGCAAAAATTGCCGCACCATTCCAAGCTGTCATTCGACACCGATCCAAGCTTCTTCTCACAGTAGTTCTGGTTCACCGCCTAGAAGCATGTGTGGGCTCATGTTTCCAGTGCTTGTGCTTGCCGGTCTAAGCCTACTTGCCCCACCAGCAATGGTATGCCTGTGGTTTTAGCTTGTCGTTGTTGATCCTCAGTACACTGACGCGACGTTTGATGATTCGCAGAGCCAATTGGTACCAACGAGAGGTACTAATCGGGCAATTGGAGTCCAAAGGTGTTCATGAATTCCCGCTAACAGCTATCGTGCAGGTTATGTGATAATTGAAAATGGGTCTTTCCACCTCAATTGCCGGAAGTTCGTGTTCTCCGGATGCAACTCGTGGGACCTCATGCAGGTTGGTTGCTTCAAGCAGCGTGTCTTCCAGGCAATGTGTTTCGTTCAATTTTACTAAAATGGCTTTTGCTCCTTTTCCAGAATGCGAGTAATCCAAGCACCATGGGGACAGTAAGTCGTGCCATTCTGCTATTGTTTCCATGCCCTCGCTCATACTCCTGTTGCCTATGTGTAGGTGAACGCGACGCTGGATGACATGGTATCCATGAATCTCTCAGTTGTTCGGACCTGGGGCTTCTCAACACAGTGCGTGCAATCCAATTTGGATGTTGCGGTACTATTGTTGCGTTTGACTAATCTGAACAAGTGTCATCACAGAGCAAGTTCACCTGTGCAGCTAAGCCCCGGGGTATACAATCAAACCTTACTAAGAGGTACGCCAGAAACATCACAGGCAACGTCAGCCGTCATAAGTACCACTGCTGATGCGTTACCCTTGCCTCGTTGCAAACAGGGCTGGATTTCGTCCTCGCTCAAGCTAGACTTCGTGGCATCAGAGTGATGATTGCCTTTTCCAACTTTTGGGGTATGGGAGATGGAGTGAATAAGGTACGCGCCCAGACGTAATTGTTCTTACCTAACTGCTTGAGTCTCACACTCCTTCATGTTTGGATGCAGTACATCAAGTGGGCTGGGCTGAACCACACGGACTTGTTCTTTAACAGCACTATTTGCCAAAAGTATTACCAAAGCTATATGAAAGTACGTGAGCAGACTCATCTGTCGTTCTTAGCGCCAATTAGGTTGCGCATACACTATCGCTGAGAGCTTTTCTTTCAACAGATGCTAGTTTCAAGGGTGAACACCTACAATGGCGTCAGTTATTTGAATGATACGACCATCCTGGGCTGGAACCTGCTAAACGAGCCAAGGTATGGCAAGTAAACCACAACAATATATGTGCTTCGTTCTTTTGTTGTGTCTAATTTCTGAATTGCAGGTGCTTTACTGATGGCTGTCAAGATTCTGTCCAGAGTTGGACTGAAATGATGTCAACATACCTTAAGGTACTTCCGACAAGTGGGTTTACGGCCGGCTGCTTAGCCTCACGTGACTAATTTTGTCTGCCTGATTTCAGAAAATTGATCCCAATCATTTGGTTGCAACTGGGTACGAGGGATTTTACGGAGAAAATCAGAACCACACGTCCATCAATCCAGGAGGTGAGATACTTGGTCGTTGCTGTTTCCTTGTGGCTTAGCCTAACATGTTTTGCCCGCATTCAGAGCCTTGGGGCCATTGGGCAACACAGACGGGGCAGGAATTCATACGTAACAACAGGTTCTGGGCAATTGACTTTGCAGTTGCACACATTTGGTAAGTGGGACTTGGAATGAATCGCCTTATTTGCCTGCAAGTCTCATGTGGTGCAAAATCCAGGTCTGAAAACTGGATTGGAAACCAGCAGAATACATCAGCGAAGCTCTCATTCATACGGAACTGGATTACGGCACATAATCAAGACGCTCGCGTATGGGCTATATAGGTTTGCTTGAGCGCATGGGAGCTTCTTTCATGGGTATATGCTGATCATTGTTGTGTATGCAGGATGTTTTAAAGAAGCCTCTTGTATGGGAGGAGTTTGGAATGCAGGATGTTACCATCAATGGGACATTCACCTCAAGAAACGTGTATGCTGCTGAGCATGGATCCAGGGAAGTCTGCAAACATGTTTTACGGCACATGGTTAAATATGTGCTCTTCTTTTATTGGCAGGTTTCTGACTGCCATTTACGACGCTCTCTACACCTCCATGGCCGAGGATGGAACCGTGCAAGGGGACAATGTCTGGGTCTTTAAGAGCCCAGGTATTTATGCGTTCACAAAGGAACTGGCTGCATTGCGTTGCTTCAATATCCTAAGCTCGTGCTTCTTTCATGCAGATGGAGAGTATGGGTACACCATACGCCCATGTCAGTCAGCAGCAGAGATTGTGAAAAGCCATGCGGCTGCTGTAATGCAACACAAACACAGCTTCGGTGAACCCTGCTGAAGTCCTAGAACGGATGCAGATGAATTGGCATGCTTTGCCAGAGTAAGTAATCTCTGTTCATGGTAGGAGGGTTGTGCTGTTGTATGCAAGTACAAGATGCATTTATTCAATATTACCACAAAATATTAGATAGCATAGCACAGGTGCAAACCTAATCTGGAAGATCCTACATAACCTCACCCGGGGGCGGTGAAGACACCTCACCGTTCTCAGCCCAGGGACCTCCATTCTTATCACCAGGAATGCTGCGAAGAGCTTTCCATGTGGCACTCTGGCACTTGAATCCACTTCCAAACGCGAGCTGCCACACACGGTCTCCACGCCGCACGCGGTCCCGAGCCTCGAGAAACGACAGCTCGTACCAGATAGAGGCGGATGAGAGATTGCCCCATCGGTAGAGAGTCATTCTGTTGGGCTCCATGTCGTGAGGCGAGAGGTTGAGAGCCTTCTGGACCTCGTCTAACAGAGCACGGCCACCGGGATGGATGCAGAAATGCTCGAACGCGAGCCTGAAATCCGGCACGTACTCCTTAATGTTCGCTCTGAAGACGCGCCTGGCGATGTAAGCTGCAGCGTAGATCAGCTTCTCTGAAAGCGGTAGCACCAGGGGCCCAAGGGTTGTGATGTTGGCCTTCAGCGCTTGAGCAGCAGTGGTCATGAGCTCGCGAGAGAGCATGATGCCAGAGATTTTATTCTCATCCTGCTCCTGGTAAATGCACTTGTAGCTCTTGTCGTCTGCGCCCAAGTGCGTACGAACAACGTGACCCAGCTCGTACTTCGCCCTCCAGGCATCACGCGGCTTGTTTGAGATCAGCGCAGCGGCTCCACCCATGCGAAACAAAACGTTGGTAACCTGCATGGAGCGACGGTTACCGAGATACGCGTTTTGCGTAATGTTCTCCGTGGAAACGATAACCGCGTACTTGTTCGGCTGCGACTGAAGAAGGTCACCGGCCAGCTTCACAGCAGAGACGCTCGCGCTGCAACCCATGCCGCCTAGGTTGTATGACTGAATGTCCTCACGCATCTTGTAGTGATTAACCACCAGGGCAGACAGCGACGGTGTCGGGCAGAAGATTGTGCAGTTGACTATGAGAATAGAGACGTCCTTAGGGTCGATCCCTGTCTTGGCAAACAGCTCGTCCATCGCTCCGAAAATCACCATCTCGGCTTCAACTCGAGCGTTAGAGATGGAGGGAGAAGGCGGCCACGTGTGCATCGAAGGCGGCAAGTACGTTCGGTTGCCGAGACCGGATCGCTCAAACACCTTCGTCTGAAACTCTCTGCTCTTCTCGTCGAAGTAGCCGAGTCGCGTTACACGATCGAGCGCGACATCTTTCGTGATGACAAGGTGCTCCGGCGGGCGATAGCAGGCGAAATCAACGAGGAAGATACGCCGGGGACGGGTGAGCACGAAGACGGTAACAGCGAAGACGACCGCCGAAAAGGCTGCAATCGCATATGACAGGTCCAGTTGAAGCACCTCCTGCCAGAGGCTGAGGAAGTCCTCCTGCTTCAAGTGCCGAGTCAGCTGCACGGCTAACACCGCAACGAGAGGCAGGAGCAGGCGCGGGCTACTGTTCACGGAGAAGTGGAACAGCGCCTTAATCTGGTCTGCAGTCAAGCCGAGGAACCGGGATTTGAGGTACTGCTGGGCCACCTTCTGCGGCTGCGGCTTAGCAGCAGAACACTCCTTGCTGATTGGTGCACCTCCTCCATTGACTGTCGATTGGGTGTCAGTGGACGGTTCTGAGGCTGTCGTTGATGAAGTTTGGTGCTTGATTTCGTGAAGCAGGCTGGGAGCTCTTGCTGTTGCTGCTTCGCCGCTGCGCTCTTCTATTTCAGGTCTAGAAAAGCCATCGCTGGCGCTTGCAGCAGGTACTTTGACTTGCGGAATTGTCCCAAAAGCAATGGGCGCAGGCTGAACGCGACAGATGTTCGGTGCCATCGTTGTGCAATGATAATGTGCACAAAAGATGAAGGAACAAGAGGTGCTGGTATGCTAAGCAGCTGAGATGCTCGGGGCAAACTGGGCCTCAATCGAGAGATTGTCGCCTCTGATATCTTTGTTGCGTTGTGGGTGGACGCGCAAACTCTTCTGAGGTGAAAGCAGACACAAAGGGCGTGTGACTTTTTCCTTCCGGACCGTATGCGAAGAGGGTACCCGCTTAAAGTCCGGGCCGTCCAAGGTCGTTATCGAATGAAAAATCATGCGGGAATTGACGAACTTTGGATACCCGTTTCGCAACCCGACCGGACGAAATTTGTTTCACCTCCCTAAAAAATGTTGAAATGTCGGTGAGAAGGCGCCAGCACGCAACGCGCCACACAAGGCGCCACGAGAACGGTCCCGAACGAATGCGCGGGAGGGAACCGTTGAACCAAACCAAACCTCTTCGTTTCTTTTGGCTGGCTGCAGGAACAAAACCAGCGTGAGTTTGGAGTACTTTGGAAACCCTAGCAGTATTTTGTGAGTTTTGTGATTCCAAACAACCAAACATCTCGCATTTAACCAAACAAGAACACGGTTCAAGTGCGCTATTTTAGTGCGCTAAGAACAGTCAGGCTGCGGTGAAACTCTTACCAAAGTCAGGGTAATTGTCAATCACCATTCCATGTTATCGAACCTCGCCCGTGAAAAGCGTACAAGTCGCTTCCTTGTCCCTTGGCTTGAAATTGAAGGCCTGGAGAGGTTCGTCTCCAGGCCAGGACTCCAAGCAGCCTGTCGCGTCGCGTCCGTTTTGTCAGGCTTCCATGATTGGACGAAAACCGTCGTCCCTAAACCCTGAACCACCAGCCTTGGTGACGACGTCAATTTAGTCTTGCGCGGGCGGGAAAAACCAGAATCGATATCATTTTGGGCGAGGGTTTCTTCTAGTTACCATTCGCGTGATCGGGTGGTAGCGTATAGTTACCAAACGTGTTAAGCGAGTTACCAAACGCGTTAAAACAACAGCTAATGGTTACCGTACGCGTTTTAGCGCCCCATAAAAGTTACCATTGACATATTTTCCCTAAGTCCCTTGTCCTCTTCGTTCCTAATATTTGCTGTCTCGTCGAGTTGGTTTCGCGTGACGGCACTAAATTCTTCCTCGCACCTTCCCGACCCGACATTGGATCAGGTGGTCTCAGGTCGTGAGGGACTTGAGATTGTGAATACGCGCGATCAGGTCAGAAGATTACCACCTCAGTAACTGCTAACTTGCTAGCAGCAGCTGCCAAGTCACATCAGGACGCCACCGATTTGCACCTCTGGCCATTGATAACCTAGTCAGCGGGGCTCGATCCCTGCGGTAGCTCAATCTCCGTAGCGACTTCAGCTAGAAACATCTGTTGGATCCAAGGTAACCAGGATACAGGGTAACCCAGAAACTAGATTGAAGGTGACGAGGCCTGAACGATGGCGAGAAAGAAGGTCTCAGAGGTGATTAAGGTGAATCCTAAGGACATGGGGGGGAGGAAGACGCTGCCGTGTTTTACGGAGATGATGGCGTTTATGAGCTGCATCAAGGAGAACGCGTTCGACACGACGCCTTGCCAGAAGCACCTCACCGCTCTCGACGCGTGCATGGACACGCAGGTCAGTTCGCCGTGCTCGCGCATGTTCGGCCATGATCGCACATGATCGCTTGTGGTCGCATTTGATCGCACATGATCGCCCTTGATCGTCCATTACCGCCCATAATCGCCCATGATCGCCCATAATCGCTTACGATCTCCCTGATCGCCCATGATCGCCCATGATTGGCTGTGGTCGCCCATGATCTGCCATGTGTGCCTTCCTTCCCTTCCCTCCTCTCTTCTCTCCTCCCCTCCCTCCTCTCTTCCATCCTCTCTTCGCTCCCGTCTGCTGCGTCGCGGGGGTTGTGCAGACATGTCACTCGAGTTTCCTAATATGCACGTTATACAACCCTTATCCATTCCACAAAAAATCTCAAAAGTCATCTGCACGAGTTCATAGCATCCGTGCGTTCTGTTCCCCCGCCATACCCTTCCTTAACCTGCCCACTCTTGTCTTTCCTCGGTTTACCTCTCCACTCTTACCTTTCCTGTCTCAACATCCTCACTTCCCTCCCCTCTTGCCTCTTCCTTCTTTCTTAACATCTTCTCTCTCATTCTCAATCTAAACATTTCCTCATACCTTCCCTCGCATGTTGTCAGCCCTCCTTCCTCACGTTTCGGGTGACTTTTGAGTTGACTCAAAAGTCAACATTTCCTCATACCTGCCCTCGCATGTTGCCAGCCCTCCTTCCTCACGTTTCGGATGACTTTTGAGTCGACTCAAAAGTCAACATTTCCTCATACCCTCCCTCGCATGTTGCCAGCCCTCCTTCCTCACGTTTCGTGATGTCCCCGCTTGCTGCCCCGCTCTTCCCTACCCCCCTTTTCTCCTAGTACCATCCCCTCCCTTGTCTCTCATGTGCTGCTGCATATGTGTACATCTGCGTGGGTGTATAGGTCCAAAGTCGACAGTGAAAAAAACAGAAGGAAAAAACCTCCTTTTTCTCATGCCATCCCCCTCTCTTACCTGCGTTGTTGCATCTTTGTGCAAGCAGATGTCAAAAGGGAAGACCAGAAACACAATCAATTCTCCTCCTCCCCCTCATACCATCCCATCTCTTGCCTCCCCCGTGCGCCTACATCTGTGTGTAACTGTGTGCATGCAGAGGCCCAAAGTCAAAACCAAGAATTGTGTCTTTTAGTCGACTAAGAAACTTGACTTCCTCTCTTCCTTCCCGTCTCATACCATCCTCATCTCTCACCTCCTCTATGGTGCGTGCATGTGTGTCCATGCGGAGGCCCAAAGGCAATACCATATGAGGAACACACAAAATGTCTTAATGTTCGTTCTTCCCGTCTCTCATACCATCCCTTCTCTTACTCCATTCTGTCGCTGCGCTGCGTGTGTGTGCATGCAGAGGTCCAAAGGCAAGACCAGAAACACAATCAATTTCCATTTGCAAAGAATAGCCAAGTCCATGAAAAGATAATGGGCTGCAGAAGAGACAGACCCTGCTCAGAATAATTTCCTTGATGGAATTGGCGTATTACCTGTATGTGATTGGAAAATACGTAGTGGAAGATTGCCAGGGTTTTGGCTTTCAATGGAAGAGTAAAAAACGACGAAGCAGGGTGTCTACTGTGCATGCATCTACCCTGCCTCCAGTCATGCCACTGTCTCCGGTATTTGAGAGATCTCATCTTACCATGTCTAATAGTGTGCTTGTCAAATCTGGACAATCTCTCATCATTATCGCACACACTGGTAAGGTGCAACGAGATTTTACTTTCGAGAGGTTCGTATAGTGGCTACCCTAGTCATGTACGGCAGGATACATCGAGAAATGGTGTACCTCTGACAGCCCTAGTCGGCCCCATTCCCCCCTCCTGCTTTGTTACCTCCTGCCTGCTCTCCTCCCCACTCGGCCCCCCTCCCATCACTACCTCTCCAGCAACATCACCACCTCACAGTCCTCCGTGTGCGGAAACAATCCACAGCCACAGCCCTCACGGGACGAAATGGCTCCCCAGCCATGGCCCTCTGCCCCGCTGCAGGCAGGGCCCCACTTGCTCCCCCATCCCTCCCCCTCCCGATGCTACCTCTCCAGCAACATCACCACTTCACAGTGCTCCGTTTGTGGAAACAAGTCCACTGCCACGGCTCTGACAGGTCGGAATGGCTCCCCAGCCATTGCCCTCTGCCCCGCTGCAGGCAGGGCCCCACATGCTACCCTACCCTCCCCCTTTCCAATGCTACCTTTCCAGCAGCATCACCACTTCACAGTGCTCCGTGTGTGGAAACAAGTCCACAGCCACGGCTCTGACAGGTCGGAATGGCTCCCCAGCCATTGCCCTCTGCCCCGCTGCAGGCAGGGCCCCACATGCTACCCTACCCTCCCCCTTTCCAATGCTACCTTTCCAGCAGCATCACCACTTCACAGTGCTCCGTGTGCGGAAACAAGTCCACAGCCACGGCTCTGACAGGTCGGAATGGCTCCCCAGCCATGGCCCTCTGCCCCGCTGCAGGCCCCCACTTGCTCCACCCGCCCCCTCCTGCTTGCGGCTTCTTGAGCTCGGGAGGCGGCGAGCAGAGGTCTAGGACGTTTGCCACGAGAGACGATGGGTTGCATGAGATGTAGCTGGGGGAAGGGGGGGGGAGCAAAGGGATTGGGAAGAGAAGGAAATGCTGGTAAGGATAGGCAAGGTGAAGGCAGTGCAGGGAGGTGAGCAGAGGTCAAGGACGTTTGCCACGAGAGACGATGGGTTGCATGAGATGTAGCTGGGGGACAAGGGGGGGAGCAAAGGGATTGGGAAGAGAAGGAAATGCTGGTAAGGACAGGCAAGGTGAAGGCGGTGCAGGGAGGTGAGCAGAGGTCAAGGACGTTTGCCACGAGAGACGATGGGTTGCAGGAGATGTAGCTGGAGGAAGGAAGGGAAAGGGGGAGAGAGGGGACGAAGAGGAAGTGTAAGAAGGTTGAGAAGTTTTGAAAGAGGCGAGCAGAGGTCCATCCCCCACTTTCTCCACCCCCTCCTCCCCCTCCTGCTTGGGCGGAAAGGGGGAGAGAGGGGAAGAAGTGGAAGTGGAAGAAGGTTGAAGGGAGGCGAGTGGAGGTCCACCCACTTGCTCCAGCCAGTGAGGGGATAGGGGAAGGTTGATAGGAGAGCGAGAAAGCAGGAAGAGGGAAGCAAGAAGGGGGAAGAGGGAGGGGGGAGCACAGAAGGCGAAGGGGAAGGAGCCCTATCGTGCCAACAACGACAACCCAACGAAAGGGTCTCGCCTATTGAATTGTCCTTTCTTCTTATTGAATTGTCTCGCCTATTGCCAATAGTTGAGACGATTCAAGAGCGAGATTAACGGAATCTAACAAGTGAATGGACTGCACAGAGGGAAGCGAGAGAGAGAGGGCATAAGGAAGGGAGAGAAGAGGGCTTACAGCAGCTGCTCGATCTTGGGATTCTCTCGAAGCGCTCTTAGCACCTGTTGCAGGTGTGCACGAGAGGCAGAAGAGTGGGAAAGTGAGAGAGGAAAAAAATCAACGGCTTGTATGTGTGTGTACATATGTGCATGCATGTGTGTGTGCACGTGTTTGTGTGTCCACGTTTGTGTGTGTGTGTGTGTGTGTGTGTGTGTGTGTGTGTGTGTGTGTGTGTGTGCCCGTGTGTGCGCGGGGTGGCTTTTGCCATTGGCTGTGTGGAAGCAAGTCATTACCGTGGGATGCAGACCAGCTCTTGGAGGATCTACGATTGTCACGACTCGAGAGAACTCAAACTCCTTTTTCCCTTCCTCCTTCCTTTCCTCCTTCCCCTCCTCTTTCCCTCCCCCCTGCTGCTGCCCCTCCTTGGCCCCCTTTTCCTTACGGAGGCTGTCACGGGCAGGCTTCACCTGGGGGAGGTACTTATGGAGGAGCTTTGGCAGCACCAACTCCGCCTGCATGGTGGACAGCACGGGAGGAAGATGGCGGCATGAGAGGGACAGGTCAGCAGCACGTAAGTACATGTCACCATCAGTGAGGGAGCATGAGAGGGACACGTCAGCACAAGAGGGACACGTCAGCACAACGGGGACACGTCAGCATGGAAGGGACACGTCAGCACAAGAGGGACACGTCAGCATGAAAGGGACACCTTGAATTGACAGGCTCACCTGCGAGGCGATGAACTCAGCATGTTGAATGCCGTTATGGCTGCATTCCTCCTCTAAGCAAGCATGCCTTAGGCAAGCAAGCAAGCAAGCAAGCAGGCACTGCACTGAGCAAGCAGACATAAGTGCAGACATAAGTGCAGTGCAGACATAAGTGCATTCCTCCTCCAAGCAAGCACATTCTAACCAACCTACTACACAAGCTCACCCGTGAGGCGATGAACTCAGCATGCTGAATGCCGTTAATGGCTGCATTCTTCCTTGCATCCTCCACTGCTGACTCGTTCATCTCGATTCCAATCACCTGCACTCAGGAAGTGAGCGACACGAAGGTACAAGAGAAGAATCGCATAAAGGGAGGAACACAGATACGTTATCCCACTTTTGGTGGATCTAAATGGTCGATTTAAAACGTCACCTCACTTAAATCATATCAACCGACTTCCTTGCTTCTCAAACACCTGCGCTCAAAACCTGAAATCATGTTCTCTCAGGGTACCACCCTAGAACAACCTTCATGAGGCGCCTCAAACATATTGTTAGAGGAGCCTCAAACATATTGTTAGAGGCGCCTCAAACATATTGTTAGAGGCGCCTCAAACATATTGTTAGAGGCGCCTCAAACATATTGTTAGAGGCGCCTCAAACATATTGTTAGAGGCGCCTCAAACATATTGTTAGAGGCGCCTCAAACATATTGTTAGAGGCGCCTCAAACATATTGTTAGAGGCGCCTCAAACATATTGTTAGAGGCGCCTCAAACATATTGTTAGAGGCGCCTCAAACATATTGTTAGAGGCGCCTCGAGAACCCTCAGAATACCTTTTGGCAGGTATGCAACAGACAAGCCATCCTCCTTGGAAATCAAATTCCAGCTGAACTTGAATTGAGAATTTCTGCATTCACCTTCTTGGCATGCTTGGCAACGCACGGGCCGATGGTAGCCGTGTGCATTGAGGTCGTTTTTGAGGCGCCTAAAAAAGGACCTCAAAGCATACATCAAACACCAACACTCCGCCCTTTTCCTCGCTTTGTCCCCCTTGCTGCGCCTACCATTGTCTTTAACTTGAACCTCTAAGGATTTACCTTCTTGGCGTGCTTGGCAACGCAGAGACCGATGGTGCCCGTGCCACAGCACACATCAAACACCAACACTCCGCCCTTTTCCTCGCTTTGCCCTCCTTCCTGCCCCTCCTGCTGCTGCCCCTGCCCCAGTCGCTCCTGCTCCTGCTCCTGCTGCTGCTGCTGCTCCTGCTCCTGCTCCTGCTCCTGCTCCTGCCCCTGCCCCTGCTCCTGCCCCTGCTCCTGCCCCTGCTCCTGCCCCTGCTCCTGCCCCTGCTCCTGCCCCTGCTCCTGCCCCTGCTCCTGCCCCTGCTCCTGCTCCTGCTCCTGCTCCTGCCCCTGCCCCTGCTCCTGCCCCTGCTCCTGCCCCTGCTCCTGCCCCTGCTCCTGCCCCTGCTGCTGTTTCTTGGTCAACAGAGGAGGGAGCACGGGAGGGGGACATGGGGGATGCGACCCCAAGCCCACCCATGAAGCAGCGAGCTTATACAGCAGCTGCGCTCCTGCTGAGTTGGTCTGCGGGGGAGGGGTGGGCATGACAAAGGACGAGAGAGGGTGGTGATACCTGTGTGAAGGTGAAGCTTCACACATGGTTACGTGGATATAAGGAGAGGTGTTTTACCTGGAAGAAGGACGTGGGAGAGAGGCGGAACTTAAGACCACACAGATGGTCGTATATGTGTGTGTCACACGCTGGCTCCCCTGCCAGTGCTGCTGCTGCTGCTGCTCCTGCTTCTCCTCCTGCTGCTGCTTCTGTTCCTTCTGCTGCTCTTTGACTTTGCGCTTGTGCTTCAAGTGCCTCCACCAGGGACGCATCTGCTTCCCCTTGCACTGCACTCGCACTCCCATTCCCCGCCACTGCTGCTGACGGCTGGGTGATTCTAGAGCGAGGGTAGAGCGGGCGGATGGGGCAGCTTTCAGGGGCGGCATTGGAGACACCTGAATGCTCCTGCAAGTAGATAGGTAATGTGTGAGAGCGAGAATGAGAATGACTATGAGAATGAGAATGACTATGAGAATGAGAAGGAGAGGTCAGAATGGCAGTCAGAATGTTAGTGCGAAAGGTGGTGAGAGCGAGAGTGAGAGTGAGAGTGAGAGCGAGAGTGAGAGTGAGAGTGAGAGTGAGAGTGAGAGTGAGAGTGAGAGTGGGGAATTGGAGTGTGAATGACAGTCCCACCTGAACGAGGATAAGAGTGAGAGTGAGCGCATGAGAGTGAGAGTGAGTGCAGGAGAGTAAGAGTGAGAATAAAAGTGAGGGTGAGAGTGGGGAATAGGAGTGAGAGTGACGGTCCCACCTGAACCAGTATGAGGGTGAGAGTATAAGAGTGAGAGTGAGAGTGAGAGTGAGAGTGAGAGTGAGAGTGAGAGTGAGAGTGAGAGTGAGAGTGGGGAATTGGAGTGTGAATGACAGTCCCACCTGAACGAGGATAAGAGTGAGAGTGAGCGCATGAGAGTGAGAGTGAGTGCAGGAGAGTAAGAGTGAGAATAAAAGTGAGGGTGAGAGTGGGGAATAGGAGTGAGAGTGACGGTCCCACCTGAACCAGTATGAGGGTGAGAGTATAAGAGTGAGAGTGAGAGTGAGAGTGAGAGTGAGAGTGAGAGTGAGAGTGAGAGTGAGAGTGAGAGTGAGAGTGAGAGTGAGAGTGAGAGTGAGAGTGAGAGTAATTCCCACCTGAACCAGGATGAGGGTGAGAGGCAATGGAGGGCTGTGCGCCGCTGCTCCTGCTGCAATCTCAGCCGTCAATCTGCTCAGCTCCGCATCCATGGCCGTTCGATCGACACCAGCAGGGTTCACCTGCAGCAGCAGCATCACTTGATTCACTGCCGCCCTGCCACTGTGCCTTGGCCCGTCACCTCCCTTTGAGCCTTCCCCTTCCAATGTGTCATCCCTTGTGTCATTCCTTGTGTCATTCCTTGTGTCATTCCTTGCGTCACCTTCACCTCTTTGACCATCTTCATTTCCTGTGCCGCCGTTGTCATCCTGCTTTTCTGCGGGTGGTTGTTCAGCATCTGCGGCTGCTGATTGGTCCACGTCCATGGGCGCCACGTCAGCAGCGGCAGCAGGCTCGGGATGTGGTGCGGGGGTGAGTGGTTCGGCCGTGCCTTCCCTCACCTGCAGCGTGGATGCAGATAAGAGGTAAATAAACGTCGACTCAAAACGTCGATAAGAGGTAAATAAACGTCGACTCAAAACGAGGTCATTTTTTTGTCGAGAAGAATTACACGCGACAGATCAACACAAACACAAGACACACGCGCTTGTGCACAAATCCGTGGGCACAGCACACGTCTCAATTCTCCCTGCACACCGGCGTTCGTGCTTACCCACACTTGGGCCGGCCCACACTCACCACCACTTACCCACCCACCACCCCACACCCATCTACACCCCCAACCACCGTGAGCAGGCGCCAGAAGCCCTGGTTGTTGACCTTGTCCCATGCAGCCAGGGGCGAGCCCTGCACAACCCCATGCACCAGTCACACCCTGAACCACACCCATGGACATCCATTCACACACGAACATCCATACACACATGCACACATGTACACATGCACACGTGCACACATGTACACATGCACACATGCACACATGCACACATGCACACATGCACACATGCACACATGCACACATGCACACATGTGCCCTGCCACAAACCACCAACCCACCGTGAGCAGGCGCCAGAAGCCCCGGTTGTTGACCTTGTCCCATGCAGCCAGGGGTGATTCTCGAACCACCCCCTGCACCAGGCGTGCAAAGGCTATGGCAATGGGGGAGATGTTTCGACAGCCCGATGGCTCTGCCACTGCTGTCACTCCATCGCTTGGGGGGGGAAGAGCAAGAGGGGGAGTATGAAAGAAGGAGGGAAGGAAGAAGAGAGATGGAGGGACGAAGGGTCAGAGGGTGAAGGGAAATCCACAAGAAAGCACTGAAGGGAGTGAAGAGAGATGAGGAGATGGAAGTGTTTCGATGCTTGCACTGGAAATGCCACAGAAGCGCACAGAAGGCAACAGAAGGCAACAGAAGGCAACAGAAGGCAACAGAAGGCAACAGAAGGCAACAGAAGGCAACAGAAGCGCACAGAAGGCAACAGAAGGCAACAGAAGGCAACAGAAGGCAACAGAAGGCAACAGAAGGCAACAGAAGGCAACAGAAGGCAACAGAAGGCAACAGAAGGCAACAGAAGGCTCAAGACCTGAGGGGACATGTCACATGCATGCACGTGTGTTTCTCACCGGAAGTTTCCGAGAAGAAACCCGACTGTTGCCTGACCAGAAGCAGAGGGCCCGATGGAGAACTCGCACTTGTTGCGATAGCCGTCCACCACTGGAGAGGCGTAGATTCCCTCAAAGGTGCACGGGAGGTGGGCTGTGAGGACAACAGGCATGCAAGTATGGATGAGGGGGGAGGGTTTGTGGTATGGCGAGCAGCAGAGGGCCCAATGGTGAACTCGCACTTGTTGCGATAGCCGTCCACCACTGGAGAGGCGTAGATTCCCTCAAAGGTGCACGGGAGGTGGGCTGTGAGGACAACAGGCATGCAAGTATGGATGAGGGGGGAGGGTTTGTGGTATGGCGAGCAGCAGATTCCGTCATACACTCACGGAAGGTGGGCTGTAGGGAAGGGGGTGGGGGAATGGGGCATGCAAGGTTGGATGAGGCGAAAGATTGCGTGGTTTTTGAGACGTCTCAAAACTCACGGGAGGTGGGCTGTAGGGAAGGGGGTGGAGTTGTGGGCATGCAAGGTTGGATGAGGCGAAAGATTGTGTGGTTTCTTTTGAGTCGACTCTTGAGTTGACTTTTGAGTTGACTTTTGAGTCGACTCAAAAGTCAAGGGGGTGGGGGAGTGGGCGTGCAAGGTTGGACGAGGTGGAAGATTGTGTGGTTTCTCGAGTAAAGCTTCCTCATCTTGGTCACAATCCCTCATACCCCTCCTTCATCTCACCTCTCGCTTTAGCACTCTTGATCCACTCTGGCAGCTGCGCAAAACTCTTTCTTGAATAAAGCTTCCTCATTTTCGTCACAATCCGCTGCAGATCCTTCGCCACTCGCCCTCCCTTCATCTCCAGCTGTTCCTCATACCCCATCTTTGCCAGTGGCGTCACCGCCTCCCACGCTTCCCTCTTCACCCTCCCCTCCGCTTTCTCCCCTTCCCTCTCTCCTCCTCTGCCTCCCTCTTCCCCATCCTCTCCTTCCTCATCCATCTCTTCCGTTTCCTCCTCATCCTCACCCTCCCCACCTCTCCCGCCCTCCTCTTTCCCATCATCCTCCCCTGCCTCTCCTATTCCTTCCCCCTCTGTTCTCCTCTTCTTGTCCTCGTGCCCCTCGCCGCCCTCCTGGGCGGCAAACGCCGTCAGTTTCTGAGTGCGGTACCTTGCCGGTTTCACGTCCAGCGTCTGGTTCCTCACCAGCTTGCCGTGCAGCAGCTGTGGTTGAGAGGGTTTGGGGTTTGGGGCACGGGGTTTGGGGCAAGGGGCACGACAGGTGTGAGCATGTGATGCACGATGCTAGAGTTCCCTCTGTACCGTGCTGGTTGCACGTCCAGCGTCTGGTGCTTCACCAGCTTGCAGTGCAGCAGCTGTGGTTGAGAGGGTTTGGGGTTTGGGGTTTGGGGCAAGGGGCACGACAGGTGTGAGCATGTGATGCGCGATGCTAGAGTTCCCTCTGTACCGTGCTGGTTGCACGTCCAGCGTCTGGTGCTTCACCAGCTTGCAGTGCAGCAGCTGTGGTTGAGAGGGTTTGGGGTTTGGGGTTTGGGGCAAGGGGCACGACAGGTGTGAGCATGTGATGCGCGATGCTAGAGTTCCCTCTGTACCGTGCTGGTTGCACGTCCAGCGTCTGGTGCTTCACCAGCTTGCAGTGCAGCAGCTGTGGTTGAGAGGGTTTGGGGTTTGGGGCAAGGGGCACAATAGGTGTGAGCATGTGATGCTGTGATGCGCGATGCTAGAGTTCCCTCTGTACCGTGCTGGTTGCACGTCCAGCGTCTGGTGCTTCACCAGCTTGCGGTTGATAAAGAGAAAGATGGAGTGGGATGGGTGAGTGCGGAGGGGGAGTGGGGAGTGGGAGTGGGGTGGGGGAGTGGGGTGGGGGAGTGGGGTGGGAGAGTGGGTTGTGGCAGTGGGGAAGGTGGATCGTCCCATCCCCTTTCCCAATTGCGTCACTTGCCTTTCCCTCCCACCTGCTCGCCCCTACTCTCACCTGAGTGGCCTTATCTGCTGTAGCGGCTGTCTCAAATGACACGAACCCAAACGCCACGCCCTGGCTTTTCCTTGACCCACAATAGTCCAAACTCTGCCACCCAGCAGACACCCCAAAGGAACAAACAAAACAAGGGACGATCAATGGCAGAGCAGAACCGGGTTTGAGAAGAAGGGTTCTGGGATGGCGTTTGGCGTTTGGCGTTTTGGGAGGACGACACAAAACAAGGGACAACACGAACCGGGCAGAGCAAGGGATCAGCCAACACGCCCTTAGTTTGGGGAACTTGAGAAACTTATGCCAAAAGGTTTTAAAAGGAGCACTGAATTTTGGAGTGTGGTTATGGAAACCAACGGCAAGGGCTAGCGACCAGGCTTCAGCGAGGGAAGGTTTGGCAAAAGCAGGGGAGAAGAAGGGTTTTTGGGATGGACTGTTGTCACTGTTTTTATGTTGTAACCTGCTGAGAATTTAGAGGGATTATTTTTCTAGACGCAGCAGGCTTGGTGTTATATAAGATGATGCACGTGTTTCCATCTTCCTCTGCCCTAACTCCTCATCATTGGTGGACTTTTGAGTCGACTTAAAAGTCAACTTGGTGTTATGTATAAGATGATGCACGTGTTTCCATCTCCCTCTGCCCTAACTCCTCCTCATTGGTGGCACGTCACCTGTTCGCACCATTTCGTTGAGCAGTTCGCGAAAGTGCTTCACATTCCACCACTTGGGTAGGTTCTGCACGCAAAGCCGACTCCACTCGCCTTCCCCGCCAGGCCCCCCTTCCTTCCCCTCTTCCCCCGCATCCTCCGTTTCTTCCGCCTCTCTCCCCCATGACCCTCCGCCTCCGCGTTTCCTCCCCCGATTCTTCCCCTTGTTGCCCTGGTCCCCTTCCCCTGCCCCCTTATCGCTCCGCTTAGCCCCCCCGCGCGCGGAAGTGGGGTCAAACGACCCGTCCGGGCGCGCGCGCAGTTCCGCCTCCCCGTGCGCGAACTTGCACCGCGCGCCGTGCTTGCACTCCCCGTGCTTGCGGAAGAACGAGCACAGAGTCGTCTTCCACATCGGCCCCCCTCCGCCGTCCGCGGATGCCGCAACGCCCGCCGCTACAGCCGCACCCTCCGCCGCTACAGACGCGACACCACCCTCTGCAGCCGGCACAGGCGCTACTGGGGTTTCCGCCTGCTTTCCGCCGTCCGCGGATCCTTCATTTTCCGCTGACGTCGCCGCCGCTGCCGTAGCTGCCGCAGCGTCAGCTACCAGAGCAGGGGCCGTAACGTCTGCGCCTGGCGCAGCGGGAGTATCCTCCGCAACTGGTGGAGTTTGCGCGGAACCTATGGCGGAAACGGCTTCGGAATCTGTTGGAGAGGAACCCCCCATTGCTGACGAGGGAGCGCGAACGAGTATCTTCTATGCAGTCTAGTAACAAGCTTCCTCAACTAACGGTTAGTAATGTAACAAACGAGCAATCTCTAACGGGTTTCGGGTTTTCCTCCAAAACCCAAAAACCTGGAAACTGCAAGGGAAGATTGGCGCCACTCGCCTGACGAAAGCGGGTTACGGTTGATCACGATTTTCTGAAGGCATCTGGATTTCGCCAATCCCTGAGATGGATGGAGTCTGGAGATCCTCCCTTCGGAACTCCCGCCTGATGAGAATATGGCGCGAAGCTGGGGTGCCAAATTCAATGCACCTAGTAAACGAATGCTCTTTACCGCTTTTAACCGCTACGTTTCGCACCCATAATCTTCTGCACCATCTACTCGGGACATAGGGATCATCTTCACCTGTGTACATTGTGGTATTTCAGCTTCACACATACCTCTTACCATCTCTCCCCTCCCTTTTTCAAACGCGACGCGGTAGGGTGAACTAAAGCCCACATGCCGTCTCACGCGCTTGCCACACCGCTCCTCGCGCAATCCGCCGCGTGTAGCATCTCTTTAAGTAGCCTCGCGCGAAGACGCACGAGCAGGGTCCTTGCAAGTTACGCCGCGCGTATCTCCGCACTTCATGATCCTCCTCGGCATTTCCCTCGGAAGGTTCTCTTTCAGCGTTTTCTGGGCAGGCGCTATCTGTTCTTCACTCAAACGCCGCTTGATTCCCGTTACCGAACTCCGTCTATCCTCGTCTCAGTCTTCCCCGATAAGGTTCCTCGGTCACCTAACTCGCGTAACCGAAGAGCGCTAGTCGGAATGGCGGCAGTGCCGTCAGAGAACACATTACCAGGACGTGAATCGATTCAACCAACGGCCGACTCGTCGGCCCGACGACGGCGGCTCAACGTAGCCGTGATCGGCGCAGGCGCCGCGGGACTGGCCGCTGCGCGCGAGCTGATGCGAGAAGGGCACGCCGTGACTGTGATCGAAGCGGGGGGAGAAATAGGCGGCGTGTGGGCTTATGACGAGCGGATAGAAACGGAGGATTTATTAGGGTTAGATCCTAACCGACAACAAGTCCATAGCAGCATGTACGCGTCGCTAAGGACGAATTTACCCCGAGAATTGATGGGTTTTTTAGACTTTCCCTTCTCCGCGCCTTTACCCGGCGATCGTCCCGATGCTGACGTGGACCCGCGCGACGGAACCAGCGCGGATTCACGACAGGAGGACTTTGATATGCGACGGTTTCCATCGCACAGAGAGGTGCTGCGATATCTCTGTAGGTACGCGGATCGATTCGGGATCTCGAACCGCGTGGAGCTCCACAGTAGAGTGATCTCGGCCGTCCCTGTGATTTCCCGCCAAGCAACCGTTGAAGAAAGCGGGGAAGGCGGAAGGAAAAGGGGAGGCGGCGCAGAGGCGGGGAATGGAGCGGAAGCGGAAACCAGCCAAGCGGAAGCGGGAAAAGAGGGGAACGTGGGGAATGCAGGGAATGCGCACGTGGAGGGGGAAGCTTGGGATCTCTTAGAGACGACCGCGGAGGGGACTGAGGCTCCTGTTGTGAGATGGCGTCTTAAGATTGCTCGGTCTAGAGCGCATAGGAGTATTAGTACGTATAGAGGGAGTTTAGGAGGTTCAGCAGGTGCAGCAGCAGGGATTGGGGATGGGGAGAGGGTGGAAGGGAGGGAGGAAAGGGAGGAGGAGAGGGAGTTTGATGCGTTGGTGGTGTGTAACGGTCACTACTCACAGCCCAAGATTGCAACTATTGCGGGTGAGACTGTAACGGGGGGCAGGTTTGTTACAGAGTGGGTGATAGTGGGTGGGTGAATGAGTGATTGATTGAGTGAGTGCATGTGAGAGTGGGTAGTTGAGACAGCCAGTTGGCTAGTTATGCATGAACCAAGTGTATTATTTTCCCTGTGTGTGGAAGATTGGAAAAAATAACTCCCCTGTGTGGAAAAAATAATCCCCTGTGTGTTATTTTCCATAATCCTGTGTGGAAGATTGGAAAAAATAACTCCCCTGGATTATGGAGAGTGGGCTGCAGATCTCACCCTCCTCTTTAACTCCCCCATGCTTGTCTTCCCTGATTTCTGTATCCCAACGAATCAGGTGTGGACACGTGGCAAGGCATTCAGATGCACAGCCATAACTACCGCTACCCAGAGGGGTTTGCAGGCAAGGTGAGGCAAGGTGAGACATCTTCAGCACATCTTCAGCACATCTTCAGCACATCTTCAGCACTGTGTTGTTATCGGGCAATCTTCAGGCAAGGAGTCTCTTGTCTTTCGTCGGAGAGGAAAGAGGGGTCTCAAGACGCATCGTCAGAGTCTTTTCAATCAAAGAAGTCTGTTCTCTTTTCTCTTCACTTTTCTCTTCTCTTTTCCCTTCTCTTTTCTCTTCTCTTTTCTCTTCTCTTTTCCCTTCTCTTTTCTCTTCTCTTTTCACTTCTCTTTTGTCTCCCTAACAGAGGAAGACAGTCTCCTGAACTTGCCGTCTCTGTTGCTCTCTTCTCTTTTCCCTTCTCTTTTCTATTCTCTTTTCTCTTCTCTTTTCAATCAAAAAAGTCTTTTCTCTTTGCTCGTTTGCATGCCTGATTCTCCATGCCTTCCCAGGTGGTGGTGGTGGTGGGAGCGGAGGCGAGTGGGCAGGACATAGCGAGGGAGCTAGCAGCAGTGGCGCGAGAGGTGCACATCTGTGCGCGAGGCTGGCGCTCCCCCCCTGCTTCTGCTGCTGCTGCTGGTACTGGTGCGACCAATGGTGGTGCTGCTGCTGCTGGGACGGCCACCGGAGCAATAGAGACGGGGTATTTCGAGGATCTCAGAGGCACAGTGCAGCAGCACCCCATGGTTAGTACCCACCTCGCACCATTAGGTGCTCTCCCCCGTAGTTGCTCTCCCTTAACCTCCTCTGCATTGAATGCTCTTTCAGAAGAAAGGAATATTTATTTATTTTTCAAAGTGCATGTGGAAACCTCTTTTTTTTTTTTTTTGCACTGCTAGTCCGTTTTTTCTCTCAGGGTTATCTTGGGCACCTCAAAGATTCTTCCCACTCCCTCCATTATCCCCCCCCCCCCCCTTCCCGTCCCTCCTTACCGTGCTAACGCGGATAACTGTAACGAGACTGCTTGATCAACGTTGGCGTGCGTGAGTGCAGATCAAGCAAGCCAACGCGGATGGGACAGTGGAGTTTGAAGATGGGTTCACATGTCATGCTGACGTCATCATGCACTGTACTGGGTATGTGAGTTGTGACTGTTCTGACGTCATTTAGTTAGACTCGTTCTTTGGCCACCCTATGTATGTACATGAAATTGTATTGAGACGCCTCACTTCATGAGCTGTTCTTCCAAAACCCTTCCCCCTCTTTCTGTCGCCCTATCCTTCCATCCTCTCCCCTGTTCCTCCATCCCCTTCTGCCCTCCCCGCTCCCCCCGCGCAGCTATTCTTACTCCTTCCCCTTCCTTGCCCTGCACCCTTCTCTCCTCTCCGTCAACAATGGCCGTGTGACTCCCCTGTTCCGCCATGTCCTCCCTCCTGCACTCGCCCCGTCGCTCTCATTTATCGGCCTCCCCTGGAAGGTACCTCCCTTTCCCTTTATATTTCTCGCGTGGTTGTCTCCCCCCTCCCTCCTCTCCATTGATACCGGTCGCGTAACGCCGCCTGTTCTGCCACGTCCTCCCTCCCGCGCCCGCCCCCTCGCTCTCCTTCATCGGCCTCCCCTGGAAGGTAAATCTCCCTCCCCCCCCCCCCTATATACCTCGCATGGTTTCTCCTATGAGTGTTTTTGAAGCATCTTAAACAAAACTCGATAATATCTCGTTTTTTTTTTCTGGGCAACACAGGGTAACATTCTTTGATATGCTACCTCGCTCATCAATCATTTGCTTCCTCACTCTCCTCCATCTGCCCCCCCACATCCCCGCCCAGGTCGTCTTCTTTCCGCTGTGTCAGCTGCAGGCACGGAGGGTTGCTCAACTGCTGTCTAACCAGCAACTCATAACCAGCAGCCCTCCTCCTTCCTGCGTTCCTGTCTCAACTTCTCCCTTCCTTCCCTCTGTACCCTCTCCTCCTCCGCCCCTCAGGTCGTCCCCTTCCCGCTGTGTCAGCTGCAGGCGCGCTGGGTGGCGCAGCTGCTGTCCGGCCAGCTGCCCGTGCCGCCCAGATCCAATATGGAGGACGGCGTGCGTCGTCTGTATGCGCGCATGGAGGAGCAGGGCGTGCCTGAGAGATACGCCCACAGGCTGGATATGGAGCAGGTGCGACCTAAAGGAGGTGGGCCCAGGGAGAAGTAGGGTTGAGTAGAGGTATTGTGAGGGTGGTGTGTGTGTGCCTGAGAGATACGCCCACAGGCTGGATATGGAGCAGGTATGACCTGGAGGAGGTGGGGCCAGGGGGGAGTAGGGTTGAGTAGAGGTATCGTGAGGGTGGTGTGTGTGTGCCTGAGAGGTATGCCCCCAGGCTGGATATGGAGCAGGTAATTCTTAGGGGGGGGTATAACCTGGAGCAGCAACAGGTGTGCCTGGAGCGGGGGGTCTCTGAGAGATACGCCCACAGGCTGGATATGGAGCAGGTAATATTGGGGGGGATGGTACGACCTAGAGCAGGTAAGAGGGGGGGAAGGTGCGACCTGGATCAGGTATTACCTGGAGTAGCTATGACCTCGAGCCCCTACGAGGACCGCCTCGACACGGACTTCCCTGCGTGCATGGCGGCGGGAGATGTCTTGAGACGTCTCAAAACATGCCTGGCGGCGGGAGATGTCTTGAGACGTCTCAAAACATGCCTGGCGGCGGGAGATGTCTTGAGACGTCTCAAAACATGCCTGGCGGCGGGAGATGTCTTGAGACGTCTCAAAACATGCCTGGCGGCGGGAGATGTCTTGAGACGTCTCAAAACATGCATGGCGGCGGGAGATGTCTAGTTTTGAGGCGCCTCAAACTACACAGCCTCAGCACAGACTTCCCTGCGTGCCTGGCGGCGGGAGATGTCTAGTTTTGAGGCGCCTCAAACTACACAGCCTCAGCACGGACTTCCCTGCGTGCCTGGCGGCGGGAGATGTCTAGTTTTGAGGCGCCTCAAACTACACAGCCTCAGCACGGACTTCCCTGCGTGCCTGGCGGCGGGAGATGCACGAAGCAGTGAGGCAGCTGAAGAAGGCCTTCCCAGGCTCTTTACCTGTGCATACCACCGTGCCCCATCCCACCCCACCGCTCCCCACCGCACCAGTTCCCCTACATGGACAGCCTCAGCACGGACTGTGGAGGTTCACTTCTCCCAACATGGCGGCGGGAGATGTACGAAGCAGTGCGGCGGCTGAAGAAATCATTCCCGGGGTCATATCGAGACGAGTGGGTGGAGTGGAATTTGGTTGCTGCTGCACAAGAGGAGTTTGAGGGCTTGTTGCGGGAACTAGAGGGGTGTACGAAGCAGTGAGGCGGCTAACGAAGGCCTTCCCGGGGTTGAATCGCGACAAGTGGGTGGAGTGGGACCTGATCGCTGCTGCTTACAAGGAGTTTGAGGTGTTGCTACAGGAGTCGCCAAGCACTAGAGTAGATAGGGACGAGGTGTGACTGGTGTAGGTACCGTAATTCTTGTTCTTTCACGCCACACCACTTTTCCCTTGGAGACAGCCTTGACGCTGATGCTGTGTAATGCGCAGTGTGTAAGTTATATGATGAATAAGGAACACAAGCTTGGTAGGGTAACAGTACTACCGGCATCGAAAGGTGCTGGAAAGGGTTGGGCTCACGATGTATGGGCTAGATATTGGGAAATCTTGAGAAAGGCACATATGACAAATATGCAAAGAGTTTGTTGCTGCTGGTGCTCGTCTGGAACAATAACGGCACTGGTAAACCATGAAATATACACAGGACAGGAACCCCCTTATACATTCACAAATACAACCGCTGTTTAACCGTCCGACACCCAACCCTCGCTTCTTCCCCCCTCCCCATCAAGGACCACACACCACCCCACCCACCCATGCTATTGTAACAATCACACCCCCTCTCTAATGGCTTTTGCCATGGCTCGTTCCAGCTTCCCAGAGAATCTATACAGCTCAACAACCACCTCTTCCAGGCCAGCAAGCTGCCTACTTTAAGTAGACTCAAATGGCAATCACACTCCCTCTTGTATCGCCTTAGCCACAGCTCTCTCAGCTTCCCGGTGAATCTGTCCAGCTCAACAACCACCCCTTCAGGAACCACCAAACCCCTTTGCTGCTATCACACCTAAGGGCTTTTACCCTAAACCCTTTCCAGCTTCCCGGTGAATCTGCCCAGCTCAACAACCACCCCTTTAGGCACCACCCAACCCCTTTGCTAGTATCACACCCCCTCTTTGATGCCAATCACACTCCGTCCCTAAGGGCTTTTGCCACGGCTCTTTCTAGCTTTCCAGTGAATCTGTCCAGCTCAACAACCACCCCTTCCAGGTCAGCAAGCTGCCGCTCTGCCTCCTCCGCCTCTGCCACTAGCTGCCGAAGCGTTGCCGCCCGTGCTGCCAGCTGGCAGCGCACAAAGACGCCCACGCCGACCGCCAGGTCAGCGAGCCGCTCAGCATCTGCTGATGCCTCTAGGTTTAAGTGAGTGAGGCGTTGGTATGAAGGGGTGGTGTGGGCCTGGGGGTGGGGGGTAGAGATTTAGAGGGAAGAATGTGGAAAGAGGAAAGAGGGAAGGGGCTAGGGGGTCAAATATATTGGCATGGAGAGGGGAGGACTGAGCATGAACTGCAGGTTTTTAGGTTTCGGTGGGTGAGACGTTGGTCTGAGGGGGTGGTGAGCGTATGTGGGGGAAAAGATTGGAGAGGTAGGGAGAGTTAAAGGTGAAAGAGTGTAGAAAGCGGAGAGAGGGGAGGAACTAAGAGGCGGAAAAGTTGGGCCGAGAAGTCGGGGGGGGGGGGGGATTGGAAGGTTGAGAGAGGGGTTGGCTCATCATTTACTCCCTCACCCTCCTTTTCAGTCACGCCATGGCAGGGGGCGGTTACAGTTGCTGCTTGCACTCTCACCTCTCGTTGCATCAATCACGTTTTACTTCCACCCTGTCATGAAAGCAAGTCAAAATTATCTGCCACGTCACCCTCAACTGCCACGTTATCCTCACCTGCAGCTCCCCTTCCACCACAAGGGATAGAGCTGACATCATCTCTGCCAAAGGCTTGGACAAAGAATCTGGGCCGTCCGTTTCCTCGTCTATTACCACAACTCTCGCCGTCTCCCCCACCTTCTCTGCTGCGTCAGTCCCGCTACTGGCCACCTCAATTTCTGTACAAGACGCGTTTCTCGAATCGCGTCGCTCCGTGGATTGGCTAGGAGAGACTAAACGGATGCTTCCACCTGCGGAATCCGAGAAGTTGATATCTGGCGTTTCATCAACTGAAACTCCTGAAAGCGTCGATTGTGCCATTCGTTACAGTCACATCGCTACCGGACAGCTACACCGGGGCAACGTTGCGAGTCAATCCCATCCTCGAAGCGCTACTGGAAATAGGTAAGAGTATATGTCGTACATAATACGTGCTTGTAACAATTCAGCACTGCTGCAGACGAATCGTGCCACATGCGCAAACGCGGCGCGGGCAAATGCTCCTGCCTCGCGAATGGGGATACAAAAGGGTTACTGCGGCTGCGACACGGACGTCGCTCGTCGCAGGCGGTATGACAGAATGAGCTGTCACTTGTCACAGGCTGACGTCAAAGAAATGCCGTCGCTTGCAAGAGCCATCAACGGAACGGAAACGGAAGCTTCTCAGGCGAGCACAATTTCCTGGAGGCTCAGATCTAGCTGTCGAAAGTTCTCGCCTGCGTGACGAAGTGCAGTTACTTCGCCGACCGCGAAGTCAGCCTGCGTTTTGTCGTTCGCTTCATGAAGCCAGCACGCAACCAGAGTACAATTGGTGGACGAGCCGGGTTACAAACTCGCCGCTTACTCGCTAACTCTTGGTCGTAGATATCGAGGTTGGGATGTGACTTTCTTCCTCCCATGCCTCGTCTTCGCAAACCTGGCTGCTGCTCCCTCCCCTTCCAAATCAAAGATAAAGCACCTGTTTTTCAGCAGCCAGATAGAGAGTCTGCATGTGACATTTCGAATTCAGGCTGCTATCAGATTCTTTCATGGCCGGCGGTTTCGAAATGCTTTACGGATTAGGAATCTGAGTGCTTCATTTTTGCTTAAATACTTCCAGATTCGCTTTGCTTATCTGGTTTCGCTGGTCCCTTGCTCGTTGGAACAGCCTGATTGGTTGGCTAATCTCCGTAGGTGTGTTTCGTAAGTAAATGATAGGGAGGATCCTGGAGGTTGCAAATTTCGGAAATTACGGCCTGGATCTGGTCTCATCCCCGTCCTCTACGGCTCTTCTTTTGATTAAATCATCCGAACAGAAGTGGTACCTCTCTTGAAGAGTAGTTGACCCGCGACGAGCTATTGTAGGGAGTTCTTTAATAAAAAGGCAAAAAAGCAGGAGGAATCCATCATGGATTCTTATGTTCATCCGAACAATAGCTGGTTGCCGCCTGACGTGGCGGCACAGGCGGCTAGCGAGGAGCCTGGAAGATTTCATGCAGTTGCCGAGGAGGTTCAGGCTGCGTGGAAGCGCGGGATGGAGCAAGGCCATGGCGGAGAGACTCTGAAATGGGTCTCCGTCGTCAATAGGTACTGTCTCGATTTACGCTGGAATAGTAAGGATACGGGGTAAGGAGCCAGGCCATGGCGGACAGACGGGTCGCAGTCTTTATTATGTGTTTTTGTGGTGGATTAATGTCGCAACGTGTCAGCAAGGGAGCCTCGCATCTCTCGTATCGTCGTCACCGGGTATTTTTGTCAATTAGTCCCAACTTAAGGGTAAATCCTGGCGATCTGTGTAGCAAATTCAGAGGTTATGAGGTAGTTCTGTCAGTCATCCTTGCGTTTTGAGTTGCCAGGAACCAGCATCAATAGCCAGAGTTATATTCTGCGTCATTACAAAGTACATCTGGCAGTCATCAGTTGCGTTTGGAGTCTTTAAAATTTACCCATCCCAAATTGTGCTGCGAAAATGCTCTAGTGATGCTTGAGGACACCTCATCTGCCCTTTCTGCCAATCTCCTGTGCTTCTCGGCTGTTGCAGTTTCGTGGCGTCCAAGTCTCGTCTGGAGGTTTCTGACCTGGAGCTCGTGTCAAACACCGCCCTCGATATAATCACAAGTTGCCGTGGCCCTAGGGATCTCTTTATTCAGGCAGGTTTTGCTTTCCAGCAGACAACTTTCCGAACATCTTGTTCAATTCCGTCTAGTGCAATGGTTTCTCGTGACACGATCACATTTTGGTAGTCCTCGCCTCGTGGCGTTTCAACACTTTTTCCTCTTCCCGCTCTCCACCCCTCTCCTCGTTGGCTGCGCGTCGCAGATCCGCTGGTCCCAGTGCATCTCTCGCATCCTCCGCAAGCACCGCGCCTCGCTCTCCCTCTCCATCCCCTGGCGCCCGCTCTACTCCATCCTCGCTATACACCTCCCCTCTGCTCCGTACGTTACACACCACCCATCTTCTTCGTATGTTATGCTCCGTCCCTCTCTCTCCCATCTCTCTTTTTCTCACCTTGCATAATGCTCATTCGCTCAGCTGCAGAGTCACGTGAATACCATAGCTGAGTAAATCAGGCAGTCGAAAAGATCCGATGCTACTTCCTGTCTGTCGCACCTGAGACCTGGAGCGTCTGTCGAATTCTGGGAGCTAACTCTGTGCACCCTTCACCCTGAACCCTGAACCCTGAACCCTGAACCCTGAACCCTGAACCCTGAACCCTGAACCCTGAACCCTGAACCCTGAACCATGAACCATGAACCCTGAACCGTGAACCTTGGACCCCTTCACCGTGCTGCTGCCAACAGAGGGTCCACCCCCCTGCCTGGCTACGTGGGAGCGGCACTGCTGCAGATTCACATCAACGCCATCACAGAGCTCATCCGGCGAATCAGGCAGTCTCCCTCCCCTGTCTGCTCTCTCCCTGTACCCTTAACCCTAACCCCGTTGTTGTCCACAGAGGGTCCACCCCCCTGCCCAGCTACGTGGGAGCGGCACTGCTGCAGATTCACATCAACGCCATCACAGAGCTCATTCGGCGGGCGAGAAGGTTCTTCCCCCCTGGCTCTGCTGCTGACATCTGGGCCTTCCTCAGGTGGGCCTCTGTTGCTCCCAGGTGCTTCCAGGTGCGTTTCAGCTGGTTCTAACTGATGATATCTGTCTGGTGCTTTGTCAGGGGAAACTTGATCTCTGTAATGTTTTATTGGCACCCACCACCATCACACCATCATGTGCACTTGTGTTGCGTCATGGTGTTGCATGTCTGTGCCTTCCATTATCACATCTCTCCTCCCTGCCTGCCTCCCACCCACATGTATTATGTATAACCCCCCCCCCCCCCCCTTTCTCCCACCCCCACCTCCCCTTCCACCTCCCCCGTCCTCTCCGCCCTTCCCCCACCCCCTATTTTCCCTTTCTGCCTCCCCTTCCGCCCTCCTCTCTCCCCTCCTCAGGCCACAGTTCGATGACGTCAGCAGCAATGATGCTCTGGAGGCAGCGGCTCTGCTGAATCTGCTGCTGCCAACCACGTGCCGCCATGTGGCACCAGGCGAGGATGATGCCTCTGCTGAATGGAGGTGAGGGGGTTGGGGTTTCTGGCATTGCAGTGCAGTGTGTGGGGCAGATGCATTACTTTTCTTCTTTCCTGTTGTGATTTTATTTCTTCACTCTCCTTGTTTTGTTACTCTGTTGCTTATTTTCGTTTGTTCTTCTTCTTCTGTTTTCGTTTTACCGTTTATCCCATCTCATCCCTGCTGCAGTGTCTGGGTGCCGGAGTGGCTGTCGCTGTGGTCCTCTATTCCCCACTGCACCTTTTGGGACGCTCAGTGGATCTCTCTCCTTGCACGCTTAGCAAAACACCAGCAGCTACGTCACCAGCACCAAACCACCTCCTCCCCACCTCCTCCCTCCTCCTCTCCCTCCTCTCTCGCTTCCCATCCTCTCTCCCTCTGGTCCCCTCACCTTCCTTTCCTTTTCCAGAAGATTCTCGAGTCTTTCTCGCTCCCCATCGGCCAATCCCCGTCCGCCACGTCAGCGCAACTTGAGCGTCCCGTCTCTCCAGCATGCGCACGTGTCTTCCTATCGCTGCTTGACAGGTGGCAGCAGCGCAGAGTGCCGCACCAGCAGCAGGTGGTTCGGGCCGTAGCTGGCGCCAAGCTTGTCGTCTGGCTGCTGGCAAACCCCGAACCTGCCGGCCATGGTTTGGATGCTGAACCTCCTGCGTCTGGCTCAGACCGAGCCTTGGAAGTGCAGGGAGGAGAAGTGTCTGTGCTGCGGCTGTTTGATAAGCTATCGAACGATCTGGAGCAGTTCTTTCACCCATCCAACGGTGGAGAATGGACGGGGCTGCTGGAAAAGATGCTGCATTCTGCTACATACCACCTCATGAAGAGAATCGCAGCAGAGAAGAAGATTTTCGGTGACCGGTGAGTCAGCGCAGGGAGGCTGTGTGAGTAATTTTTTAGAATTCTCAAACATCACTCACAAGGAAGGGTGTGTGCTCACCATGAATCATGGTGACAGATGAGTTTCACCATGGCTGCTCCCATCCGTCTGCTCACCCGTTGAGTCTCATCCACAACCGCACTCTCTTCAGCAACAGCCCCACCACCTCTGCCGTTACCTCCCTCCCTCCTTCTCACCCCTTGCCTTGCCAGGTACCCCTCGGGTTCCTCTGCAGTTCTGTCCCCTGCCACGACAACTGCGTTCATCCGCTTACTCACCCGTTGAGTCTCATCCACAACCGTGCTCTCTTAAGCAAGAGCTCCACCCTTTATGCCATTACCTCCCCTCCTCCCCATGCTATTCGCTTCCCATCACAGGTACCCTGCAGCAACCTCGTCCGCCCTGTCCCCTGCCACCACAGCTGCCTTCATCCGTCTGCTCACCCGCCTCATCCACAACCGTGCTCTATTCAGCAAGAGCCCCACCCTCTCTGCCTTTTTCTCAACTTCTTCCCATGCTATCACCATCCCACCCCATCCTCACAGGTACCCCTCGGGTGCTCCTGCTTCCCTGTCCCCAGCCACCACAGCTGCCTTCATCCGTCTGCTCACCCGTTTCATCCACAACCGTGCTCTATTCAGCAAGAGCCCCACCCTCTCTGCTGTCGCCTCCCGCGTGGCTGCCTCACTGTCCTACCTGGCGCCACGTGTCACCCTGCCAGTGGTCCTGGAGAGCTTCCAGGGGGCGCTGACCACTGTGAGTAGCATGCCTAGTGCCTCGCTGTACCGCTCTGTACCTCTATGTACCTCTCTGCGCCTCTCTGTGTCTCTCTGTACTTCTTTGTGCCTCTCTGTACCTCTCTGTACCTCTCTGTGCCTCTGTGTGCATTTTTGTACCGCTATGTACCTCTTTGAACTACTCTGTACCTCTCTATAGGTCTTGCCAACCTCCCCTCTTGCTGTCACCGCTGCCCTTACTCTCCCTTTCTCACATTTGAGAATTCTGAAAAGCTGTTTGGGAATCACTTTTGAGAATTCTCAAAAGCTCTCCCTTTCTCACACCTTCTCTACTCCTTCCTTTCTCTTCTTTCCCCACCCGCCATCAGGTCACCGCAACACACCAGCTCGAGTCCGCCCTCTCTACCCTCGCCCTCTCCGTCCGCCCGTTGCTGCTCGCTGCTGCCCAAATCCCCTCGGACCAAGACAGTGCCCTTGACTCTATGGAGGTGGATGAATCAGGAGCGGTGGGGGTTGGGGAGGGTGGCAATGGCATGGGCACGTGGCAGGAGATGATTGGGCGGGCGAGGGAGGTGGTATCTGAGGCGCTGGTGGCGACTCTTCCTGGGATTGATGCCAATGACCCGCCCAAGACGCTTGCTACTCTGCATCTCTACCTCTCTGTCTTCTCTTCTGTACGTGACATGGGGTATGTGTTTGAATGCTGGGCGGGCGAGGGAGGTGGTATCTGAGGCGCTGGTGGCGACACTTCCTGGGATTGATGCCAATGACCCGCCCAAGACGCTGGCCACTCTGCACCTCTACCTCTCTGTCTTCTCTTCTGTACGTGACATGGGGTATGTGTTTGAATGCTGGGCGGGCGAGGGAGGTGGTATCTGAGGCGCTGGTGGCGACACTTCCTGGGATTGATGCCAACGACCCGCCCAAGACGCTGGCCACTCTGCACCTCTACCTCTCCGTCTTCTCCTCTGTATGTATGATGGGGTGTATGTATCCTGGATGTCTTTTGAGTCGTCTCAAGACTCCCTGGGGTTGGCGCCAACAACCCGCCCAAGACACTCACCACATTTCATCTTTACCCCTCTGCCTTCTCCTCCGTATGTATCTCTGGATGTGCATACGTTGGGATGTCTCACGTATTTGATGTGACTGATATATGGTACCTTATGAACTGATAGTTGTGCTTTATTGAAGAAAAATAACTATATTTCCCTTCCTCATGCCACCCGCTCCCCTCTCCCCCTTCATCTTTCCCATGCGTGTCTCTGCTCTTCTGCCCCTCAGATTGGTCCAATAGGGGACGAGGAAAGCCCTTTCGCGCTCTCCATTGATTGGTCCACGTGGCTGGAGGACTTTCTCTCCCGTCTCTTCTCCCTCTTCTCTCACTTGGAGAGTGCTGCTCCCACTGCTACTGTGGCAAGCACTGCAGCAGGCACTGAGAGGTGAGAAGTTATGGTGTAACATTATTCCTCTCGTGTTTAACCATCCGTTCCGTAGACTTCAGAGTCACTGGTCGAACATCAGAGGTGACAGGGTGAAAGATTCATCGGTCGTGTGTCGTGAAAGATTGCGCGAACAACGACTCTCAACCGTCGCCGTGTTATCCCGCGCCCACAGAACGGATGACTACACACGAGAGGAATACGGCACTCTCTCCTTTCACGCCTTTCCTCCCTCGCACGCCTCTTCTCCCTCTCCACTCACTGGAAGAGGGCCACACCACTGAGTGGCGCAGCAGGCAACGAGAGCGACTGTGGAGGTTCAATACCAGGTTCTTTTCTACTTCTCCTCCTGTTCCTCTTTGCCCCTTGGTTCCCAAGCCCTTCCTCTCTCCCCTCGCAGATCCTTCCTTGTGAAGGAGGTGGAGGGGTCAACCTTTCGTTCCACCGTCAGCACTTGCTTCACCCACTGCCTTCTCCTTGCATCCCCTTGTCTCCCTTGCCCCTCCCCTCCCCTCCAATCCCCTCCCGGTTCTTTCTTCATGAAGGAGACGGAGGGGTCAGCCCTCTGTGTATTGATTTGATCACCCCAAACCCAATCCGCTGTTCTCCTCCTCTTCCTCCTCGTCCCTTGCCCCTCATTCCCCTCCTCTCTCCCGCGCAGATCTTTCCTTATGAAGGAGGCAGAGGGGTCTACCTTCCGCTCCACCATCAGCATTCTCTTCGCCCGCCTCTCTCCTCCTCTCCTCAATCAGGTATGTCTTTTGAGTCGACTCAAAAGTCAGCTTCCTTCGCCCGCCTCTCTCCTCGTCTCCTCAATCAGGTATGTCTCCAGTTTCTCATTCTTTTCCTCCCACTCGCTTCCTTTCTCGCCTCCCACTCGGCCGGCACAGTGCTGGCAGCGCTGTCCTATGCTGCTCCCGATACCTCCTCTCTTGCCCCTTCTCCAGTCAATCCCTGCTTTGTGTGTTTTCCCTCCAGGTGCTGTCAAGGGTGGAGCGATATGTCTCCAGCACTGTGGCCTGCGGCGGGGGTGAGGGGGAGATTGGGACAGTGGTGGTAGCGCTGCCTGCCTTATAAATGTTGCTCTTGCAGCCGCATATTACGAAATTGCTCTTTCCTTATCCTGCCCTGTGCGCCAAACAGGTGCTCTCAAGGGTGGAGCGCTATTTATCCGGTTCTGTCATCCGCAGGTGTGAGGAGGAGATTGGCACAGTGGTGGCAGCGCTCGCCTATGCTGCTCCTGATGCCTTTTACTATGGATTTGCTCGTCCCCCTTTCTTTTCCTGAGCATCAAACAGGTGCTCTCAAGGGTGGAGCGTTACGTGTCCAGCTCTGTCATCCGCGGGTGTGAGGAGGAGATCGGCACAGTGGTGGCAGCGCTGGCATATGCTGCTCCTGAGCCCACGTGCAATCGGATCCTTGCTGGAGTCATGGATTCTGCGATTTCTCTCCTCCAATCGCTGCCTGCCACGTCATTCCTGGGGCTCGCTGAGTTCCCTGCTGCTGCTGCTGCTGCAGATGCAGGAGAGGTGCTGAAAGTGAGTGGTACAGTGGGTTGTCGAGCGGTGAAGTGCAGTAATGGTTGCCTGCCTGTTCTTTCTTTTGGCAGCTCTGTGACTTTTAGCCCCTGATCATGTGATCAGGCAGGCAGGCATTACTGCATCATCATCATGTAATTCTCTACCATCATCATCATGTAATTCCCTACCATCATCATCATGCATTTCCCTACCATCATCATCATGCATTTCCCTACCATCATCATCATGCATTTCCCTACCATCATCATCATGCATTTCCCTACCATCATCATCATGCATTTCCCTACCATCATCATCATGTAATTCCCTACCATCATCATCATGTAATTCCCTACCATCATCATCATGCATTTCCCTACCATCATCATCATGCATTTCCCTACCATCATCATCATGCATTTCCCTACCATCATCATCATGCATTTCCCTACCATCATCATCATGCATTTCCCTACCATCATCATCATGCATTTCCCTACCATCATCATCATGCATTTCCCTACCATCATCATCATGCATTTCCCTACCATCATCATCATGTAATTCCCTACCATCATCATCATGCATTTCCCTACCATCATCATCATGCATTTCCCTACCATCATCATCATGTAATTCCCTACCATCATCATCATGCATTTCCCTACCATCATCATCATGCATTTCCCTACCATCATCATCATGCATTTCCCTACCATCATCATCATGCATTTCCCTACCATCATCATCATGCATTTCCCTACCATCATCATCATGCATTTCCCTACCATCATCATCATGCATTTCCCTACCATCATCATCATGCATTTCCCTACCATCATCATCATGCATTTCCCTACCATCATCATCATGTAATTCCCTACCATCATCATCATGCATTTCCCTACCATCATCATCATGCATTTCCCTACCATCATCATCATGCATTTCCCTACCATCATCATCATGCATTTCCCTACCATCATCATCATGCATTTCCCTACCATCATCATCATGTAATTCCCTACCATCATCATCATGCATTTCCCTACCATCATCATCATGCATTTCCCTACCATCATCATCATGCATTTCCCTACCATCATCATCATGCATTTCCCTACCATCATCATCATGCATTTCCCTACCATCATCATCATGTAATTCCCTACCATCATCATCATGTAATTCCCTACCATCATCATCATGCATTTCCCTACCATCATCATCATGCATTTCCCTACCATCATCATCATGCATTTCCCTACCATCATCATCATGTAATTCCCTACCATCATCATCATGTAATTCCCTACCATCATCATCATGCATTTCCCTACCATCATCATCATGCATTTCCCTACCATCATCATCATGCATTTCCCTACCATCATCATCATGCATTTCCCTACCATCATCATCATGTAATTCCCTACCATCATCATCATGTAATTCCCTACCATCATCATCATGCATTTCCCTACCATCATCATCATGCATTTCCCTACCATCATCATCATGCATTTCCCTACCATCATCATCATGCATTTCCCTACCATCATCATCATGCATTTCCCTACCATCATCATCATGTAATTCCCTACCATCATCATCATGTAATTCCCTACCATCATCATCATGCATTTCCCTACCATCATCATCATGCATTTCCCTACCATCATCATCATGCATTTCCCTACCATCATCATCATGCATTTCCCTACCATCATCATCATGCATTTCCCTACCATCATCATCATGTAATTCCCTACCATCATCATCATGTAATTCCCTACCATCATCATCATGCATTTCCCTACCATCATCATCATGCATTTCCCTACCATCATCATCATGCATTTCCCTACCATCATCATCATGCATTTCCCTACCATCATCATCATGCATTTCCCTACCATCATCATCATGCATTTCCCTACCATCATCATCATGCATTTCCCTACCATCATCATCATGCATTTCCCTACCATCATCATCATGCATTTCCCTACCATCATCATCATGCATTTCCCTACCATCATCATCATGCATTTCCCTACCATCATCATCATGCATTTCCCTACCATCATCATCATGCATTTCCCTACCATCATCATCATGCATTTCCCTACCATCATCATCATGCATTTCCCTACCATCATCATCATGCATTTCCCTACCATCATCATCATGCATTTCCCTACCATCATCATCATGCATTTCCCTACCATCATCATCATGCATTTCCCTACCATCATCATCATGCATTTCCCTACCATCATCATCATGCATTTCCCTACCATCATCATCATGCATTTCCCTACCATCATCATCATGCATTTCCCTACCATCATCATCATGTAATTCCCTACCATCATCATCATGCATTTCCCTACCATCATCATCATGTAATTCCCTACCATCATCATCATGTAATTCCCTACCATCATCATCATGTAATTCCCTACCATCATCATCATGTAATTCCCTACCATCATCATCATGTAATTCCCTACCATCATCATCATGTAATTCCCTACCATCATCATCATGTAATTCCCTACCATCATCATCATGTAATTCCCTACCATCATCATCATGTAATTCCCTACCATCATCATCATGTAATTCCCTACCATCATCATCATGTAATTCCCTACCATCATCATCATGTAATTCCCTACCATCATCATCATGTAATTCCCTACCATCATCATCATGTAATTCCCTACCATCATCATCATGTAATTCCCTACCATCATCATCATGTAATTCCCTACCATCATCATCATGTAATTCCCTACCATCATCATCATGTAATTCCCTACCATCATCATCATGTAATTCCCTACCATCATCATCATGTAATTCCCTACCATCATCATCATGTAATTCCCTACCATCATCATCATGTAATTCCCTACCATCATCATCATGTAATTCCCTACCATCATCATCATGTAATTCCCTACCATCATCATCATGCATTTCCCTACCATCATCATCATGCATTTCCCTACCATCATCATCATGCATTTCCCTACCATCATCATCATGCATTTCCCTACCATCATCATCATGCATTTCCCTACCATCATCATCATGCATTTCCCTACCATCATCATCATGCATTTCCCTACCATCATCATCATGCATTTCCCTACCATCATCATCATGCATTTCCCTACCATCATCATCATGTAATTCCCTACCATCATCATCATGTAATTCCCTACCATCATCATCATGTAATTCCCTACCATCATCATCATGTAATTCCCTACCATCATCATCATGTAATTCCCTACCATCATCATCATGTAATTCCCTACCATCATCATCATGTAATTCCCTACCATCATCATCATGTAATTCCCTACCATCATCATCATGTAATTCCCTACCATCATCATCATGTAATTCCCTACCATCATCATCATGTAATTCCCTACCATCATCATCATGTAATTCCCTACCATCATCATCATGTAATTCCCTACCATCATCATCATGTAATTCCCTACCATCATCATCATGTAATTCCCTACCATCATCATCATGTAATTCCCTACCATCATCATCATGTAATTCCCTACCATCATCATCATGTAATTCCCTACCATCATCATCATGTAATTCCCTACCATCATCATCATGTAATTCCCTACCATCATCATCATGTAATTCCCTACCATCATCATCATGTAATTCCCTACCATCATCATCATGTAATTCCCTACCATCATCATCATGTAATTCCCTACCATCATCATCATGTAATTCCCTACCATCATCATCATGTAATTCCCTACCATCATCATCATGTAATTCCCTACCATCATCATCATGTAATTCCCTACCATCATCATCATGTAATTCCCTACCATCATCATCATGTAATTCCCTACCATCATCATCATGTAATTCCCTACCATCATCATCATGTAATTCCCTACCATCATCATCATGTAATTCCCTACCATCATCATCATGTAATTCCCTACCATCATCATCATGTAATTCCCTACCATCATCATCATGTAATTCCCTACCATCATCATCATGTAATTCCCTACCATCATCATCATGTAATTCCCTACCATCATCATCATGCATTTCCCTACCATCATCATCATGCATTTCCCTACCATCATCATCATGCATTTCCCTACCATCATCATCATGCATTTCCCTACCATCATCATCATGCATTTCCCTACCATCATCATCATGCATTTCCCTACCATCATCATCATGCATTTCCCTACCATCATCATCATGCATTTCCCTACCATCATCATCTTTCATCTCCCTTGTTGCTGCCTGCCCACCTTTCTGCCCCCTGTTGCTCCTGCGCAGCTGCCAGCAAATCAGCTGTCGACAACTCAGGAGACCATGGTCCTCTTCCACATGCACCTCGTCAGCAACGCTGTCCCCTTTAGTGGCTCTGCTCTGATAGCACATAAGGACCGTCTCATCGCGCTTATCGATGCTGCCTTCTCATCCACCTCCCAAAAGGTGCGGCGTGGGATTTACGCTGTTGAAGTTTAGAAATTCGTTCATGATGCAGCAGCATGGGTTGTGAGCTCATGAAAAAACTCACAGAGCACGCAACTATCACCCTTCCCTCCTTTCTCCTCTCAGGTGGTTGATGCAGCGGCTGATCTGCTCCAGAAGTTCCTCTTTGCGCTCATCTTCTATTACCCCCTGAATGAATACACGTAAGTATGTGTTTTTTCTTAGCCTCAAATGGAGTGCCTTTTTGGGCTCATGTTCTATTACTCAATGAATGCCCATAAGCTGAGGTGTCAGCCATAAGCATGCCATTTTGTTGAGCCTCGTGTCTTCTTTCATACACCTAAAAGCGCATAAGCATGCCATTTTCTCTGTTGCTATTTATGCCTGTTCTGTCCACTCTTTTTTTCCTATCCACAGTTTCTTGGGTTGGGAGCAAACAGCTCCAGGGGTGGAAAGATGGTTCTCAAAGCAAGCTGCTGCCGCAGTAGTAGCAGCTCCACTGGAAGCAGCAGAGCCTCCAATGGCAGCAGGACAAGTGGCAGCAGCAGGAGCTCTCCAGTGGCACGTGCCGTCCACAGAAGAGACAATGCTTGCCGCCCAGCTTATCGACAAGTACCTGGGCGGTGCGCTGAGGGACACCCGGTGGCTGCGGTCAAGGCCTGCCACGTCTGCATCAGCCTGCTCAGCAGCAGTTGGAGGTGAGCTGTGTTGGTATCAGAAGCGAGTCTCTAAGGGTACCGCATCTTTCCATCTAATATGAGATACCTTCTCTCTTTATTCATACATTTCTACTCTCCCTTCTTCCCCCTCCCCCTGTCGCCCTCCCTCCCTCCTGTCATGTATCTCCTCCTTCACTCGTCCCTCCTCCCTGTTTGTCATTTTTCTTTTAATGTATGTGTCTCCCCTCCGCTCCCCTCCGAGTGTCTCCCCTCCGCTCCCCTCCCCGGATTCTCTCCCTTCCTACACCTCCATCCAAACTTGCATGGCGAGTGGCCCTTTGCCGCCTCTGGGCTGTTGGTAGAATTTTCAGAATCCTCCTAACACTCTGTCGATTCCTTTCCCCCCCTTCGTACATCTCCTCCCTCCCGCCAGCCAGGTTCGCCTGGCGAGTGGCCCTTCGCTCCCTCTGTGCCTTTGCTTGATGTTTGAGAATTTCGAAAGTTCCCCTTACGCCCTGTCAATTCCTTTCCCTCCCTTCATACATCTCCTCCCTCCCTCCAGCCAAACTTGCCTGGCGAGTGGCTCTTCGCCGCCTCTGGGCCGTTTTCTCCGGCACCCGAACCAACCTCCCAGACCTGACCACCAGGTTCGCCACCCAAGCCTCCGGTGCACCCACCGACGCCACGGCACTAGGCACCCCTCTAGCAGTGGTGGGGCGGTCGGGCGTGACTATAGGCGATGTGGCTATGCGGGAGGAAGCTTCTGGGGAGCTTCATGAGGCGTGTGTGTGGCTGGTGAGGCGGCAGAGGGACGACACTCAGACGTTGGCACTGCTGGCGGAGGTGGAAGGGTTGCTGCTGAACCCAGGTGAGGGGAGAAGGTGTGGCACGCACACAGGGCGCTGGCTGGATAAGGGATGCGTGTGTGGTGCGTGACTGTGTGTGGTGGGTGACTGTGTGTGGTGGGTGGTAAGGCAAGGCACAGGGATGACATTGAGACGCTGACTCTGCTGGCTGAAGTGGAAGGGTTGTTGTTAAACCCAGGTGAGGAGGGTGAGCGATGGGCTGGTATATGGGAATGAGCTGGGTGCATATGGGGGTGCATATGGGGGTGCTTGTGGTGCATATGGGGGTGTTTGTGTGGCATGTGTGTTTGTGAGGCATGTGTGTTTGTGAGGCATGTGTGTTTGTGAGGCATGTGTGTTTGTGAGGCATGTGTGTTTGTGAGGCATGTGTGTTTGTGAGGCATGTGTGTTTGTGTGGCATGTGTGCTTGTGAGGCATGTGTGCTTGTGAGGCATGTGTGCTTGTGAGGCATGTGTGCTTGTGAGGCATGTGTGCTTGTGAGGCATGTGTGTTTGTGAGGCATGTGTGTTTGTGAGGCATGTGTGTTTGTGAGGCATGTGTGTTTGTGAGGCATGTGTGTTTGTGAGGCATGTGTGTTTGTGAGGCATGTGTGTTTGTGTGGCATGTGTGCTTGTGAGGCATGTGTGCTTGTGAGGCATGTGTGCTTGTGAGGCATGTGTGCTTGTGAGGCATATGTGCTTGTGAGGCATGTGTGTTTGTGAGGCATGTGTGTTTGTGTGGCATGTGTGCTTGTGAGGCATGTGTGTTTGTGAGGCATGTGTGTTTGTGAGGCATGTGTGTTTGTGAGGCATGTGTGCTTGTGAGGCATGTGTGTTTGTGAGGCATGTGTGTTTGTGAGGCATGTGTGCTTGTGAGGCATGTGTGTTTGTGAGGCATGTGTGTTTGTGAGGCATGTGTGTTTGTGAGGCATGTGTGCTTGTGAGGCATGTGTGCTTGTGAGGCATGTGTGTTTGTGAGGCATGTGTGCTTGTGAGGCATGTGTGCTTGTGAGGCATGTGTGCTTGTGAGGCATGTGTGCTTGTGAGGCATGTGTGCTTGTGAGGCATGTGTGCTTGTGAGGCATGTGTGCTTGTGAGGCATGTGTGCTTGTGAGGCATGTGTGTTTGTGAGGCATGTGTGTTTGTGAGGCATGTGTGTTTGTGAGGCATGTGTGTTTGTGAGGCATGTGTGTTTGTGAGGCATGTGTGCTTGTGAGGCATGTGTGCTTGTGAGGCATGTGTGCTTGTGAGGCATGAGTGTTCCCACAACTCCCTACGGGGGCTCAGGGTGGTGAAGCAGCAGCAGGCGGGGCTGCTGTTGGAGCCAGAGCTGTCCATAACCCCCTCTTGTCCCTAACGTCTTGCCCCTTGCTGCCTGCAATCTTTCCTCCTCCCAGGCACTCTCGAGTATTCCGACTCCCTGCACGGGCTCAGGGTGGTGAAGCAGCAGGCGGGGCTGCTGTCAGAGCCCAAGGGGTCGCCGTGGATGCAGGCTGGGGAGACCAGGAGGAGGTGAGTGGAAGGCAGGTGTAAGGGAGAGACGAGGAGGAGGTGAGATAAGCGGGAGTGGGGACGAGTGTGGGATGGATCCGGTGGTGTGGGGACGAGTAGCAGGCAGGGCTGCTGCGAGAGCCCAAGGGGTCGCCGTGAATGAAGGCTGGAGAGACGAGGAGGAGGTGAGGACAGGGGGAGGTGAGGGCAGAGGGAGGTGAGGACAGGGGGAGGTGAGCACAGGGGGAGGTGAGGGAAGAGGGGGTGGGCCGGAGGGGAGAGGAGGGCAGGAAGAGAGGGGAGGGATGTTGGGATTGATTGGTTTTTGTGAGGAAGAGGAGCAGAGGCAGGCAGGGCTGCTGCTGTCGTAACCAAAGGGCTCGTCATGGAAGCAGGCTGCTGGGAGATGCGGAGATGAGGACAAAAGGAGGGGGGTTGCAGACAGGGGAAGGTGAGAGTACGGTAGTGTCCTCTGCGAGTGCGGGGGTGAGAGTACGGTAGTGTCCTCTGCGAGTGCGGGGGTGAGAGTACGGTAGTGTCCTCTGCGAGTGCGGGGGTGAGAGTACGGTAGTGTCCTCTGCGAGTGCGGGGGTGAGAGTACGGTAGTGTCCTCTGCGAGTGCGGGGGTGAGAGTACGGTAGTGTCCTCTGCGAGTGCGGGGGTGAGAGTACGGTAGTGTCCTCTGCGAGTGCGGGGGTGAGAGTACGGTAGTGTCCTCTGCGAGTGCGGGGGTGAGAGTACGGTAGTGTCCTCTGCGAGTGCGGGGGTGAGAGTACGGTAGTGTCCTCTGCGAGTGCGGGGGTGAGAGTACGGTAGTGTCCTCTGCGAGTGCGGGGGTGAGAGTACGGTAGTGTCCTCTGCGAGTGCGGGGGTGAGAGTACGGTAGTGTCCTCTGCGAGTGCGGGGGTGAGAGTACGGTAGTGTCCTCTGCGAGTGCGGGGGTGAGAGTACGGTAGTGTCCTCTGCGAGTGCGGGGGTGAGAGTACGGTAGTGTCCTCTGCGAGTGCGGGGGTGAGAGTACGGTAGTGTCCTCTGCGAGTGCGGGGGTGAGAGTACGGTAGTGTCCTCTGCGAGTGCGGGGGTGAGAGTACGGTAGTGTCCTCTGCGAGTGCGGGGGTGAGAGTACGGTAGTGTCCTCTGCGAGTGCGGGGGTGAGAGTACGGTAGTGTCCTCTGCGAGTGCGGGGGTGAGAGTACGGTAGTGTCCTCTGCGAGTGCGGGGGTGAGAGTACGGTAGTGTCCTCTGCGAGTGCGGGGGTGAGAGTACGGTAGTGTCCTCTGCGAGTGCGGGGGTGAGAGTACGGTAGTGTCCTCTGCGAGTGCGGGGGTGAGAGTACGGTAGTGTCCTCTGCGAGTGCGGGGGTGAGAGTACGGTAGTGTCCTCTGCGAGTGCGGGGGTGAGAGTACGGTAGTGTCCTCTGCGAGTGCGGGGGTGAGAGTACGGTAGTGTCCTCTGCGAGTGCGGGGGTGAGAGTACGGTAGTGTCCTCTGCGAGTGCGGGGGTGAGAGTACGGTAGTGTCCTCTGCGAGTGCGGGGGTGAGAGTACGGTAGTGTCCTCTGCGAGTGCGGGGGTGAGAGTACGGTAGTGTCCTCTGCGAGTGCGGGGGTGAGAGTACGGTAGTGTCCTCTGCGAGTGCGGGGGTGAGAGTACGGTAGTGTCCTCTGCGAGTGCGGGGGTGAGAGTACGGTAGTGTCCTCTGCGAGTGCGGGGGTGAGAGTACGGTAGTGTCCTCTGCGAGTGCGGGGGTGAGAGTACGGTAGTGTCCTCTGCGAGTGCGGGGGTGAGAGTACGGTAGTGTCCTCTGCGAGTGCGGGGGTGAGAGTACGGTAGTGTCCTCTGCGAGTGCGGGGGTGAGAGTACGGTAGTGTCCTCTGCGAGTGCGGGGGTGAGAGTACGGTAGTGTCCTCTGCGAGTGCGGGGGTGAGAGTACGGTAGTGTCCTCTGCGAGTGCGGGGGTGAGAGTACGGTAGTGTCCTCTGCGAGTGCGGGGGTGAGAGTACGGTAGTGTCCTCTGCGAGTGCGGGGGTGAGAGTACGGTAGTGTCCTCTGCGAGTGCGGGGGTGAGAGTACGGTAGTGTCCTCTGCGAGTGCGGGGGTGAGAGTACGGTAGTGTCCTCTGCGAGTGCGGGGGTGAGAGTACGGTAGTGTCCTCTGCGAGTGCGGGGGTGAGAGTACGGTAGTGTCCTCTGCGAGTGCGGGGGTGAGAGTACGGTAGTGTCCTCTGCGAGTGCGGGGGTGAGAGTACGGTAGTGTCCTCTGCGAGTGCGGGGGTGAGAGTACGGTAGTGTCCTCTGCGAGTGCGGGGGTGAGAGTACGGTAGTGTCCTCTGCGAGTGCGGGGGTGAGAGTACGGTAGTGTCCTCTGCGAGTGCGGGGGTGAGAGTACGGTAGTGTCCTCTGCGAGTGCGGGGGTGAGAGTACGGTAGTGTCCTCTGCGAGTGCGGGGGTGAGAGTACGGTAGTGTCCTCTGCGAGTGCGGGGGTGAGAGTACGGTAGTGTCCTCTGCGAGTGCGGGGGTGAGAGTACGGTAGTGTCCTCTGCGAGTGCGGGGGTGAGAGTACGGTAGTGTCCTCTGCGAGTGCGGGGGTGAGAGTACGGTAGTGTCCTCTGCGAGTGCGGGGGTGAGAGTACGGTAGTGTCCTCTGCGAGTGCGGGGGTGAGAGTACGGTAGTGTCCTCTGCGAGTGCGGGGGTGAGAGTACGGTAGTGTCCTCTGCGAGTGCGGGGGTGAGAGTACGGTAGTGTCCTCTGCGAGTGCGGGGGTGAGAGTACGGTAGTGTCCTCTGCGAGTGCGGGGGTGAGAGTACGGTAGTGTCCTCTGCGAGTGCGGGGGTGAGAGTACGGTAGTGTCCTCTGCGAGTGCGGGGGTGAGAGTACGGTAGTGTCCTCTGCGAGTGCGGGGGTGAGAGTACGGTAGTGTCCTCTGCGAGTGCGGGGGTGAGAGTACGGTAGTGTCCTCTGCGAGTGCGGGGGTGAGAGTACGGTAGTGTCCTCTGCGAGTGCGGGGGTGAGAGTACGGTAGTGTCCTCTGCGAGTGCGGGGGTGAGAGTACGGTAGTGTCCTCTGCGAGTGCGGGGGTGAGAGTACGGTAGTGTCCTCTGCGAGTGCGGGGGTGAGAGTACGGTAGTGTCCTCTGCGAGTGCGGGGGTGAGAGTACGGTAGTGTCCTCTGCGAGTGCGGGGGTGAGAGTACGGTAGTGTCCTCTGCGAGTGCGGGGGTGAGAGTACGGTAGTGTCCTCTGCGAGTGCGGGGGTGAGAGTACGGTAGTGTCCTCTGCGAGTGCGGGGGTGAGAGTACGGTAGTGTCCTCTGCGAGTGCGGGGGTGAGAGTACGGTAGTGTCCTCTGCGAGTGCGGGGGTGAGAGTACGGTAGTGTCCTCTGCGAGTGCGGGGGTGAGAGTACGGTAGTGTCCTCTGCGAGTGCGGGGGTGAGAGTACGGTAGTGTCCTCTGCGAGTGCGGGGGTGAGAGTACGGTAGTGTCCTCTGCGAGTGCGGGGGTGAGAGTACGGTAGTGTCCTCTGCGAGTGCGGGGGTGAGAGTACGGTAGTGTCCTCTGCGAGTGCGGGGGTGAGAGTACGGTAGTGTCCTCTGCGAGTGCGGGGGTGAGAGTACGGTAGTGTCCTCTGCGAGTGCGGGGGTGAGAGTACGGTAGTGTCCTCTGCGAGTGCGGGGGTGAGAGTACGGTAGTGTCCTCTGCGAGTGCGGGGGTGAGAGTACGGTAGTGTCCTCTGCGAGTGCGGGGGTGAGAGTACGGTAGTGTCCTCTGCGAGTGCGGGGGTGAGAGTACGGTAGTGTCCTCTGCGAGTGCGGGGGTGAGAGTACGGTAGTGTCCTCTGCGAGTGCGGGGGTGAGAGTACGGTAGTGTCCTCTGCGAGTGCGGGGGTGAGAGTACGGTAGTGTCCTCTGCGAGTGCGGGGGTGAGAGTACGGTAGTGTCCTCTGCGAGTGCGGGGGTGAGAGTACGGTAGTGTCCTCTGCGAGTGCGGGGGTGAGAGTACGGTAGTGTCCTCTGCGAGTGCGGGGGTGAGAGTACGGTAGTGTCCTCTGCGAGTGCGGGGGTGAGAGTACGGTAGTGTCCTCTGCGAGTGCGGGGGTGAGAGTACGGTAGTGTCCTCTGCGAGTGCGGGGGTGAGAGTACGGTAGTGTCCTCTGCGAGTGCGGGGGTGAGAGTACGGTAGTGTCCTCTGCGAGTGCGGGGGTGAGAGTACGGTAGTGTCCTCTGCGAGTGCGGGGGTGAGAGTACGGTAGTGTCCTCTGCGAGTGCGGGGGTGAGAGTACGGTAGTGTCCTCTGCGAGTGCGGGGGTGAGAGTACGGTAGTGTCCTCTGCGAGTGCGGGGGTGAGAGTACGGTAGTGTCCTCTGCGAGTGCGGGGGTGAGAGTACGGTAGTGTCCTCTGCGAGTGCGGGGGTGAGAGTACGGTAGTGTCCTCTGCGAGTGCGGGGGTGAGAGTACGGTAGTGTCCTCTGCGAGTGCGGGGGTGAGAGTACGGTAGTGTCCTCTGCGAGTGCGGGGGTGAGAGTACGGTAGTGTCCTCTGCGAGTGCGGGGGTGAGAGTACGGTAGTGTCCTCTGCGAGTGCGGGGGTGAGAGTACGGTAGTGTCCTCTGCGAGTGCGGGGGTGAGAGTACGGTAGTGTCCTCTGCGAGTGCGGGGGTGAGAGTACGGTAGTGTCCTCTGCGAGTGCGGGGGTGAGAGTACGGTAGTGTCCTCTGCGAGTGCGGGGGTGAGAGTACGGTAGTGTCCTCTGCGAGTGCGGGGGTGAGAGTACGGTAGTGTCCTCTGCGAGTGCGGGGGTGAGAGTACGGTAGTGTCCTCTGCGAGTGCGGGGGTGAGAGTACGGTAGTGTCCTCTGCGAGTGCGGGGGTGAGAGTACGGTAGTGTCCTCTGCGAGTGCGGGGGTGAGAGTACGGTAGTGTCCTCTGCGAGTGCGGGGGTGAGAGTACGGTAGTGTCCTCTGCGAGTGCGGGGGTGAGAGTACGGTAGTGTCCTCTGCGAGTGCGGGGGTGAGAGTACGGTAGTGTCCTCTGCGAGTGCGGGGGTGAGAGTACGGTAGTGTCCTCTGCGAGTGCGGGGGTGAGAGTACGGTAGTGTCCTCTGCGAGTGCGGGGGTGAGAGTACGGTAGTGTCCTCTGCGAGTGCGGGGGTGAGAGTACGGTAGTGTCCTCTGCGAGTGCGGGGGTGAGAGTACGGTAGTGTCCTCTGCGAGTGCGGGGGTGAGAGTACGGTAGTGTCCTCTGCGAGTGCGGGGGTGAGAGTACGGTAGTGTCCTCTGCGAGTGCGGGGGTGAGAGTACGGTAGTGTCCTCTGCGAGTGCGGGGGTGAGAGTACGGTAGTGTCCTCTGCGAGTGCGGGGGTGAGAGTACGGTAGTGTCCTCTGCGAGTGCGGGGGTGAGAGTACGGTAGTGTCCTCTGCGAGTGCGGGGGTGAGAGTACGGTAGTGTCCTCTGCGAGTGCGGGGGTGAGAGTACGGTAGTGTCCTCTGCGAGTGCGGGGGTGAGAGTACGGTAGTGTCCTCTGCGAGTGCGGGGGTGAGAGTACGGTAGTGTCCTCTGCGAGTGCGGGGGTGAGAGTACGGTAGTGTCCTCTGCGAGTGCGGGGGTGAGAGTACGGTAGTGTCCTCTGCGAGTGCGGGGGTGAGAGTACGGTAGTGTCCTCTGCGAGTGCGGGGGTGAGAGTACGGTAGTGTCCTCTGCGAGTGCGGGGGTGAGAGTACGGTAGTGTCCTCTGCGAGTGCGGGGGTGAGAGTACGGTAGTGTCCTCTGCGAGTGCGGGGGTGAGAGTACGGTAGTGTCCTCTGCGAGTGCGGGGGTGAGAGTACGGTAGTGTCCTCTGCGAGTGCGGGGGTGAGAGTACGGTAGTGTCCTCTGCGAGTGCGGGGGTGAGAGTACGGTAGTGTCCTCTGCGAGTGCGGGGGTGAGAGTACGGTAGTGTCCTCTGCGAGTGCGGGGGTGAGAGTACGGTAGTGTCCTCTGCGAGTGCGGGGGTGAGAGTACGGTAGTGTCCTCTGCGAGTGCGGGGGTGAGAGTACGGTAGTGTCCTCTGCGAGTGCGGGGGTGAGAGTACGGTAGTGTCCTCTGCGAGTGCGGGGGTGAGAGTACGGTAGTGTCCTCTGCGAGTGCGGGGGTGAGAGTACGGTAGTGTCCTCTGCGAGTGCGGGGGTGAGAGTACGGTAGTGTCCTCTGCGAGTGCGGGGGTGAGAGTACGGTAGTGTCCTCTGCGAGTGCGGGGGTGAGAGTACGGTAGTGTCCTCTGCGAGTGCGGGGGTGAGAGTACGGTAGTGTCCTCTGCGAGTGCGGGGGTGAGAGTACGGTAGTGTCCTCTGCGAGTGCGGGGGTGAGAGTACGGTAGTGTCCTCTGCGAGTGCGGGGGTGAGAGTACGGTAGTGTCCTCTGCGAGTGCGGGGGTGAGAGTACGGTAGTGTCCTCTGCGAGTGCGGGGGTGAGAGTACGGTAGTGTCCTCTGCGAGTGCGGGGGTGAGAGTACGGTAGTGTCCTCTGCGAGTGCGGGGGTGAGAGTACGGTAGTGTCCTCTGCGAGTGCGGGGGTGAGAGTACGGTAGTGTCCTCTGCGAGTGCGGGGGTGAGAGTACGGTAGTGTCCTCTGCGAGTGCGGGGGTGAGAGTACGGTAGTGTCCTCTGCGAGTGCGGGGGTGAGAGTACGGTAGTGTCCTCTGCGAGTGCGGGGGTGAGAGTACGGTAGTGTCCTCTGCGAGTGCGGGGGTGAGAGTACGGTAGTGTCCTCTGCGAGTGCGGGGGTGAGAGTACGGTAGTGTCCTCTGCGAGTGCGGGGGTGAGAGTACGGTAGTGTCCTCTGCGAGTGCGGGGGTGAGAGTACGGTAGTGTCCTCTGCGAGTGCGGGGGTGAGAGTACGGTAGTGTCCTCTGCGAGTGCGGGGGTGAGAGTACGGTAGTGTCCTCTGCGAGTGCGGGGGTGAGAGTACGGTAGTGTCCTCTGCGAGTGCGGGGGTGAGAGTACGGTAGTGTCCTCTGCGAGTGCGGGGGTGAGAGTACGGTAGTGTCCTCTGCGAGTGCGGGGTGAGAGTACGGTAGTGTCCTCTGCGAGTGCGGGGGTGAGAGTACGGTAGTGTCCTCTGCGAGTGCGGGGGTGAGAGTACGGTAGTGTCCTCTGCGAGTGCGGGGGTGAGAGTACGGTAGTGTCCTCTGCGAGTGCGGGGGTGAGAGTACGGTAGTGTCCTCTGCGAGTGCGGGGGTGAGAGTACGGTAGTGTCCTCTGCGAGTGCGGGGGTGAGAGTACGGTAGTGTCCTCTGCGAGTGCGGGGGTGAGAGTACGGTAGTGTCCTCTGCGAGTGCGGGGGTGAGAGTACGGTAGTGTCCTCTGCGAGTGCGGGGGTGAGAGTACGGTAGTGTCCTCTGCGAGTGCGGGGGTGAGAGTACGGTAGTGTCCTCTGCGAGTGCGGGGGTGAGAGTACGGTAGTGTCCTCTGCGAGTGCGGGGGTGAGAGTACGGTAGTGTCCTCTGCGAGTGCGGGGTGAGAGTACGGTAGTGTCCTCTGCGAGTGCGGGGGTGAGAGTACGGTAGTGTCCTCTGCGAGTGCGGGGGTGAGAGTACGGTAGTGTCCTCTGCGAGTGTTCACCCCTTATCTGGTGACCCCCTTGACAACCCTTTCGCTACCCTCCTTTCCTCCCCCCTCCACCTCCTTCCTCAGGCCGCCTTGGGTTCTGGCAGAGCTGGCATACGAGCATCTCCTATGGAGGGCCTCTCAGGCGCACTTCAAGACAATCTACGCCGGCCAGCGCCGCCCGCCGCCCCTCCCTCGAGCGGTGAAGGTGCTGCTGGGAGATCTGCTGCTGCTGTCGGTGCACCGATATGAATCCGTGCAGGGGTGAGTTGGAGGAGGAGGAGGGAGGGAAAAGGGGGAAATAAGGGAAGGAGGGGGAAGTCGGTTGATGTTCTGAGAGGGTGAGGAATGTTGAGTGAAGGTGCTGCTGGGAGATCTGCTGCTGCAGTCAGTGCACCGATATGAATCCGTGCAGGGGTGAGTTGGAGGAGGGGGAGGAGTTGAGATGACTCAATAGTCGTCTACTTACACGCGGGGGAGGGGTGAGTTGGAGGAGGAGGAGGTGGATGGAAGGGAAAACGAGGGTGATGTTTTGGGAGGGGGAGGAATGCTGAGTGATGGTGCTGCTGGGGGGTCTGTTGTTGTTGTTGGTGCACCAGTATGAGTTCGTACAAGGGTGAGTTGAGGGGGAAGAAGGGGGGAAGGGAAGGGAAAGAGGGTATAGGTGGGAGAGTAATGCTGAGTGATGGTGCTGCTGGGGGGTCTGTTGTTGTTGTTGGTGCACCAGTATGAGTTCGTACAAGGGTGAGTTGAGGGGGAAGAAGGGGGGAAGGGAAGGGAAAGAGGGTATAGGTGGGAGAGTAATGCTGAGTGATGGTGCTGCTGGGGGGTCTGTTGTTGTTGTTGGTGCACCAGTATGAGTTCGTACAAGGGTGAGTTGAGGGGGAAGAAGGGGGAAGGGAAGGGAAAGAGGGTATAGGTGGGAGAGTAATGCTGAGTGATGGTGCTGCTGGGACATCTGTTGCTGCTGCTGTCGGTGCACCGATATGAGTCCGTGCAGGGGCGAGTTGGGATGTGGAGAGGGGACAAAGGGGGGCATTAGGAGGAACAAGATTCTGAGTAAAGGTGCTGTTGGGGGACCTGCTGCTGCTGTCAGTGCACCGAATATGAATCTGTGCAGGGGTGAGTGGAGGGTGGGGTGGGGGGAAGAGGGAGCGGAAGGAGGGAAGGGGAGGGTGATGCTCTGGGAGGGGCAAGATGTTGAGTGCAAATGCTGCCGAGGGAACTCCTGCTGCTGTCAGTGCACCGCATATGAATCCGTGCACGGAATATGAATCCGTGCACCGAATATGAATCCGTGCAGGAGGAGTGATTTGTGGGAGAATGGTTCGGGTGGCTAAGTTTCATTCGTCTGTGCGTCCACCATTTCCTCATGGTACCAACCCCCCCTCTCTTTGCTTTTTCCCCCTCGCACTTCGCCCCACCGCCCAGTGTTGCGCATGCGAGCCTGGAGCTGCTTCTCTAGTGCTTCTTTCCTGCCAGCTGTTGCTGCTTCCCTGTGCGCTTCCCAGATGATGTCTCTTTTCCTTTTCGCTCCTTCCCCCTTTTGCTCTTTCCCCTTCCCCGCCTCCCAGTGTTGCACGTGCCAGCCTGGAGCTGCTTCTCAAGCGCTTCCCGCCAGCTGTCGACACGGCATTGCGCCAGCTGGCGCCGTGCGTGGCTGGGGAGGCAGGCGCAGTTTCAAGACTGATTAGAATGGGGAAGAGTGGTGGTGACTGTAATGGTGGTGATGGCAGTGGTGACAAAGAGAAGGGCAACAAGGAAGAGAGCGAGACAAAAGAGGGGGGCGAGGACATGAGAAAGGCAGAGGAGGGAGAGGAGGGAGAGGAGGGAGAGGAGAAGGAGGATAGGGAGGAGGCAGCAGTGGGAGCCTGTCAGGTCTTTGTGAGCCGACCAATCATGCGCAAGATTGCTTACGACTGGCGGGCGCTCGCTCCCTTCCTCTCTGCTCTCCTTGCGTCGTGAGCCACACCACACCGCACCCCTTAGTGATTCCTCCCCACTTAGCTCGGGGCAGCAGCTGCTGAACCCAGCCCAATTTTGTGTTTGATTACAACACTTTCTTTTCTTTTCCTTCCTTTCAAATTTCTCGGGGCTAGTTAACAGTTGTGTGGACTCTCTCGATGCTTAATAACACCACAGAAACTCTTTTTTTTTTTTTTTTTTTTTTTTTTTTTTTTTTTTTTTTTTTTTTTTTTTTTTTTTTTTTTTTTTTTTTTTTTTTTTTTTTTTTTTTGGTCGCAGAACACCCCCGCTTGCCCTGTCGTCCTCCCGTCCCCTTCCCCCGCTCCCTCTCTCATTCTCCCCCTATGTTTTTCAGGCACTCCATTGATTCTCTCAAGGCTCTCAACGCCATTAACCAGGTAAGCCGAGACCACAAGAGCGTTTGTGAAGGCAGTGTTTCTGGTTTGGAGTCACTTGGCTTTTGAGAATTCTCAAAAACTGGTTCGGAGTCACTTGGCTTTTGAGAATTCTCAAAAACTGGTTCGGAGTCACTTGGCTTTTGAGAATTCTCAAAAACTGGTTCGGAGTCACTTGGCTTTTGAGAATTCTCAAAAACTGGTTCGGAGTCACTTGGCTTTTGAGAATTCTCAAAAACTGGTTCGGAGTCACTTGCTCAAATCTGACTGCTGAATGAAAAGTCTCTAGTCAATAGTCATTCCAGGCACTCCATCAAGTCTCTCAACACCATCATCCCTATAAGAGATGACCACAAGGGAAGGGAGTATGTGAAGTGGGGTGTTTTTTAGAAATTTAAAAACACTCCTCACACTTCAGATGCACCCAAGCAAGGCCACAAGGGAGTATGTGAAGTGTGTTTCAGCTTCAGACTCACTTGGCTTGAATGCCTCATCAGCATAGCTGTGGCATGTCGCCATGCCTCGTGATCCCGATTTTCCTATTGTGTCCTATTGTGTCCTTTGCCAATGTGCTGCCTGTGCATCTCCCATTTGAGTCGACTCAAAAGCAGTCTTGCCATGGCTCGTGATCCCGATTTTCCTATTGTGTCCTATTGTGTCCTATTGTGTCCTATTGTGTCCTATTGTGTCCTATTGTGTCCTATTGTGTCCTATTGTGTCCTATTGTGTCCTATTGTGTCCTATTGTGTCCTATTGTGTCCTATTGTGTCCTATTGTGTCCTATTGTGTCCTATTGTGTCCTTCGCCAATGTGCTGCCCGTGCATCTCCCATTTGATGCCACCATGCTTCAACAATGTGAAGTGTGTTTCAGCTTCAGACTCACTTGGCTTGAATGCCTCATCAGCATAGCTGTGGCATGTCGCCATACCTCGTGATCCCGATTTTCCTATTGTGTCCAATTGTGTCCTTTGCCAATGTGCTGCCTGTGCATCTCCCATTTGATGCCACCATGCTTCAACAATGTACCTCGAAACTCTTACATATCAATCATGCCGCATGTGCTTCCCATCCTCCCATCAGCTCTTTATCTCGTTCGTCTCTCGCTTCGCTGGAGTGAACCCCATTCGGCCCCGCCGGGTGCCTGGTATGGAGAGGAGGCTCAAGTGGAGGAGGAGAGCGGGTGGGATAGCGGGTGGGAGTCTAGTGGCGGTAATGGTGACGTTGCCTCCCAAGCACAGGGAGCTCTCACGCTCCTCTGGACCATTGCTGCTCCTGCTCCTGCTTCATCCGCTGCCGCTGCTTCTGCTGCTAGTGGTGGTCCGAGTGCTTCATCCGCTGCCGCTGCTTCTGCTGCTAGTGGTGGTCCGAGTGCTTCATCCGCTGCCGCTGCTTCTGCTGCTAGTGGTGGTCCGAGTGCAGCAATTGCTGGCGCTGCTGCTGCTGATGGTAATGCAATCACTTCTGCAGCCACGCACTGGAGGTGAGCTTTCCTTCTCCTCTCCCCCTCCTCCCCTTGTTTTTGAGGCGCCTCAAAAACAATCACTTCTGCAGCCACGCACTGGAGGTGAGCTTTCCTTCTCCTCTCCCCCTCCTCCCCTTGTCTTTCTTTTCCAATTCCAAAGACCTCTCTGTACCCATGTTTTTTGAGTCGACTCAAAAGTCACCCATGTTTTTTGGGGCAGTATCTCTGTTACGCTGCCTCCTCCATTACCCTCTACCCCGGCTCATTAACACCATTAACATCATTAACACCATTAACAAACACCATTACACCATTAACACCATTAACACCATTAACACCATTAACACCATTAACACCATTAACAACCATTGACACCATTAACACCATTAACACATTAACACCATTAACACCATTGACACCATTAACACAACACTAACACCATTGACACCATTAACACCATTAACACCATTAACACCATTAACACCATTAACAACCATTGACAACCATTGACACCATTAACACCATTGACACCATTAACACCCTCCACCCTCCCTTTTATGCATCTCATCCCCCTGCAACCCCCTGGGCACTCCCTCCCTGTGCACCCTACTCCCGTTCCCTCTCTCCCTGCGCATTGTTCGTCTAACCCTCTTCTATCCGATACTCACTCATGGCGAATGCGCTGCTCGCCCTCCTCTCCTCCTCTGTCCCTCACCCTCACCTCCCTCCTCTTTCTTCTCCTCCTCTTCCACCTTCCGCTGCTGTCGCCTCTTCTATCACTCAACAGCAGCAGACCCCGTACCTACCACTGCACTACCTGACTCTCCTTGCTGGTCCTCTCCCCCC